AATCCAGTAATCAAGGTGGATGTTGTGGTACATGCCTGTAAGCCCAGATCTTGGGAGGCTGACACATGGGAATTTCAACAAACACTACAATAATCAAAACTCAATACTGGATTAAGGGCAGCCATGGGAATCAATGAAATAGGATTGGGATTTCAGAGACACAGTCATAGTCATTTGTCTTCTTGCCAGAAATACTTACCTAACAGAATAAGAAAGAAAAGCCTTTTCAAAAGGATTTTCAAGGGCTGGGGCTGAAACTCATATGTGGCCACTTCATCACCTCTAATCAGTATTGTTCTAAGCCCGTGCAAGGTCCTAAGTTTGATTCCCACCTCTGCCAGAGTGAAGAAACAAAACAGATGATGCCAACAAACAGTGTACCTGCATGCAGACATTTAAAGTCCTTGCCTCTACTGACCAAACGAAAAGTAACCCCAAATACATCACAGAGATGAGACTGACAAACCCCTAGGAGAAAGCAGTTTAAAGCACTGTAATCTTTTAAAAATCAGGCAGCAGGTTATGTAAGTATGATTTCAAAATCACATGAAGAAACAATAAACCAGATACCAAAACTAAAACCTCTGTGCTTCCAAGACACGAAGACAGGAGGGAGACATGTTTGTGACGTCCAGGATGAGCGGTGGGATGGAGTTGGGTTAGACATAATCAAGATACATGGCATCGTGTATGAAATTGATCAAGAATGTGTTTTAAACTAGGCTCAGTTCTTTACTGACATCAGGTTTGCTGCCAAACCCCGTGGATGACGTAGGTTCAGTCCTGGGGTCCGCACGGTACCGGGAGAAAACAGACTCCGGTAAGCTGTCCTCTGGCCTCCAAATGTGTGCTATAGCACGGATGCCCATGCACATGTACACACACAAACGCACACTAACAACATAAATGCTCAGAAACCACGTTTCACAGGCTGCCATCGAGGAAGAAAATTCAGGAGAGGAGAAAAAATGGTATTTCATGCTATGCACGTGATAAGAAACTTGGACTTTGGTGTTTGAAACTCGGAACTCACCAGTAACCAAACCTTACACGTGGCTGTCGTATTCTTATCTTTTGCAGTTGGGGGTAGGAGGTGGCCTGGCCTTGTGAGGCAGGTGCTTTTGTTCCTGGCATCCCGTTTCGGCCATGGCACAGTCGGACAGTTGTCCCAGATGCATACCTGACTCTGGTTTTTCCTCAGTGACTCTCCTTATTCTCTTGTTCCTGATCCTTGGGGCAGCAACACTGGCGCTCCCCCCCCCCCCCCATCTTAATTACTTTCCTATTGCTGTGACAAAAAATGTTGATGGAGGCAATTTGTAAAACAAAATGTTTTAATTTGGCTTAAGGTCCCCCTCTCCCCCCACCGAGGGTTAGAATCCACCGTGGCAGGTTGAAGGAACAGTTGAGAGCTTTATTTAATCCATAAGCAGGAGGGAATGCCTCAAGCCTTTTGAAGCCTCAAAGCCCTCCACCCCTCACCCCCACCCCCACCCCGGTGTCACACCTCCTAATCCCTTCCCAAACAGTTCCACTAACTGGGGATGCTTGAGCCCTGGGGGGGGGGCGCGGAACTCAGACCACCCGCAGTCCTGATTTAAGATCTAGTCACGTTTTTTTCTCGTTACATTGTGTCAGTCAGGCTGTTTATTTTCCACTCTGGATTGCTAGGCCTCCTTCAGGACAAAACTGCAGGTACGGTAGAGTGTATTCTGTATGCTATACGCAAAGTAGTATAAGGCAGAGGTAGGAACTTCAGCCCTGCGGGTGTCCCCGACCCACAGGACATTCAGCATGGGCCTGGTAGATACCTAGGAGAAAGATGGAGGGCAGGGGATACAGGAATGGATGCCAAGACGGGAGTCTGATCAAGGCGACGACTTTATTTCACCCCGAAGGGATTTATACAGGGGAAGGGAGGAGGGGAAGGAATGGGGTGTGTGCTGCAGCTGCGTTGAGCCTGGCGTAGCGAAGGTCAGTGGGATGGGTAGGGCATCCTGCGTCCTCTGGTAACCTCACTGCAGATTCTAACTTTATCTTTCACATTACACCTTCTATCGTTTAAGCCTACGCCCTAGTGACTAGGCAGATAAGTCGCAGGTCTGTTTCTGGAATTTGGCAGAGGCTGCAGGGTGGTCCAGAGTCAGGTACTCCCTAGGAGTCACGTCTTCTCTTGTGAGTACGTGAGGCAGCCGTATCTGGTTGATGGCCGGAGGACCCTGACATGTGGGTTTTTATGTCTCGTGTTGGCGTCTCAGAAAATGATGCCCCAGAGTGCAGTCCCTAAGTATTTCTTTGGATAACTAGGAACGAGAACAGCCCCTAAAGGAGCGTCTCATGAATCCAAGGTCACCTTGCCCAGACACCCTGCTCACCGGCTTTCCTAAGGGCAGCTGCAAAGATGAACGGACTATCCATAAAGACAATTTTTGGGTCCCTCGCTTACCTGTGACTTGGTACCTCCTCCCAGAGCTGAGGAGGGCCTTGTCCCAGCCACATAACCACCTACTCATCCATAGCCACATTTTCCTGTGAAGATGATATTTAAGTTTTAACCATCTGGCCTTAATTTTTCTCTAATTTTTTTTTCTTAAATATGTAAGTACACTAGTTGGGACCCAGAGTAACAGGTTTCACTATAACCCTTCACACACACCTGACTCTAGACTTTGTTCTTTTTCAACCAGCCTCCCCTTGTTCCCCAGAGATAACCCTTCCCTTCTGCTTTTTGGCATATTTATTAATTCTATAATTTCTCACCTATCTTCCTTCTCATTCACTTTCGACCTCTTCCTTCCCTTTCTGATGACTTAATTTCCCAGTAATACTGCAGGCTGCAACATGCTGTAATGCCCAGCCATTGACAGATATTTATGACTTGGGAGACTGAGGCAAGAGGACTGTGTCATGAGTTCCAGGCCAACCTGGGCTGCACAGTGAGAGTCTACCTCGTGGTCTCATTTCCCTTAAAAAAAAATACAAGTGATAGTACACACTAAGTAATTTATATATATATATATATATTTTACTTTTAAATTATTTAAATTAGAAACAAGGTTGCTTCACATGTCAATTCCAGGTCCCTCTCCCTTTCCCTCCCCTCCTCCCGTGCCCTCCTCCCAGCCCCCCCCAATATCCCCTCATTTCCCTAGGGAGGGTGAGGCCCTCCATGGGGGAGTCCATAGTCTGTCATTTCATCCAGGGCAGGGCCTAGACCCAACCCTCAAGAGTTCAGGGTGAGAGTGCACCTCACATTGTTCTATGGGAGTCCAAAGTCCGTGTGTATACTTGGGATGGGTACTGATCTGCTGCCCAAGGCTCAATAGATTCCCTAGGCCTCCTCACTGACACCCACATTCAGGGGGTCTTGATCAGACCCATGCTGGATTCCCAGCCATCAGTCTGGGATTCAAGAGCTAACCCTTGTCAGGTCAGCTGTTTCTGGGGGTTAAACCAGCCCAGTCTTAACCCCTTTGGTCATCAGTCCTCCCTCTCTGACACTGGGTTTCTTGAGTTCAGCTTAGTGCTTAGCTGTGGGAGTCTGTCTCTGCTTCCATCAGCCACTGAATGAAGGTTCTGTTTCCTAGACTCTCTGGCCATGGGATTGTAGGCTGGCACTCCCCAGATCTATGTCTAAAATCCATATATGAGAGAGTACATGCCATGTTTCTCTTTTTGTGACTGGGTTACCTCGCTCAGGATGGTTTCTTCTAGTGACATCCATTTGCCTGCAAATTTCAGGATTCCATTGTTTTTTTCTGCTGAGTAGTACTCCATTGTGTAAATGTACCACATTTTCTGTATCCACTCTTCGGTTGAGGGGCATCTAGGTTGCTTCTAAGTTCTGGCTATTACAAATAATGCTGCTATGAACATCCCACTAAGTAATTTTAGGTATGTTTCTTCCTGTTAATTGTTGTTTGTCACTTCATTTCAGTGAGAACAGGGGACATTTCTCCTGCCTCTTCATTAACTTTGTAGTCTTAGCTTCAATAGTGATCCTGTCTGGGGCCTTATATGTCAAAGAAAATAATCCATGAGCCTGTTGCGCCCTGTTCCTGGGTGTTCATGTCTTCTGGATATCTTCAGCATAGAAAAGAGCAGTCAGCATAGATAGCATCGGTATAGGAATTACCTAATGAAAAGCTAGTTTTTCCAGCTCAGGTTGTATACTGACATTATAAGGGGAAATATGAAACACATTGATGAATTTATATATCACTTTTATCTAAAAAAAAGCAGTACCATATTTTTAAGGTTTTGAGTACTAGTGAAAAAATAACCATCCATATTTCTTCTTTCATACTTTAGTTATGGCCAGCATTTTTGTATTTTTCTTTGGTTTATGTGTATGTGTGTTGTTTGCTTTTATAAATAAGGAGGGAATATTTTTGGGTTTTGGTCAATTATAAAACTACTTCTGCCGGGCGTTGGTGGCGCACGCCTTTAATCCCAGCACTCGGGAGGCAGAGGCAGTCGGATCTCTGTGAGTTCGAGGCCAGCCTGGTCTACAAAGTGAGTTCCAGGACAGCTTCCAAAGCCACAGAGAAACCCTGTCTCGAAAAAACAAAAAACAAAAAAAGCAAAAAAAAAACAAAAAAACAAAAAAAACTACTTCTACTCATGTATTTCATATCTATGAGATAATTAAGATATACAGTAATATGAGTTAAGATATTATCAGCTACCTATTGGTTATGCATGAAAATGATATAAAGATCCAATTGTGTTGAAATAAAATGTCAGTAAATTTCTAATGGGAAAATTAGTTTTCCTTGTAAAAACTAAATGATGGGTTGGATGTACATGTTGCTCAGGGTTAACGTATGTGCAAGGCCCTGGATTTGATTCTCAGTGCCAAAATGCAAATAAAAACTTAAAAAAATAACCTCAATGAATGTAAATTACACCTAGAAATAAAGTCTCTTAGGTAAAGTATTAGCAGAAGCAAGTCATCTAGTTTGATTCAAACTATAATGATTTCTTTCGTTTAATTGAAGGTCCATTTTAGCTTCTTATCTTCTGAAGGAAAAGCTCAACATCTTGGGCAAGTTGGGGTGTCTGCTAAGCTGCGCAGGTTCCGTCGTGCTGATTATCCATTCCCCAAAGTCAGAGAGTGTGACAACTCAGGCCGAGCTGGAGGAGAAGCTGACCAATCCAGGTAACCCTGGGGTGTGTGTTTCAGGGTTGGCAATGGCAAGACCCCGAATGAGACAGCGACACAGGAAGAAAGGAGACGCTTAGGGAGGGGCTAGGATGTGCGCAGTCTCAGTGCTGGCGGCATCGTTCCAGAAAGCAAAAGCTTAGTTTAGGAGAGAAAACATATGCACTTTTTTTTTTTTTAATGTGCAAAGGTCAGATTTAGAGGCAGAATAAGAATAGCATGCCCGGCCTGGCGTTGGTGGTGCACACCTTTAATCCCAGCACTCGGGAGGCAAAGGCAGGTGGATCTCTGTGAGTTCGAGGCCGGGCTGGACCGACAGCCTCCAAAACAATACAGAGAAACCCTGTCTCGTAAAACCAAAATAAATAAATAAATAAATAAATAAATAAATAAGTAAAAGAATAGCGTGTCCATGACCTAGGCTTCATGAGTTGCTAAAGACGAAGCGTGTCAACTGTCTCCTTCTAAGAAGAAAAACCTGCTTGGCACACAGATCTGTGGGCATCTGAGAAATGAGAAACTCAGGTTGAGCACAGGAAAACAAAGAGGTTTTCCTGCATGGGAGCCCTCCATTCTGACGCATAGCTACCCAGGCTGCCGTGTGAGCGCCCACGGAGGCTGGTGTTCTTGTCCATTCTCCATCCCGTCTACCACGCTGGCTGCCTCTACTGCCCTTCTCGTGGCTGCCTTTGGCGAGACCCGGTTTTGCTGACCCCACCCCCTTCCCACCCTTACGTCCGGTTCCTGCTTCTGGATTCCAGAGATCCTTGTGAAATGCCATCTGGCTTTGTCCCTTCCAGCCTCAAGGCTCTTTATAATCCCCTTCCCCGGGAGAGCAAACCCAGGCAGACCCACGCTCACACTCCGCTGCTGACCCCTTGCCTGCCGGCTTACACTCAGCCTGCTTCTGAACTGCTACCCACACCCCCAAACCTGCCCCACAATTAGGTGGTGGTCTGTGCTTGCGGGTACCGGTCTCGCTGCTCTCCGTTCCACTCTGCCCGTTTGTAGGAGATGCTCTCGGCTTTCAGCCTCCGGGACGGCGCTCAGTAGCTCTCTTTTCTCACTCCCGAGGGCCTGAGGTCCCAATGCCTGCTCTCTCGTTTTGCGTGCCCACACGTGTTGCTGTGCGTGCCTGCGCTGACTGATCTGCATTTCCAGCCGGCTTCCAGATCTGGGAAGTCCAGAGTGTGAAGTGCGTGGAATTTCAGAGCAGTCGATACTAACTGCTCTGTGATAGCTAACTGTGTGAAGGAGCCATATAGTAGGACTCTACTTTCTAATGTTTGACGTTCGAGTGCAGCTATGGGAAGAGGCGTGTTGAAGTGGGCAGACCACCCAAAATGTGAGTGTTGGAAAGATTTTGGGAGCTGTACATGTAAACCGATGGGAGAAGTCACGTTCGTGGCTTACTCTAAGCATATGCCGTCGGCGTGAGCACTGTGATCAGCGGTGTGACCCTCTGAAATGAAGGACAATTCTTGAAGTCCCAACCAGAGGAAGAACAGTCATCCTTCAGCCTACATATGGATGTTGTATTTGTAAAAATGTTAATGGGTCTGAACCATGTACAAGGACTCCTTTGCCGCATAGTTTCTAGCTCCGATGATCATTACCAGATTTTTTTTTACTTATAAGTCGAAGAGGATATTTGGAAGTTGCGGAGAATATAGGATGACTTGTGGTTATGTGTGCTCTGTGTACCTCACCCGCATCCATTGTATGCATCCCCTAAAGCAGTGGTCCTCTCTACCTTCCTAATGCCGAGTGACCCTTCATACAGGTCCTCATGTCGTGGTAACCATAATTTTGCTACTGTTCTGAATCGTAATAAAGTATCAGTGTTTCCCGATGGCCTTAGGTGACCCTTGTGAAAGGGTTCTACCATCTCAGTGGGGGTCGAGGACCACAGATTGAGAACCACTGCCCTAAAGGGTATATGGGCTTAGACACTGCCACAGTTCCCGATTATCCTCATCTTAGCTTGTGCCCCGTCACGCCCTCAGTATCGTCAGTCTGGTAGGTATCCCGTAATGGACTCTCAGCTGGGTGCAGAGGTGGCATGTACCTACCGTCTCAGGTATACAAATGCTGTGCTGGCAGGATCCTTTGAGCTTAGGCTTTCCGGGACCAGTCTGACAACACAAGGCCCAGTCTATCAGAAAATACAAATTCCGTCATACGACTAGCTTTGCTTTTTTTAAAAGAAGAAAAAAAAAGATTTGTATTGTGTTTTTATTATGTATTCAGTGTTCTGTCTGCGTGTGTGCCTGCAGGCCAGAAGAGGGCACCAGATCTCACTATAGATGGTTGTGAGCCACCATGTGGGTGCTGGGAATTGAACTCGGAGACAGCAACCAGGGCTCTTAACCTCAGATTTTTAAGTGTGTTTCTGTTAATGATGCTGATAGAGTAGGTCACGGAAACATCAGTCGTTAAAGCCTGGCAGTGGTGGCGCACACCTTTAATCCCAGCACTCGGGAGGCAGAGGCAGATGGATCTCTGTGAGTTCGAGGCCAGCCTGGTCTACAGAGCAAGTTCCAGGACAGCCTCCAAAACTACAAGGTCTTGAAAAACCAAAAGGGGAAAAAAAGAAAAAAAAAAAAAACAAAGCAAAAACCAACCAACCAACCAAACAAACAACAAACATTAGTAGGTAAGACACTTTGGAGCAGGATTTCACATTTCTGGGAGAGCTATAGAGGGCTTCCTGTCAACAGAAGTGATCATAATTTCTTCAGCTACCCCAGACTTGGCTCTGGGAGTCCTGGGAGTAGTTATTTATCATTAGAATATGTCTCCATACATTTGGAGGGTCCTTGGGTAGTTGTGGCCTGGTTGGATAGGGTTACACAGAGGCAGAATTACAGTGAGGTCTTTAATGGTAAAGGACACAAGGCCAAGATTCCTGGACACAGGCATTCCTGAAGAAGGCAACAGTTCCGGTTTCATGTTACCCTTGCGGCTGCACATGCTTGTTTTACCATGCTGAGGGTCAGACACAGAGCCTCTCGGAGTATGTTGGGCGAGTGGTTTTTTTTTTGTTGTTGTTGTTGTTTTTAACCACTGAGCCGCTTCCTGATTCCTGTGACTGTGTGCATGATGAGTAATGACGGGGATAGTTTCTGTGGAGTGGGCTTAGTGGTTGTAGTAGACAAGCCGGAGCTGTCGGGTGCTTGCCTGCCCTCTCTCCCCGATGGAAGTGGCTGGGGCTCTGCCCTCCTGGGGGGCCTCTGATGGGGGCAGCTTTCCCGGTCACCGTGTGCCGTCTTGTCTTGCAGTGTTTGTGGGCTACCTGTGCATCGTGCTGCTCATGCTGCTGCTGTTGATCTTCTGGATCGCACCAGCCCACGGGCCCACCAACATCATGGTCTACATCAGCATCTGCTCCTTGCTGGGGAGTTTCACCGTGCCTTCCACCAAGGGCATCGGGCTGGCGGCCCAGGACATCTTGCATAACAACCCTTCTAGCCAGAGAGCCCTCTGCCTGTGCCTTGTGCTCCTGGCCGTCCTGGGCTGCAGCATCATTGTCCAATTCAGGTACATCAACAAGGCCCTGGAGTGCTTCGACTCTTCTGTGTTCGGGGCCATCTACTACGTCGTGTTTACCACGCTGGTCCTCCTGGCTTCCGCCATCCTCTTCCGGGAGTGGAGCAATGTGGGCCTGGTGGACTTCCTGGGCATGGCCTGTGGATTTACAACTGTCTCCGTGGGGATCGTCCTCATACAGGTGTTCAAAGAGTTCAATTTCAACCTTGGGGAGATGAACAAGTCCAATATGAAAACAGACTAAGATGCGATGGAGGTTCCGGGGCCTCGAAGGGACAGGCATTGGAGGGGGGTGGGGCGGCGGTGGTCTGTGGTTTTGGACTAGATGCCAAGCGGAACAAAGACTCTCGGTGAGGGTTGCCTGTGTACCAGCTAGTGATCTAGCGGACAGTAGGGAGCCTTGCTTTGCACCAGGGTGGGGTCCAGACCTCTGCGGCGCAAAGCTCCCAATGGTTACCTGGGGGTGAGCTCTCTCTGATGAGACTAATCCTGTGTTCATTTCCATTAACCTAGACGCTTTCGTTTTGTTTAAGATACTTTAACATGATTGAACCAGATAATAAGGGTGAGAGGTCTTTCTAGTTAGTCTTTGTAGGGAAGCAGATGTTCTCACCTAAGCACCTTGGGAAAGGCAGACACTCTTGTGAAATCTGGCTCTGTGCAGTAAACATGTTCAGCACGTATAGCATTCAGGTAGTTTACCCAAATAGGAGGTATATGAGTTGAGTTGATTTTAGTCCTTTAACAACTTGGCTCTCCTACATGTGCCCCAAAACAGCAGTAAGCAGAGAGAGGAGTTGATGATGGTGGTACAGGGCTCCGTCGACAGGGTGACTTCCCAATAGCTCAGATCAATTTTAGTGCCTTTATCATTTGAAGCATTCACTTAATTTAACTGTTGCTGTGTAATATGTTAAATGTTCTAACTATAGATACGTAAAGCAGCTAGAAGAGGATGCTACCTACGCTCAGTGGAAGATAGTGAAAACAAAAAGTACGGGGAAAATTGGAAACTGACCCATTTCTGTATCGTTGTCCAGTTAAGGACAACTGATTAAGTTTGAAGAGATACTTTGTTTGCATTTAACCTGTGCTACCTGGATCCATTATGAAAAATACCTGCTTTCTGTTTCAGGAGGCATTTGTATCCATTCAGAAAAAATAAAACCATTAAACTTGACAGAAAGGTTGTTAAAGTAGAGAGTGTCTATTAAGTACATACCACAGGAGTTTAGTAAACAAGTCAAGGATACAGCTTAGGAGTGTTTCTATAAAGTGCATAATTTCTAAGGGAGTTTCTAGCAAAGATGACAACAGTTTAGCCTTCTTGTTGTTTGAAATGGTAGAACCTTCTGGAGTTCTTAACCAGACATCCTACTAAACCTTCTGACTGTGTGCAAGACCCCAGGTTTGATTCCCTGCATCCAAAACAGCAAAACAGATCAGCTACCCTGCATCCAAAACAAACAGCAAAACAGATCAGCCTTCTTAAATGGAAAATAGCTGTTAATAACACAGTGTTTTAGAACAGAAATGATTCTCCTATACATAGTAGCCTTCCCCATGCTTTTAATTGGAGCAAGGTACAAAGGGATACAACATAACATTATATAATATACACATTAAGATGTTGTGTATTCCACATGCATTATTTTTTTATCTAGATGTAATATGCCAAGTTTAAAAATGGGGTTGGATAAAATAAGTTAGCTGAGGTAGAACATGGATTTTAATAATACCCAATTAAACTTCTCACTAAAACAAATGTGCTTTTCCAGATAAAAAGGCCATCTCTCAAGTAAAGACCCCAGAGAGTAGTTCACTGAGTAGTAGAATAAACAGGGTAAATAAATACTAGTTTAATATAAAAGAATCTGGTTGTCTGGCTCATTTGTCAGATTCAGTGAATTGTATGAATGATGACCTCGGTGTATTCAGTCTGTGATTTGTGAGGAACAGCAACAGAATGATTTAAACAGCTGAAAACCTTGCAGAAAGCAGTAGTTAGCACGTGTTCAAGTTCATTCTTTTTTTTGTATCAGCTCTTGAAATATTTTTAATCATCAGTATCTTTAGGAGTATAAACCTTCCTGTATTCCAATTATTGAACATAATTGGAAAGTGTGATGTAGCAGGATCAATATAATTTTAATATTAACATTTCTGAGGTAAGAACATAGCTATACTAGTACAAGGAAGAAATTTATAATGTGGAAATTACCATGTTCATTTTGCTACTTATTGTGGAACTTAGTTTAAATGCATCTGTTGATGTACCTGAAGTTTTGATTCACAGTTTCACCATGAATATTAAAAGGTATTAATATTTTGTATGTGAAGCAAAATTTCATAGTATTAATAGTTCTCCTTCTGGAACAGTAAGACCGCCCAGGGTTCCATCTGATCAGCAGATTGCTTCAGTAGGATTCATACTTTTGTTCTAGAGGAACTCACTGCTTTTTAAGTCTGAAAATGATGCCCCAGTAACCGTCAGGAATAGGGTCCAGTTTTCAAATTAAACATAGTGCACATATTTGTATCCTTACTACTGTTTTACAAATTCAGTTTTCACAATTCACTTTGAAATGCAAGTGAAAGTAAAAATTCCCCAATAAGAGCTTTGTAAGGAAGTCTGGAATGCAAAGGAATCTCTTATTGGTTTCTCCAATAGGAAACCCTTTCATTATGATATATTTTTTGGGGGGAGGTTATTTCTGATAAAACTTAAGAAAACATGCCTATTATGTACTTTTCCCCCAACTCTTTAAAATCATCAAAATAAAAAATATTGGTAGCAGTTTATAGAGAACTGCACTTGGAAGACATTGAGGCCATTTCTCTCTTCTACTTAGACAATGCCTTTGCTCATACATATCTTTACAGTTGAAAGGTTGTTTTCTGTTTTAAGTAAGTACTGACCAAGTGTAGCATCTGTGGAGGTTTTCGAGGCGGAAGACGTCACTGCCTACACTGGTACCTTTGGAGTGGAGCTGTCTTTCCAGTGCCGTAGCTGGTCACCGAGATGGTCACCGTAGCTGTTTCTGTTAGAACATCAGTAAAACATACTTTGTTGCCGCTTGTTCAACAGTCAGATTCTATTTCATTTCCGTTGTCTAAGCCATTTTGTTCTGCCTAACGTCATTTCCACTTGTATCACGGAAATAATGTATTGATCTTCCTTCCTTCCTTAAGTTTCATATCTGTTTTCTTTTATCTTTGAAACATGGGTATGATGTGTGCTAGGCAAGAGTTTTACATCCCTAGTCTGCTCGCGCCTACTTTTGATAGGCTCGTATTCAAACGTGCAGGCACAGAGCCCCCTCCTTTGTCCGCCACAGCTCAGTTGCTGGCAGATACTGTGCTGAACTTTTAGAAGCTGGTCCCTAGGCTTCTGTAAAGTGCTCAGATGCAGTGCTTGTTAGATGTGGGAAACCAGATGGTCTGTGGAAACTTGAGAATTGATGAGCATAGGACTGCTGTCCTGCTGCATAATTCATTTTCTCTTTACCCCCTTAAAAGGGGTCATATTGTGTACCCCAGGCTGGCCTTCAAGGCATATGTCGTTACACTGGGCCTCCTGAGTATTACAATTGTTGTGTGCTGTGATACTTTTATTCCACACTGATCTAGTAGAGCAGAGTTCCTCTCTGATGCCTATTGGTCTTAGTATTCCTGTGACCTCTAGAAAACCCTGCGACGGTGTGAAGGAGGTCTAAGGAAGTATTCTCAGAGTGTCTGACACCAAGGAGCTTGTTCATCTGCTCAGGCAGGACTGAATAGAATCCTGGTGTTAAGCCTTCTCAGGGACCAAAACCGTATTATTAGCTCCTTAGCACAGACTTTCTAAGGCCATAGCCACAGTTTCCCTTTGTTTTACTTATATTCATTGCTAGATTTTGTTGAGTTGGCAAAAGACCACTTGGCACAGCCATCCCATTACAAGACGGTTTACCAGGTAGAAGGCCTAAACATTTTTTCATTTCTCATTTACATATGACAGTCATTTCCTGGTGAATTTTAAGGGTCTGTCATTTAGCTTTTAAGTGATTTTTCACATCTTGCAAGATTCGTACACTGTATTATACATTCAAGGATATTAAGAATTATAGGAGTAGTAATGAGTGTTTGGCCCATCATCTCTGCTTAATTTTGTCATGCACATTTTTCATGTGTTGTTTAATGAAACAAAAGGATATTTTTAAAATTAATAGTTATTGCATCAAAAGACATCTATTTAAAAAAATTGATATTCCGTAGGGAAAAAAAATGACCGTGTAAATAAACATCTATTTTCAAATGTACCCAAAGTAATTTCAAAGTTTAGTCATAGGCCCATGGATCCAGGGAGGGTTTATTTATTTGTTTGTTGTCTGTTTGTTTTTAAAGATTTATTTTTATTTCATGGCTGTATGGGCTTTTCCTGCATGTGCATCACTTGCATGCAGTACCTGCCAAGGCCAGAAGGGGGTGCTGGACCCCTAGGAACTGGAGTTACCGCTGCTTGAGCACCACCACGTGGGCCCTGGGGAGCCAACCTGAGTCCTCTGCAGGAGCAGCAGGTGGTCTCAGGCACCAAGCCATCTCTCCAGCTCCAGGGGACTTATTTTTCCTTTTCCCGACTTTCTCCTGACTTGTGAGATTATATGTGAGTTTTTTTTTTTTAAACCTTCCCGTGTCTCAGTTTTTCTACCTCGAAAGTTGTGGGAGGAGGGTTCTTCAGGTCGCTCGATTCTAAACTGCAGGCAGGCGCGCCACGCTGAGAACTGTTCCGGGGGAGGTGTGTGATTAAACTCAGCTCGCAGCCTTTTTGGAGCCTGATCCAGACTACTGTAGAGCATGTAGCCTTGAACACCAAAACAACTAAAGGGAACCCTGGGTGTGTTAAGTGTGCATGATTCCTTAAGACTTAATTTTGTTTAAGGGTTTACACGTTCTGTTGTACAATGAGGAAATAAAACATAGCCTTCAAAAAAAAAAATCGGAAGATCCAGTTACAATGGTGTGACAGCTCCTTTTATGCTCTTCTTTGGTTTTTGTCCTGCGTATGTGACCCATCAATTCTGTCGCCGTTGAATTTGCCATGAGAAACACTGGACTTCCTGCTTCTAAGCACCTTAGCCCTGATACTGAATTATCTGATGTCACGTGAATGTCAGGGGCTCCCAAAACACTAGTGCCAAAGGGTCACCTTGAAAAATTCAGAATATTTCTTTGTTACAATGTCTTGCATTTCACCCTATCAGTGTATTTTTGCACTTTACAAGAATTTGAAGGTGTGGCTTTTTAAAAGTTGTATTCCTTTATTTATTTTTTTTGCTTTTTAAAAGGATAATTATTATCCCCTCGTGAAATGAATATAGTAAGAAAAAACATAAATTAAAAAGAATGCCAAATGTTGGTTGCATAAAAGTTCCCCCCCCCACATAAATGTAGTAGGGGAAAATGTAGTTAGTACACATACATAATAATCAGTGTCTAAGAGTTGTTTATATTTTGCTTCATAGAAGTAGTCATAGCATGTTATACTTGCCTTATGTAGATAAAAAGGCTATCAAGTTTTCCGATAATATTTATTATTCTGTATATGTTTTAAAATAAAGTAACGTTTCTAGCTGAGTATGTGTTGACTTTTCCCATTGCTTGGAATTCTTATGTACTCTCGGGTTCTAGGTCATCCCAATGCGTCACGTTTTTTCCTGTCTTATTCACGTACAAGCTGGGCACGGTGATGCCTGCCCTTAATTCCAGCTTTCAGGAGGCATAGAGAGGCAGATCTCTGAGTTCAAGGCCAGCGGGGTCTCTTCAGTGAGCCCCAGGACAGCCAGGGTTCCATAGTGTGTGTGTGTGTGTGTGTGTGTGAGAGAGAGAGAGAGAGAGAGAGAGAGAGAGAGAGAGAGAGAGAGAGAGAGAGAGAGAGCCCAAGGAGACTAGAAGGTGGCACTGGATCTCCTGAAACTTAAACTTTAAGCAACTGTCTTGATGTCGAGAACCAGACCCCGGTTCTCTGCAAAGCAGCCGGTGCTCTCAGCACTGAACCATCATACCATCTCACAATCTCCTACACATGAAGTATTTTTTTTAATGTGTCTGTAAGTCTACAGCGGAATAGACCAAGCCTGTGTTCAGAGCACGACCCAGTGGTGAAAGCAGCAGAGATGACTACACACTCAGACAACTTAAAGCATAAACAAAGCCAGACGTTGCCCTGACCAGTGATCCTGGTGCTCCTGGAAAGGAGCACCGTCCAACTTTGGGGAGAATGGTTTGTTTTGATGCAGTGTGGCCCATGGAACAGCTTTAAGATGGGGTCACCCGAGCCAGGATTTGAACAAGTCTCACTATGGCACACCTATTGATCATTATTTTAAAAAATATATTTTTGGTAGTGCCTGGTATGGAATACCAGGGAAAGAAAGCAAACTTTTTAGTTGGAAAGGTAGAGGGAATAGTCAGTCTTGAAACTGGGTGGATTCCTGTAATCACAGAATTCTAGAAGTGCAAACAGGAGTTCAAAATTAACTTTAGGGCCACACACTGAGTTTGCGACCAGCCTAGAATAGAGAGTCTGACTCAACCATAAACCGTCTTCGTTAGTATTTCTGACAAAGGAGAGGTGCAGCAGGCTTTTTCTTTTGGGCCACCAACCAGCTACGAAATCATGACACAGAGACTTGTTACTCGTTTCCAATGCTTGGCCTTGGCTTAGCTCTTTTCTGGCTAGCTCTTTTAACTTAAATTAACCTGTTTCACTTTTTCTCAGGGCGTATTACCTTTCTTCTGTAAATCTTACTTCCACTGCCCCTCTATGTCTGTCTGTCTGTCTGCTTGCCCTGGGCATGTCCCTTATCCTTCCCTCCCCTCCTCTCCCCTCCCCTCCCCTCCTCTCCCCTCCCTCCCCTCCTCTCCCCTCTTCTCCCCTCCCCTCCCCTCCCCTCCTTCCTTTCATTCTTCTTGTTGAGTCTAGAATTCTCCTATTTATTCTCTCTTCCTGCCAGCCCCACCTATCCTTTCCCTGCCTAGCTATTGGCCATTCAGCTGTTTATTAGGCCCATCAGCTGCCTTAGGCAGGCAAGGTAAGATAGACGCAACGTATCTTTTACATAATTAAACACACATCCTTTAACATCATCAGACAAATGCAGCATACACAAGCGTAACACGCCTTTACGCAGCTGAAGTAGTATTCTGCAGCATAAGCAAATACAACACATCTTTGTCCAGTTAAAAGGACGTTCCACAACAGAGAGGTTTTCAGCCAAGGACACGGAGAAGGCTTCAGAGTGGAAGTGGACTATGTTAATGGGTGACAGGGCAAGCAAGTAACAAAACACTACCAATGTAAGCAGCTCACACGATGGGCCAGCGGGTAGAGCAAGGGTCCAGCTAAGCTGCTTACATACAAATTGTACCTTTTTATATTTGGTTGGGATCTTGCCATCTTCCCCCGATTTGACTCTTTAAAGTTTATTTTATTTTATTTTTTGCAGTAGTGTGACTTTTCTCAACTACCACAGATTTGGGGTTTTCTAGTAATCCAGATTGGTTACCATGCTCTGGAAACAAAATTTGAATTCAGGTTTACTTTGGCTATAGAAGAATTACAGACATTGGAAGGCCCTGAGAGTACTCATACCCCTTATACTTTTCAGATATTAGAGTATGTCTGCATTCTGTTATTCCTGCCCATTTCCTTTATCTGTGACCGTTCTTTTATTGTTGTGGCACATTACCTGACTCTTGTCATTCTTACCCTTCTCCCTTTTGATGTTAGACCTACTAGGAAAATTCTGAATCAGGTTTCCACTTTAGGATGCTTAACTGTATCTGCATAGTGTTACACAATCCATTTGTGGGTTGCGAGAACTGTAATAGGGACATTGCTGAGTGCGTATAATTCTGTGTCATGGGCCATGGCATAAATACAACAGATGACAATTAATAATTAAAGTGTCAATCCACCAGAGGAATAACTCTCTGATGGAGAAAACCTCATCAAACAAGGCTTACAGGGCCCCGGATTCTGAGAACTGGCTGTTTCTGTCTATAAGTTGTCTCATGTGCCGTCACATACATTCCTTCCCTAAAAACAGCTATATAAACACATATATGAGATAAACTGGGCACACATATAGCTATGCATGGTCAGGAAGATGATTTCTGTGTAACTGCAATTTTGATGAATAGTAATAATACTAGGATATTTTTTTACAACTCAGGGTGACATAGAAAAATAATAGTGGGCTGGAGAGATGGCTCAGAGGTTAGGAGCACTGGCTTCTCTCCCAGAGGTCCTGAGTTCAATTCCCAGCAACCACATGGTGACTTGAAACCATCCGTAATGAGATCTGGTGCCCTCTTCTGGCCTGCAGGGATATATGCAGGCAGAAACTGTATACATAATAAAGAAAGAAAGAGAGAAAGGAAGGAAGAAAGAAAGAAAAAGAATAGTAGAAACTGTATACGTAATAAAGAAAGAAAGGAAGGAAGGAAGGAAGAAAAAGAATAGTATCCTCAGCTACAAAGACAGCTTTTTACACCATTAGCTGATTTTAGACCTCAAAACAAATTCAAAGCAGACTAATTGCCCCTGCTAAAATATGCAAGGGCAAGTTCCCAGGTGTCTGTTTGTTGAACCAAAGTCAGGCTGATAACATTAATAACTCCCTGCAGCAAATGACTTTCTGCACATGCTCCTAACCTCACTCTTACAACATAAGGCTCAAGGTTCAGCCAACTAATTGTTTATTGCTCAGGTCCTGAATCTCAGTGTCACTCTCCACGATGTCCCTCAGGCTACATGCAGACAGGCCACCATGCCTGCACAGCCGAATGTTGCTGTGGCTGCTCATTTCCAGATGGCCAGTGTGACATTATAGCCTGAGAGAAACTGTGTCAATTCTTTGTGTATCAGTGGGGCTCCGTTTCTTATTGTTTATTTAAGTGATGCTAGGTGACCCTGAAAACGCAATTTTACGTATCGCCCGGAAGAGTTTGTTCTGAGAACGAGCGTGTGACTGAATGAGTCGGCGAGTGGACGATGCAGAAGGGAGACGTAGCTGGGGGGGGGAATGCAGCAGAGTAGAGAGAGGAAAGAGGAAACGTGTACAGAATAGAGATGTGCGGAAAACAGAGATGTAGCGGGTATGCAAATGCAAAGGGATGTAACTGTGTAGAGAGTTTGTCAGGAGAAGGAAAAGAGAAGATTCCCATCAGGAAAGCATGTGCTTGTTCCTTTTTTTCTTAAGTCACCATCATAACTCGTCAGTCCTGTCCTTTTTTTTTTTTTTTTTTTTTTTCCTTCTCGAGGCAGCGTTTGGTTCCTCTTTGGCTTTGGAGGCTGTCCTGCCTGGAACTAGCTCTTGTAGACCAGGCTGGTCTCGAACTCACAGAGACTCGCCTGCCTCTGCCTCCCGAGTGCTTTCCTAAAGACCCTCAGATAGGTGAGAATCTTTTTTTTCTTTTTTTTTTTTTTTTTTTTGGTTTTTATGAGACAGGGTTTCTCTGTATTGTTTTCGAGGCTGTTGGTCCAGCCCGGCCTCAAACTCAGAGATCCGCCTGCCTCTGCCTCCCGAGTGCTGGGATTAAAGGCGAGCGCCACCTCCGCCCGGCGGTGAGAGTCTTTTCTAAGTCCCGCTACTCTGAAGACATTCTGCTACCCTGGCTGCAGTACTGCGAGCTGGACTCCTGGGCGAGCTGCTTTCCTGGGCTCCAGCCGTTCTGCCTACCGTTTTACCAAGAGAGACACTTAGAAAGGGAAACTCTGACAACAGTTGTCGTTTGTGGGAAAAACAACCCGTTCCCACTTTTGTGCTTTCGTGGTAATATAACCAAAACTTACACAAGAAAACTACATATTAGCCACACTTAAAAAAAAAATCCTACATCAGGGTCCAGTGATGGTGATGCACACCTTTAATCCTAGAGCTCTGGAGGTGGCGGCAGGTGGATCGCTGTGAGTTCAAGGCCATCCAGAGCTACCTAGTGAGGACCTATCTCAAAAAACAAACACGAACAAAAACCACTTTGGTAAGCCTTGAATGTTTTTTTTTTTTGTGGCAATGGCAAGGTTTAGTTGCTTTATTAGGGCATACTTGGCACATGAATTCTTTTTTTAAAGATTTATTTTATTCATTACATATACAGTGTTCTGCCTACATACCAGAAGAGGGTGCCAGATTGAATTGTAGATAGTTGTGAGCCACCATGTGGTTGCTGGGAACTGAACTCAGGACCTCTGGAAGAGCAGTCAGTACTCTTAGCCTCTGAGCCATCTCTCCAGCCCCGGCACATGAATTATAATCTCTTAGCCAGATACTTTCAGTGCAAGAAGAGACTGGCTTAGCCGGGCGCTGGTGGCCCACGCCTTTAATCCCAGCACTCGGGAGGCAGAGGCAGGCAGATCTCTGTGAGTTCGAGGCCAGCCTGGTCTACGAGAGCTAGTTCTAGGACAGCCTCCAAAGCTACACAGAGAAACCCTGTCTCGAAAAACCAAAAAAAAAAAAAAAAAAAAAAAAAGAGACTGGCTTTCAGGTAGCAGAGACCCAGTCATGCTATAGAATGTACCAACAGTTCATTCCTTTTTTACTGCTAGTTTCCCATCATATTGTTCAGATCTGGTCATTTGAAATATATCCAGGTATGCTGTTACTGCAAGTGTAATTGTTGTAGAATGCTTATTTTTATTTTTTTTTCTCACGGCTATATGCTTTCGTTTCTCGTTGATAAATATCCCCAAACTACTGGGTCAGATGGTTGGATTTTGTTTTTTTCATTTTTGGTACAAGGTCTCTGTAGGTAGCCCTGGCTGTCCTGGAACTTGTTGCATAGATCAGGCTGTGTTGAACTCAGAGATCCCTCTGTCTCTGTCTTCTGAGAGCTAGAATCAAAGGCCTCTGCTGGGCCTGGCGGTGGTGGCGCACACCTTTAATCCCAGCACTCGGGAGGCAGAGACAGATGCTCTCTGAGTTCAAGGCTAGCCGGGTCTACAGAGCAACTTTGCCTGGTCTATAGAGCAAGCTCCAGGACAGGCTCCAAAGTTACAGAGAAACCTCTTGAAAGAAATCTAGAAAAAAAAGCATCTTACACCGTGTGTGTGTGTGTGTGTGTGTGTGTGTGTGTGTGTGTGTGTGTTGTGTGTATTTTTCCCAAGACACGGTTTCTTGGTGTAGACCTGAGTGTCCTGGAACTTGTTTGAGATCTGCCTACCTTTGCCTCTTGAGTGCTGGGATTAAAAGGATATAACACCACCACCCAGCTACTATATTTAACTTTTGTAGAAGTTGTCAACCTATTTTCCAATGCTATTTTAATTCCATCAACAACATGTGAGAAAGAATTACAGTTTTATTTAAATTTTTTTTGTTTTTTTTGAGACAGGGTTTGTCTGTTTTTTTTTTTTTGGAGGCTGTCCTCTGTAGATCAGGCTGGCCTCGAACTCACAGAGATCCGCGTGCCTCCCGAGTGCTGGGATTAAAAGCATGTGCCAACAACACCCGGCTTGTTTAAATTTTTTGGTTTGCTTTTTTTCTTTTGGAGACAAGGTCTCACACTAGCTCAGGCTGCTCTGAAACCGTATGTCGCTCAGGCTAGTCTTGAACTTGTGGCAGTCCTTGTGTCTCTGCCTCTTAAGGGCCTAGAAAAGTTAGATTTTAAAACTTTAAAAGTATCCTATGATCACCGTCTGAACATTCACAAAGTATAAGATATGGAAAATTATGTACTGGAAAAAAACGACTTGGGCATTTAAAGAGCCTGTATCATAGGAGTGTGTGCTACACACACACACACACACACACACACACACACACACACACACACAGCTTCCACTGTGTGTTTCGAGGGCTTCATTATAAGAGCCAGATAATGAATGTGAGAGTAGTTTAGGATCACAGTGACGATACAGACAGCTGAGACAGAGCTGTATTTGGATGATTAGGACAGAGGCAAGAAAAGGTGCCATAAGTCAATTCTTTATTTTGATTAAATTACAATGCTGATCCTACACACTCCTGTTCAAATGAATCAACCAGTATTTCCATAACAACCAGCCCTTTGTAGGTGTCTGTTAGCATCTCTGTTAGTCATTGGTGCCCATCAATTCAAACCAAAATGAGACTACAATCATTTATTCTTTCTCATATGTCTGTAAGTCAGTGGGCCAGTTTCGCTGATGTGGACCCACCTGACCCTTGCCTGCAATTATACTGTTATCCAGGAAGTCAGGAGGATAGCTTTGTTCCTGATCTTGATCTACAGTGTCCCGTTCTGCCCACCATTCCTGGCTTCTTATCAACGCTCATTCTAACAACTGGCGTTTTTTCCTAGTCAACACCAGTTCTGGGCCGACGCAGACTCATGAAGGGAGAGTCGGGTTTGCAGTCCCTGCAAAACTGTGCAGACGCGTGGAAAGGTGGGGAAGGTTGGAGCCATCCTTCACTAATCTACCAAAAACCATCGAAGTCCAGCTCGCCCATCACGATTCCCTACCTCTTACTTCATCTAGGAATTATCCGAACAAGGAGTTATCTTCATAGTGAGTTCCAAGACACTCGGGGGAGTGAGTGGCTGTCAAGTTCACAGCAGAGTAGAAGTTTTTGTTAGTGGCCCCCGCCACCACCCCAGCTGTGTGTCAGGACGCCACTCCCGAAGCATTAGAACGGGAGACCAGGAAACTGCATTTGCTGTTTTCTGTCTCAGTTAACATATAACTCATTTCTTTTTCAAACGAGGATTCCTCCCCTCCCCCGGCACACCCCAACAAATGACCTTGAGGTTAGTCATTAACAACCCGGAGTAAAAGTATTCAAGACACCTGTCAGCAAGTATTTTTCCAGCGGGCCTCAGTGGATTTTTTTTTTCAATGCAGAAGCAGCCGAGGAGAGCCCAGTACTGGGTTTCCCTGTGCATGTCGTGAACAAGAACTCCTGTCTTTTAAGTGTAGCAAGTCGGGCTCTGTGCCAAATCACAAGCCCCTCCACAATGAGCTTTAACAAACCTGCAAAACCTTACCCAAATCCACCCTTTTGCCCTTTCCCCCCGGGAAGTCTGCCTCTCTGTCCCGCCCACTTCCGCCCTCTGCGGTCAAACCGACACCCTCGGGTCCCAGAGGAAGTCGCGGCGTAGTAATTTTAAACGCGAGGCACACAGGGCTTGTTTTGTTTTGTTTTTCTTTGATCAGCGGTCCTAACCCACTCGTCTCATCCAGGGTGGGGCGAAGCCAAGAGCCCAGCAGGGCGAGGGCGGGGCCGGGACCGGGGGCGGGGCCCTGGCCGGGGGGCGTGCCCGCCTCGCACGCTCTGCGCGCCTGACGTCACCAGGCTGCGTCCGGCCTCTGGGCGGCTGCGGTGGCGCTGGCGGCGGCGGCTCCGCCGAAGGCCGTCCGAGGTAGGAGGAGGAGGGCGGGAGGGCGCCGGCGCCCCGCTGCGGCCCCGGGATGCGCGGGCTCCCCGCGGGACGTCGGCGGGAGGCGGTGGCTCGCTTTTCCCTCCCCCGGTGACCCGCCGTGGAGGAAGTCCCCCTCCCCCCACATATACACGGTGAAGTCGGGTTGCCGTGCCGTCCGGCGGAAGTCCGGCCGGTTGGCCCGTCCGGGTGGGTCGCGCGCTCCGAGCGCTCGCCCGCTCAAGTTCTGCGTCTCGTCCGTTCTGTTTTGCCTTCCGTGAGGTTTTTAGAAGACGTTTTTGATGATCGCGATCGCTTTTTTTTTGTTTTGTTTTAATCCCGCAGCACTTGAAGAAGCTCGAGTGGGACCGCGCGCCTCCTGTCGTTTCTTTGCCAGGGAGGAAATGTCAAGACCTTTAGTCTAGGACCGTGTTTTTTTTTTTTTTTTTTAATTAAAGCCCGGTCCCTGGAGATCCCGTGTCATGTGCCCCTTCGGTACCGTAAAGTTGGAAGAGGGACCCCGAGAAGCAGAGGTCTTTTCGCTTAGTCAGCCGTGGTTTTTATGGTACGTGTTAAAGGAAAAGAACACGGAGGCCGGTTAACTATTTTTTTTTATTTTTAGTAATTTAGTAAATTTTCAGTCCTCTCACCCGCCTTTTATATCTTTTTCGCAGGGAGGAACCACTCTGCCACGGTTAAATACTTTAGATGGGAATAAAGGATATAGCGTTTCCGAGAAGATGAGAATGAATGAAGCGTCTCTGCTCCTGAAAAGAAAGACCCTATTACACTTACATGTGAGTTAAAACTTGGGTTTCTGATAATGTTGCTAAGTTAGGTTGGAGATCAGGTTCTGCAGTATTTATCAGTGTGGGTTTACAGTTGTTAGCCGAGGAACTGGGGAGAAGGCTCAGTCGGTGAAGTGCTTATCTGTAATCATAAATCACCCTGGTAAAAACCCCCGGCATCTGGCAGCACACATCTGTCCAGCTCGTTTTGTTGGATTGGTAAGCTGCAGGTTCTGTCTGGAGAAATGAGGTGGAGATCTACCACCGGGGAAGTATGTTTTCTACAGGTGTGGTCTCACATGGACACCCCCACCCCACCCTATACGCTGGCATGCACACACAAGAAAAATCAGCTAAATGTGAAGTGGAGACGACTAAAGCTTTAGACAGCAGCAAAAACCATGTAGAAGACTTAACTTTCAGAGCCAGATATGGTGGCACGGGTCCAGCACTCAGGAGGCAGGTATAAGGGGATTTATTTCAAGATCAAAGCCACCCTGGACTACACGGGGAAACCCTTCTATTTTGTTTAAAACAAAACAGCACACACACACACACACACACACTCACTCACACACACACACTCAACAAGACAAACCCTAAAATTTTAAGATGACGTGGCAGCCAGGAGTAGTAGACTCAGTTTCCTGAGTGACCTTGTCCTGGGAGCCCACGTTGTGAGATACGCTTTCTGTAGCTGTAAAGCAGAGGTAATGCTATCCTCTGATACTGTGTAAAGTAAGTGTTATTAGGGATAAGAAAAACATCCCGCTTGTTTTTGAAGACATAAAATGATTTACACATGACTAAATAGTACCCCCCTTTTTTTTCTATAGAAAATATAAAACGCTTCACCTAGACTCTGCCTTGTTTTATCAGTGTCGGTATGTTGTCACGCACACAAGAGCCTCTCTGTAGGGTGACCTGGTGGCGGTGGTGGGTATTGAGAGAAATGGATCAAAGGGTGCAGAGTAACAGGCAGTAGAGTAAGTTGTGAGATTTAACGTCTGACATGAAAATCACAGTGAATGAAAACTGCATCAGACTTCCAAAGTCCCAACTTGACAAACTAAAACGAGTAGTACATACTTCTGTAGTGTAGAACTAAGTATATATATATATATATATATCTCAGAGTAAGACACGCTCAGCTGCATATTTAATTTGGTGTATAGCTAACTGTACTAATGCTATGTGAATAAATTTAAGGTTGGCGCTTTTATGAAGCTCTGGGATGACTGTAGGTAAAAATAACTTGTGGTCTGGCAGAATAAATGGATGCAGGTGTGTTTAGGTCTCTCGGCTCTGCACCTTGCTCACAGGCTCCCACGTTGTCGACAGACAGCGTTACCCTCCTGTGGCTTCACTCCTGACTTTGCTCGCTTAGAATCAGCCGGAAGTAGTCTCTCCTTTCCCAGAACACAGTGGTGTCCGCTCTGTGTCAGAGCTTCCGTTTGCGCTGCTGATCTGCCCTTTTCCATCCTCTCAAGTCTTGTCCGTGTGGCCTCATCACGACCTCCTCCCTTAGCTCTTTGCCCCTAATGCGCTTCATTTTCCCCACAGCATTTATCTTTACAGTGTCCTCTCTTATGAATGCTTATGAATGGTTTTATCTCGTCTCCGCCCCAGGAGGTAACTTCCACGAAGAGAGGCGTTGAGTCGTTTTTTTTCCTCGTGGCTATATTCCCTGTTCATAAATATGTTATGTACTCAGAACATTTTTGTTTAAGTAAATGTGTTGTTAGGCAGGCCAGTTCTTTTCCGAGAGCCACGGTGAAGGAGATTGTGGTCTGTGTAAGTAACATTAGTACAGGTTAGAAAACGCAGACTGGTACAGTGTGAAGACTAGGGAATGAATTCATAAAACATGGTAATCACTCTGCTGGGATTCAAGCGGTGCTTGCTTATAGGGGTGCCTTGGCCCTTTGCAGGGGAGGCAGGCAAAATGCACACAGAAGTGGGAACGGTTAGAGCCGCAGCACCCTGACCTCAGACAGAACACGAGGAGTGTGAAACACAGCATTAGGAAATGAGATTGAAGAGTTAGGTGTGGGCTGGGCGGTGGTGGTGTGTTGCTTTTGTTTATGCTTTGGAACATTTGTTTAATGTTGCAATGCTGTGTTTGATCAAATGAAATTCACCTGTGGTCGGGAGGCTGGCTCAGCAACTGGAGGTTGTAGGGAGTAGCCAGGTGAAGAAGGGTTTTTAAGGAGGGGGGAGAAAAAGCACCAGGACTTCTTGGGAGACGTGAAGCAGTGAGCTAGGTGAGCTGTTTCTTATTTAGCTTTTCTGGGAAGCAAGATTTTACCTCAGCCTTTGAACCTTGAGTTTTGTTTTTTTTTTAAGCAGGACAGAGATTTCAATAAATTTCCTCAGTAGCTCTAAAGGAGTCGGTGCCTGCAACAGTGGCGCACACCTTTAATCGCAGCACCCAGGAGGCACAGGCAGGTGGATATGTGAGTCTAAAGCCAGCCTGGTCTGCAGAGTGAGGTCCAGGACAGCCCGCAACTCTTATACAGAGAAACCTTGCCTAGGGTGGGGGATTTAGATGTGGGACAGCTGAAGGGTTTTAGTTACTGGGTTACAAAATTAAGACTGGTAAATAGTGAGTAATCATTCTAAGGTGTTGTTTATTTCATCTTATTGTGTTGCCCATGCTATTCATGTACTACACCCTAACTCCTAAGTTTTTAAACAGGAGAGTGAGATTGGAAAAGATGTTTTCTGCCCCAGTTGACAGCACTGTGTGGTTTTAATTGGATTAGGGCCAGGAGACATGGAGGTGCGGATCTTAGATAGAGCAGATGCCAGACATGTCTTACAGGAGGAATAGCTATCCATCCTCCGTCCTCTTTGGGTGATAAGGATGGTGACAGCATTGTCAGAGCAGGAGGAATACATGGGGTAGGGAAGGTAACTGCACTGCAGCCCTGGGTTTAGCTGTCATTGCCTGTTGTGACGAGGACATCCATTGGGAGAAGGGGAGAACTCCGATGAAACCTGGATCGAGTCCTGGCTCTGCTCCTGCGAGTGCAGGACAAGTTATTTAACGTGTCTGCCTGTTTTTTCATTCCTGGCCTCTTCCATGCATCTTCCCAAGCCCGTACAGAAATGAAACAGGAAGAACTGCCAAGTTTAAAGCTTATATATACTTGAGTTGGTGTAATTCTTAAGTTTGCTTATTTTGATGATGGAGTTTCTTGTTATTTGTAAAGAAAATCTCAGTGTAGGCTTTTGTCATATATTAGAATACTATCATACCCACCTCCTTAGAAAACATGTTTTCTATAATATAAGTGAATGCAGATCAAGTTTGTTAACTTTTAAGATATATTTTAACTTTGAACATACTTGTTTAAGAATGTAGAATCATTTGTGAAAAATTTAGTCTGTTAAAATTTACAACAAGCTGGAAATTACAAGTTTAAAACTGTGCTTAAGAGTTGAATTTAACCAGGCGTGATGGTGCATGCCTTGAATCCCAGCACTTGGGAGGCAGAGGTAGAGTTTGAGGTCAGCCTAATGTACATAACAAGTTTCAGGGCAGCCACAGCTGCAGAGAGAAACATTGTCTCAACACGAAACAAGATTTGACTTTATTGGGCTAGGTGTGGTGGGTATACTGCTTTAATTCCAGCACTGGGAGGTAGATGCAGGTAGACCTCTGTGAGTTCAAGGTCAGCATCATTTACAGAGTGAGTTCCAGGCCATACATTGAGGCCTGTCTCAACAAACAAAAAATTGAATTCATTATTTTCACTCTTTCATTTTCTGCCGTGTGATCCTTGAACATGGGAACTTTGATAGAAGGCTCTCTGAGCCTTTGAACTCCAGTGCTTGGTACACAATAACTGTGCAGTGTATTTACTGAACAGTCTCACACATGAATGATGGTAGCAGTTGGGGCCCCTCTGCCTGAGGCCTTCTGAGAAACGACAGGGTAGGTCACCCGTCCTCATTTTGCTTGGACACTTAGTTGAATTAAACCGACAGGGTAGGTCACCTGTCCTCATTTTGCTTGGACACTTAGTTGAGTTAAAGCAGGTTTGCTTTCCCCTTTGTTTCTACCCAGGTGGCACACAGGCTGCTGAGCCTCACTCCCAGCCCTGAAGTGCAGCAGTCTGTGCTGTGTGTGGCACCCATGCACGTGGGAGCCTGAGGAGGGCTAGCCTGAGCAGCCCTAGTTAGTTCTCTGCCTCTCCCTCGTCTTCCCACGGCATATCGGACAAGCAACTGTTGTTTGTGCTGGGGGTTGAACTTGGATCCTCGTATTTGCTGAGCCCTGTTTTCTTTAGCTCTCTGTAAGCTTGGCCCTGTCTTATACAAAATACATCTATGGCATGCACTCTCCGCTGTAGTTGACCTTCAGTGACAGAGTAGGAACAGGAGACTCCAGACCAGAGCAACTCATTTCTCTTTGGGGTGTTCACACATATATCCTATTATTAAACTCTAAGTTCAAATGAGACCATTCATTTTGATAGTTTAGTGGCTGGTGGCTGCCTTAGAATCTGAAGACAGACCTCCCACTCCTCCCCCAACTGGTATATTTCCAGAGGTAAACAAACCGAAAAGGCAACCTTAATTCTAGAAAGGCTTTTATTTTATCCTTTGGTCAACAAAAGTTAATTGCTCCTACTTTTACTATGCCTTATATATGAATTTCCTTCACAATTTAAAGTTTCATGGTACCATTTAAAAGCCATTTTCCCTTTTATTTAATTTAATTTATTTATTTATTTATTTTTTGGTTTTACGAGACAGGGTTTCTCTGTATTGTTTTGGAGGCGCCACCACCGCCCGGCATATTTTTACTTATATACTAACTAAACATACAGAGTCAAGAGGGCTTTGGGGGCAAGTTGACTCAATCATGTACACGTGGTTTTTAAAAATGCTCAGTTACTGTTCTGTCTTTCATGACGAACTTATAAAAAGTATAAGGAATTATGTTTAAGTGTTTTGCCTACATGTATGTATGTGTGTGTTGCTGGTGTCCTCAAAAAGGGTGTCAGGTCTCCCAGGAAAGAGTTATACATGGCTGAGAGTGCTGTACCTCGGTAAGAGCAACAAATGCTCTTAATCACCGAGCAAGCCTTCAGTTCCCTGAAGATAAACTCTTCATCTTCAGACTCACTAACTTCCTTAATCACGGAGCAAGCCTTCAGTTCCCTGAAGATAAACTCTTCATCTTCAGACTCACTAACTTCCTTAATCACGGAGCAAGCCTTCAGTTCCCTGAAGATAAACTCTTCATCTTCAGACTCACTAACTTCCTTAATCACGGAGCAAGCCTTCAGTTCCCTGAAGATAAACTCTTCATCTTCAGACTCTCTAACTTCCTTAGGATACAGTAAAAGCCTGTCTACAATTAAGGTTGCTTTTTTGGTTTGTTTACCTCTGGAAATATACCAGTTGGGGGAGGAGCGGGAGGCTTGTCTTTAGATTCTAAGGCAGCCACCAGCCACTAAACTATCAAAATGAATGATCTCATTTAGATGTAAGATGCAAAAAAAAAAAAAGGATTATTTTAATCACTCCTTTACCTTATTGGTTGCGGGGGCTGGGGTTTGTCCTGGCACTAGGCAGGGTTTCTCTGTGTAGCTTTCCAGCCTGGAACTAGCTCTTGTAGACCAGGCTGGTCTTTAGATCTGCCTGCCTCTGTCTCCCAAGATTAAAGGTGTGTGCCACCACTGTCCAGTTTATAAAGTAGCTTCTTAGTTTCCTGTGCTCAACCACATAAAGAACACACTGCTCATACCATGCAGAACCTCATGGGTGTGGTATTCAGAATAAAGACCTGTGGGAGGCATGCTTTTTAATTAGAGTAGTAAGTACCTGGTAGCTCCTGAGGGAGATGTGACTGCTTGATTGAATAATTTCTTAGGTTGGCAGAGAAATGAAGCCCACCACATGGTATAAACAAAACTGCCTGGTTACTATGGTAAAGATGGTTTATCTGTGGGTTTTTATCAACAGAAGCTCAAGGTTTTCCTACAATATCAGATGTCAAGGCAGCAAATAATATTAGTGTTTTTGTTTTAATTTGTTTTCAGACCATGCTGGCTAGTTTTATGTCATCTTGGTAGAAGCTAGAGCCATTTTGGAAGAGGGACCCTCAAATGAGACAATGCCCTCACTGGATTAGTTAGTGTGTGAGCTGGTAGTGCATGTTTCTGATTGGTGGCTGATGTGGCAGTGCCCGGCTCATTGTGGTCAGTCCATGCAGCCCTGGGCTGGTGGTCATATAGGAAAGCAGGCTGAGTAAGCTAGTTAGCAGCACTCCTCCAGGCCTCTGCGTCAGTTCCCGCTGTCAAGTTCTCGCCCTGCCTTGAGTTCCTGCCCTCACTTGGTTTGACTATCTTTTTGGCTATAGTGTTAAATCCCAGCATGAGAAACTCTAACTAAGGCATATACAGTATATTTTGATCATATTCTTACCCCTCTACCACTCCTCTTAGACCCTCCCAACTTCATGTTCTCCTTTTCTCTCTCTTAAAGACAACAAAAACCAAAAAGAAAAAGAAGAAAAAGCGCACAGAAAACAAGAGTCTGTCTGTGTTGGCTAACTGTTCCTGGAGTGTGGTTGGTTGATGTACCTAGTGTCACTCCCTTGGAGGAAACCAATTTCCCTCCGTCTTGGGGAGAAACGGGCTTTGTGTCTACTTCCCCTCTTCGGGGCTGGGGCTCTGTCTGGTGGACCGTGGAGTCTGTGTGTGCTGCCGCATCTGCGAGTTCATTCACTACCAGCTTTGTGTTGCTTACATTGATGCTTCCTTGGAGCTGTCCACTACTGCTGGCTCTTAACACATTTTATTTTTACCTCCTTCTCTGAGCCTTGGTGTTAGCGAAGTGTAACAGCTGCAGGGTTTTTGGGGACAGTTCTTCTGAGTCAGCCGTGAGGCACAGAAGAGTGTCTTTTTTTTGTAAACATCATCTCACTATCCCAGGCTAACCTCAAAATCGTCATCCTTCGCTAACAAAGCAGTGCGAAAACTACCGTTTCTCAGCCTATTTCCAGATAGGCTACATAGATTATCATATACTTACTATAGCCGTACAACTTCCTTTCCCTTAAGACTCAGGTCTCCCTGTGTTGCCTAAGCTGGCCTCAAACTCCAGTTCCTCCAGAGTCTGCCTCCTGAGTGCTAGGATCATAGGTGTCTATTACCACACCAAGCCCCAGGTGTATTTCTTAAGAAAAAAATATGTGCCTGAGAAAAATTTTAATTTCTCTATTTGAATCCGTAAGGATGCTTGAGAAGTTGGTAAGTATATTGATAACCTAGATTTATGTATTGTTATTTAATTTTTTTGTTCTTTTCATAACAGCAAAATTACATTATGGAATATCACCTAAGGTTGGAAGTAGTTAGAAACAATTCACAGCTAGAGTTTATAAAATTAATCCAAAATTTAGTTTGCATTACAGTTCAGTCTTTTGCCATAATAAGAAATATAATTTGTTTAGTGCTTAGTTTAGATTAGTATATGTGTTTCTAATCAGTAGCAGTAAAAAAATATTTTCCTTTATGAGGACAAAAATGAAGTAAATAATTTGAATTGTGTATGAGCTGTCATGATCATTTTGTGAAAATTTCACTTTATTTTGTATCATTTAGATTTGAAGACTGTATCATCCTGCTCTCCAGTATAAACAGTTTCTCTGTTCTGTGATCAATGTCACTCACAGGAACTTAAGTAACAAACGAAATGAGCCTGGGGCGTGGAAAATATGACTTTTATATTGGTCTGGGGTTGGCTATGACCTCCAGCATTTTCATTGGAGGGAGTTTCATTTTGAAAAAAAAAGGCCTTTTGCGACTTGCCAGAAAAGGCTCCATGAGAGCAGGTAAGTTATGCCCTGTAGGTATCAGAAGTGCATAGATAGTCACACACTTGGCTTCTTTGCACGCGGAAGCACTGTCTTCATGCTTTGTGAATATATTGGAACATTTGAGCTGTTTAAGAGATTTCTGAGTATTTATTAATTACATACCAGTTTAGTAATGAGAAAAATAAGCTGTCAAAAGTGATTAACTTTTATAGCTACTGTCAGAATAGGAACAGGATCAATGCCAAATTATTTCCCAGAGTTTAAATTTCATTATGTCTGCACAAGAGGAAATTGGCTCTCTGAGTGGAACCAGGTTTTTGTTGAAGACTGGGATATTTTGTATGTGTAGAAATTCTGACTTCTACATTAGAAGTTGTTTTGTTTTGTTTTTGATGATTTCAAATTGCATGAAGGAAAGAATTGCCTTGCTGGGCTTGAGTCCTCCACTAATTGACCTGAATGATAGGTTGTTTCCCCTCAAATTGCTGATGTATTACTAGACCGTGGAGGATACTCAGTATAAGTGAACATTAGTTCAATGTCGTGGGATTCCCACCTGGGTCCTGTGCTGCTTACAACACCCAGATAACACACACTCTATTAGTTACAATGCTGTTGGCCCATGTCTAGGGCTTCATATAGGCTAGGTCTGCCTTAAAGGTTAACCCACGACTACTAATACATGTATTTCTATAAGGTCTTATCTTACCTAGAAAGCTAGACTCATGCGTCCTCTCCTCCTGGGATCACATGGCAACTCCCTACTCCATTTCCCAGAATCTTCATTCTCTCCTAATCCTGCCTATCTTGCTTCCCTATTGGCCAACAGTGTTTTATTCATCAACCAATAAGAGAGACCAGTGCAGAATGACGTTTCCCATCAGTTCAGTCCATGGATGTCCACCACAGTTCTCAGAATTATGAGATGCTAATACTTGTATTCCATCTTGACTGAGCTTCATTTTAGACCTTACTGGGCCTCATGAGTAGACTAGACCATCATCGTCAGTCCAGGACCCACTGATGTTTTGTGCCATCTCTGTGACCAGGTCTAATACTTCAGCAATATTAGGAAGTCTTAGGACCTATGGACAAGGGAGACATTACTAGCAGCTCACTGGTTTTCTATAGTGCTTCAGCCTTGCTCTTAAAGGCAGCTCTTGTTATTCTTAAAGTATAGGCTTATTAAATTCATTCAGCCACTGCCCGTAACAAACCAAGTGAGTGGGGCGGTGGTGGCGCACACCTTTGATCCCAGCCCTTTGTGGCTTTTTGTTTTTTGGGGGGGAGTTTTTGAGAGAGGGTTTCTCGATACCACCCCAGCTGTTCTGGCACTGGCTCTGTAGACCAGGCTGACTTGAAACTCACAGAGATGCTCCTGCCTCTGCCTCCCAGTGCTGGGATCAAAGGTGTGCGCCACCACCGCCCCACTCACTTGGTTTGTTACGGGCAGTGGCTGAAGTACCAGTTGCTTCCTGACTTAGTTTGGTCAAGGGGAAAAACAAGGAAAGTAGACTGCTCATCTCCTGGCAGCCTAGATGATGAGCAGTTGTCAGTCTTTGTGTGAGCGCAGAGCTCTCTAAGGTGGGGCTGCAGACCAACTCCGTTGAAGTGCGCGGTCTCTGTAATGCCTTCCCTCCATACTGGCTCTCACTCGGTCTGGTTCAGGCTTTCCTGGACATCATAGGCCAGGCTGGCTTCAGACTTGTAGGAGTCGTCTTGCTTGAGAATTGGAAGTGCTGGGATTGCAGGTGTGCTCCACTATGCCCAGTTTCACTACTTTTTGTTGGTTCATTTTCCTTACTAAAGCTGCTGTTCAAACTACAACGATGAGGTTTGCCCTTTAACTTGAGTATAGTATAGTACTAACGTAAACATTGTGAAGATTTGTCATGATCCTCCTGTCTTTTCTAAGGCAATCATGAAATATGCAAGAAATCTCATAATCAGACCTTTTAAAATCTGTGATTACTTAGTGGTTGTTACGGGTTTTACAAGAGAAGATAATTTTCCAAAGAAATGAAATGTTTCTTCATTCGCAGGTCAAGGCGGCCATGCATACCTTAAAGAGTGGCTGTGGTGGGCTGGACTGCTGTCAAGTATGTATAGACAACATGGACATATGCTGTTATAGTCCATATTAGTGAATTGGGAAACCTTTATCTTGCTTTCCATATGTTAGACACAAAATAGATTTCAGCTTGTAGAAATAACTAATTGCTCATTTATTTTGAATAATATCTTTTAAAAAAACCTAATCAGATTAAAACATTTTTGATATATCTTTTCCTTTAAAAACAGGATAAGTAGATTAAAAGGTTTGTGTGTTGGTGGTGGTATGAAAGAAAGTATAGAGTACTTGGCTCATGCGTAAAACACCCAAGATTTGGTCACCCAGGGCTGCAAAAAAAAAAAAAAAAAGTAAATGGAAGTTAGTAGGGAAAAAATCAAATTTTTAGTTCTTTTCCTTTATTAGCTCTCATTCTAAATTGAAAGGAAGTTTGTATTTAATACGATGTTCATTTTGGTGAAGAGGATGGAAAGATGGCTCGGTGGTTAGGGAACACCTGTCACTCTTGTAGGGGACCTGAACTCGATTCCCAGCACACACATATGGTGGTTTACAACCATCCATAACTACAGTTCCAGGACATCCAACACACTTTTCTGACTTCCGTGGCCACCAAGCACGCTCATGGTGTGCATACCTACATTCAGATAAATCTCTCAGGCACAAAATTAATTTTGATGTGGGCAGGGAGTTCAAGACAGGGTTTCTCTCCGTAACAGCCTTAGCTGTCCCGGACCTCGCTCTGTAGACCAGGCTGACATTGAACTCACAGAGATCCACCTGCCTCAGCCTCCCAAGTGCTGGGATTAAAAGTGTGCGTCCGGAATTAATCTTTTAAAAAAGGCGCTTATCCGTTGATGGTCTCATGTACGCCAGGCATTGATCTTGGTGCTGAAGACACAATCGTAAGAGGGAAAAGCACCCCTGTACCCCAAAGGCCAAACCCTGTTTATGAGAAGCTTATAAGTGGGGCAGACCGTATGCAGGGATAGTAGGCGGCTAAAAGGGGTGTGTGTGTGTGTGCGCGCGCGCGCGCGTGCGTGTGTGTGTGTATGTGTGTGTGTGCGCGCGCGCGTGTGTGTGCGTGTGTGTGTGTGTGTGTGTGTGTGTGTGTGTGTGTGTGTGTGTGTGTTGCAGAGCTGCGGGGTGGGGGTGTGAACTGGAGAGTAGATAGACCGACTTTTAGATAGGAGACCAGGAAGGCCGTCGCACCTTACTAAAAAGGTAGTATTTGAGTAATAGACAGTTGTGACTGGGGAATCTGGCCACATGAGGAAAAGGCACTTGAAACAAGGGAAACAGCACTACAGTCTTTGCTGAGGACTGTGACCAGCCTGTGGCTGTGATGGCCTCTGTGATGCCCAGTTGTTCTTACCTCCTGGTACTCACACGTTGGGTAATCCTCTCTTACACGCAGTTAGTGCTGGCCCAGCATGATCACAGAATGCGGGGAAGTCATGATGCTTCTAAGGCTACGTCGTAAATGGAATTGCTTCCTTTTTTTTGGATTGCTTGTTTTGGGGAAACCAGCTGCTGTTTTGAAGACATTCAAACTGTCTTTAGAAAGATTACTGAACAGCAGCCAGGTAAATCAGTGTGCCACCTTGGAAAATGCCTTTAGCTTCCAGAGACTGTGCAAACCTTGCTTTACAAAATCTGACACAAGGGTTTTTCTTTTGTTTTTGTCCTGGAACTCAATTTTGTAGATCAGGATGGCCTTGAACTCACGGAGATCTGCCTGCCTCTGCCTCCCGAGTGCTGGGGTTACAGTTGTGCACCACTACTGCCCGGCTGACAGAAGTTCTTAGAAGATCCTGACCATTTCCTAAAGTCTGGGCCAACAATTTTTGTCAGTTAACTATTTACACTGGCAAAATTAGAGTGATTTGTTCCCTAGCACTAGAATATTTAAATCTCAGGAATCATTTGGGGTCACAGAAAGGATTTTTGCTTGATAGACAGAAAGCCATTGGCGGTCCTGAGCAAAAGGTGTGATGCTATTTTTCTGGCTATGGTGTTGATGCATAAACTATGTAGAGATTATACAGTCAGGCTACTGGGGCTAAAAAGAGTGACAGCATGAACCAGGGGAGTGCCAGGGAATGTAATGAGAAGAATTCTGAATATGTTTTCAGTGTAGATCTGACAAGATGTGTGCATTTTCTTGCTGATCAAAATGTATGGCGTAAAGAAGGATGTTGAAGGCTTGGCCGTAGTTAATAGAAATGACTGTTTTGGTGCTAAAGATATAGGAAGGACCTGAGGAGATCAGGAGTTTGTTCTGAGGACATTAATGTTCAAAGTTCATATAAAATATTTAAGCAGATAGGTGAAATTGGCAATTAAGTAGACAGGTCTGGATTTCTACCAGGTTATTCAGACTGGTGCAAAAAATTGGAGTTGCTATCTGTGTAAAGCCATAATGCTGCAGGAGGTCATTAGGAAATAAGAATATGTAGAATTTCAAATATCAGATACTGAAAATGTAGACTTAGATACATAGTTAGGACCTCTCTCATTAAATAAACAAATACTTATAGCCCAGACTGGACTTAAGCTGCTAACGTAATTGCTAAGGACAGTCTTGAACTTCTGACCTTCCTGTTTCCACTTTCCTAGTGCTGGGATAAAGGCGTGTGCCCTCACCTAGTTTTACATAGAGTTTTTTTGATATCAGAAAAAAGTACAGCTGGATGTAGTGGTACTGTACTTGAGCTAGGCACAGTGGTTTGTGCTTGTAGCCTCGGTTACTCTTTAGGTGAGGCGTGACTGATCATTGGAAGTCAGTGAGGGCAACGTAAGAAGGCTTAAAATAGAAACACTACCCCATTGGCAGGGGCATGTGATCAGAGAGTAGACTGTGGGGGGATGTGCTGGTTGGTTGTGTCATCTGGGAAGAGGACGCCCCAGCTGAGGAATTGCCTCTGTCACACTGGCCCGTGAGCTTATCTGTGGAGCATCTTCTTAATGCTTATATGAGAAGGCCCTGCTCACTGGCAGGGGTCAACCTGGGCAGGCGATCCTCGGTTTGTACAAGAAAGCAAGCCAGCCAAGCTGGGTAGACATGGCACAGTGGGTAAGAGAATTTGTTGCTCTTACAGAAGATCCACAAGGTGGCTCACAGTTCTAGGGGAATCTGAAGCACTGTTTTAATTTCCTTTTATAGCAGGCACACATACAGTGTACATGTATACAGACAAAAACATTCACACACATTATATATACACACATTAAAAGTTTTTTTTTTTTTTCAAAAAGAGAGGCAGTAAGGAGCATTCCTCTGGGTTCCTACCCTGACATTCCTCAGTGGTAGACTGTGAATGAAAATGACAATAGAAGACACTACTTTGTCTGCCTGATAAAAACGTAATAAAAACACGAAGCCTGGAATGGCGGCTGGCACATGACTAAGGCAGAAGGATAGAGAGTTTGAGTCAGGAGCTGGAAAAATGACTCAACAGTGAACAGCACCAGCTGCTCTTCTGAGGACCTGGGTTCAACTCCCATCATCCACATGGTGGCTCACAACTGTCTTTAACTAGTTCCGGGGTATCTGATACCCTCTCTGACTTCTATAGGCCCCAGGTGTGCGCAGGGTACACAGACATATATGCAGACAAAGCACCCATGCACGTAAAATAAAAACAAAATGAAAAAGTATGAGTCCAGTCCAGGTTACATAATGAGAACTGGTCTCAAAAAAAGTAATTCAAATAAAACAACTCCAAGAAAGAAAAAAAAATGCTTCCCACCACCGCTAGCAAACTCCTGTGAAACAGAAGGTAGTGTTAAAGCATATAATAGTAGTGTACCAGATCAGTGGATCAATATTTTCACTGCAAACAAGTTTCAGAGCTGGGGGAAAAAGTCCTCCTTGGAAAGAATAAAGAACAGGTGAGACAGTGAGGATAGCCTTTGATCCAGGACCTGTGCAAGCTCTATAGGGACACCCGAGAGCAGTGGTTCTCAACCCTACTGAGGCTGCGACCCTTTAACGTAGTTCCTCATGGTGTGCTGACCCAAACCATAAGTTATTTTCCTCGCTTCTCCCCAGCTAGTTTGCTGTTAATGAAGCTTCTGTAAATATCTGATACGCGACCTCAAAGGGGTCATGACCCACAGGTTGAGAACTGCTGCCATAGAGGAAGTAGGTAAGAGATAGTGGACCCTTGACTTGGACTAACTAGGATCAGTCTCTGGTTGCCAAAAACGGAAACCCCTGCATGTTCAGGGCTGAGCCCTGGAAGGCTGTGTCTTAGAGTCAGGTAGATTACACACTGGACTCTGAAAGACTGTGTCTTAGAGTCAGGTAGACTACACACTGAGCTCTGAAAGGCTGTGTCTTAGAGTCAGGTAGACTACACACTGAGCTCTGAAAGACTGTGTCTTAGAGTCAGGTAGACTACACACTGAGCTCTGAAAGGCTGTGTCTTAGAGTCAGGTAGACTACACACTGAGCTCTGAAAGGCTGTGTCTTAGAGTCAGGTAGACTACACACTGAGCTCTGAAAGACTGTGTCTTAGAGTCAGGTAGACTACACACTGAGCTCTGAAAGGCTGTGTCTTAGAGTCAGGTAGACTACACACTGAGCTCTGAAAGGCTGTGTCTTAGAGTCAGGTAGACTACACACTGAGCTCTGAAAGACTGTGTCTTAGAGTCAGGTAGACTACACACTGAGCTCTGAAAGGCTGTGTCTTAGAGTCAGGTAGACTACACACTGAGCCCTGGAAGGCTGTGTCTTAGAGTCAGGTAGACTACACACTGAGCTCTGAAAGGCTGTGTCTTAGAGTCAGGTAGACTACACACTGAGCTCTGAAAGGCTGTGTCTTAGAGTCAGGTAGACTACACACTGAGCTCTGAAAGGCTGTGTCTTAGAGTCAGGTAGACTACACACTGAGCCCTGGAAGGCTGTGTCTTAGAGTCAGGTAGACTACACACTGAGCTCTGAAAGGCTGTGTCTTAGAGTCAGGTAGACTACACACTGAGCTCTGAAAGACTGTCTTAGAGTCAGGTAGACTACACACTGGCTCATCCCTGGATAACTTCTTGCTTTGGTCCTGAATTGCTAGTGCCTGTGCACCTGTCAGAAAGCAAAAATTCTCTATTGAAAATATATTCTAAGGCCATTAATGTCTCTAAGGTTGGGTTTTTGAAAAGGAGAATCCAGTAAAATCTTGTGAAATTTACCTTCATATCAGTATCTGCTGCTTCTTTTAATTATGTTTGTTATCCTAGTTTGCAAATATCTTTATTACCTTTAAGTATAAATTGTAGTTTTAAAAATTAAAACTATGGATTTGTTTCTTGCGTTGAATACTAGATACAGCACTAATAACATACATGAGAGAAGATACGGGAGTTATTGAACAACATTATAGTTGAAATATGTAGGTACTACATGAAATGCAGACGTAGTCAAGCTGACTGCATTCCTGTCTAAGAGGTGTTTTGTTGTCCACCCTTCAGTGGGAGCTGGGGAAGTGGCCAACTTTGCTGCGTACGCCTTTGCTCCAGCCACACTGGTGACTCCGCTGGGTGCTCTCAGTGTTCTTGTAAGGTAAGCTTCTGCATTTGACATGTAGAAACAGTGTCTTCATCTGTCAGATACTAAAGTGCTGTCTGATTATATGTCCGTACACTTGAACAACCGTGAGGACTTTTTAATACTTGTAGTAATGTCTTTTCAAAGTTACTTTGTATAGGTATCAGCTTGTGGGACAAAATCACTTTATGCTTTGGTTTGTATGCAGGACCAGCACGTTAGTGAGTTCAACTTTAGAAAATTCCCATTTGCATTTACCATTCAGGATACACGTACTATGGTAGGTCGGCTACCATAGAACATTAACTACTGTAGAACATCCAGTCTTGGAGGAAGTTAGTTGTATGCCTCTAACGACTGACCTAAGGTACTTGTTTTGCAAGACTAACATAAAACGTGTCCTGTTTTGTTATTGTAATGATTAGTCCAAATAGCTAAGCCTGTTTGAAGTTTTTTTTTTGTTATTTTGAAAGCAGAGAACTTTTATCGCCCTTTCTAATAAATTACATATAAGATAAAATTATGTTTTATCCTTAACTTTCCTTGTATTATACTATGCCCTTATTTGTTTATGTGTACTTCCTTCTTAGCTTTGAGTAAAACTAAGTTATAAAAACCTGTAATCTATAGGCAGACTAATTAAATGTTCCCAGTTCACTTGTTTCCTGACTGCATTTCCAGGTAACTTAGGATGGTTCTAGGCAAACCTTACACAATTAAATCAACACATAAGTGCCGGGGAGATGGCCCAGCTGGGAAAAAGTTTGATGCCAAGTTTGATGATGAGTGTCATCTCCAGGACCCACACCGTGGGAAGGAGAGAGCCTGCTTGTACAAATTGCCTTCTCAGCCCCACACAGAGAGACAGAGAGATGAGCACCAGGGACAGATGAATAAATACATTTTGAAAAAGAAGGCAGACGTTAGTAGGCTGAAGTTTGGTGATTTAAAGCATTGTTTGGATGTAGATTTTTTAGATATATAAATTATAGTTCTTTATAGTGCATATTTCATGTGGAGTCTTACAGTAAAAAGATGGTAAATGCATAGTCTCAGTGTATGCGAAGCAGGTGATTAATTTTGTTCCAGGAATTTTAGGACAAAGGTACTGATGGTCATAGACTAGATTCTGTGGTTCATACCAAACCACATCTCTACGGTTTCTCTCATTCTAAGAGAGAAACCGTAGAGATGGCAAGACAGGACTGTCATCAGTATACTATGCTGAAAAGGCAAGGGGCAGTGTCTGTATTACTGTTTTCTGAGATCCTGACATGAGCTCCCAGTTGATAGAGGGAGAGGAAGCCAGAGTATTCACAGTCAAACAGTCTCAATCGGTCTGGTCAGGCTAGTTGGTTAGGAAGTCCTAGTTACTGTGGCTGTAGGGATTGCTTTGCTTGGGAGGCAGTCCAGACATGACCATGGTTATTGATCAGACTTGGTCCTTCAATCTAAGGTGATTGCAGGATATACTTACTGAGCAAAGGAGACAGGTACCAAATGGGGACAAAGGCCACATTTGTTTGTTGTTTTTTGAGTCAGTGTTTTTCTGTGTAGCTCTGGCTGTCCTGGCACTCACTCTGTAGATCAGGCTGGCCTTGAACTCAGAGAGACCTAATGCCTCTGCCTCCCGAGTGCCACATTTTTATCTTACTAGTTGGATGCTCATAAATCCAGGAAAAAGCAACCTTTAAGTCTTTACAGTTTTCTGATTGAATGTACATTGTCTAAAAGCAAGAGGTGTTTTTGCTTGAGCTCAGTCATCTGCATTGCTAGTCTGTTGAGTTTTTTTTTAGGTTTTTGAGACAGGGTTTCTCTGTGGCTTTGGAGGCTGTCCTGGAACTTGCTCTGTAGACCAGGCTGGCCTCGAACTCACAGAAATCTGCTTGCCTCTGCCTCCCGAGTGCTGGGATTAAAGGCGTGCACCACCAACGCCTTTTAAAAAAATCAATTTAAAAGTGAGAAAAAAAGCTAATTCAAGGGCTGGAGAGATGGCTCAGAGGTTAAGAGCACTGACTGCTCTTCCAGGGGTCCTGAGTTCAATTCCCAGCAACCACATGATGGCTCACAGCCATCTACAATTCAGTCTGGTGCTCTCTTCCAGCATGTAGACAGAACACTGTATATGTAATAAATAAATAAATCTTTTTTTAAAAAAGCTAATTTAAATGTTCAACCTTTCATTCTTTCTTTTAGTGCCATTCTGTCTTCATACTTCCTAAATGAAAGACTTAATCTTCATGGGAAAATTGGGTGTTTGCTAAGTATTCTAGGGTCTACAGTTATGGTCATTCATGCTCCAAAGGAGGAGGAAATTGAGACCTTAAATGAAATGTCACATAAGTTAGGTGATCCAGGTAAGAAACCTTCATCAGTGTTACTATACTTAACGTTGTAACTTGTTTCCTTGACCATAGTCATGGAATGTTTCTTCATAGTGTCGCAATAAACCTCTAGTGTTAAACACTGTGATTACTTACTTCCTTCCGTCTTCTTTTACATCCCGTGTGTCACTTTATAGCCCAGGCTAGCCTAGCTGCCAACTCCTGGTGCCTGCCTCAGTGTCTCAAGTCCTGGGGCTTTAGGTGCGCATCATTACTCTTCTTGTGTGTCGTGAAATTTGCCTAAACTGATAGTTGTCTTGCTTGCTTAGTTATCCCTGTGAAATCGTCAGTTCCTCTTAGAATTCTTATTGTCTGGTCCTGCTCTCAAGCACATTAGGCGGCCTGGGTGGACTTTGAGCATTGTCTTTTCTCTCTCACCTTTGTACTCTTTAGACTGCTCTACAGTGGGTGAGTGTTCTGAATCACATTATGTTGCAACATGTAAACCCAACCTCCCCCCCCCTGTGTGTGTGTGTGTGTGTGTGTGTGTGTGTGTGTGTGTGTGTGTGTGTGTGTGTGTGTGTGTGTGTGTCGTCTCGACTCCGCTTTGTCTGGAACTCTGTGTACACTAAGATGGCCTCAAACTACAGAGACGCACGTGCCTCTGCCTCCCAAGTGCTAGGGCTGAAGATTCCGTTTTCTCAGATTGGCTGTATTGAGTTAGCCTATATTTTCCGGCACATAAAATATTTCTATTGGGGCCTTTCTATCCTTGTTTTCATCTGCTTTATTTAAATAGCCTTTATTTATGGAGTTTGAAGCAGAGTGACTTTTCTTAGCTTTGGTTTGTTTCCTGTTTTTTTTTCCTCCCTTTCTCTCTTTTTGACACAAGGTCTCGTAGCCTAGGCCAGCTTCAACTTTTGCTATAGCCAAAGATAATCATGAATTCCTCATGGTTCTTTCTGCCTCCTTTTCCAGACTGCTAAGGTTATGGGCATATGCCCCACCCCATTTCCCCCTTTTATCTTAAAATGCAAAGGTCATTTGTGGGCTCTCTGCCATAGAGTACAAACTGAGAGCCATGCCTTGCCCACATGAATGCACCGTTGGCAGCTGTGCTGCATACCTCTTCTGGGGCCCTACCCAGCCAGAACTCCAGCAGTTTCTACCTTCCCTTTATGACTTGATGCTTATTCTAACACTTGCCTTGTTTTCAGATGTGTTCCTTTGATGGAAACCAACTCCTAACTCCTGATTTTTGCACATGTAAATGTGGAGTGTTCAAGGCTACTTCCTGCACTTAGTCCCCATTGCCTTTCCCTTCCCTGTCCTGAATATCATTTCCCTTTACATTGTGATTTAGAATACTTAAGTAGGCATAAGAGACTCATTTAAAAATGCTAGTGGCATGTTTTTTATAAGCCGTGAATTGTATTTTAATTTTATAGTATGTATTTTAACGTGGTACTGAGGTATTAGGCTTTACCCATGCTATGTAAGCACTGTGCCCCAGTGTGTACTGTTGTTGTTACATGTTATCTTTCTTTGTTGTGAATGTGTTAACGTAGTAACTTACACATTCCATAAAAGTGCATTTCAAATCAATTCATCAGATAGGAGTCCATTTTATATGCAAGATAAATCTGAATACACAGTATTGGGAGACACCTATACTATTCCTATTGAGCTTGTTTCATATGTGCATTGCATTCTGATTCAATATGGCTTTTCTTTGCTTCCTCTAGGTTTTGTTGTCTTTGCAACATTTGTGGTCATTGTGGCCTTGATATTCATCTTTGTGGTAGGACCTCGACACGGACAGACAAACATTCTTGTGTATATAACAATCTGCTCTATGATTGGAGCATTCTCAGTCTCCTGTGTGAAGGGTTTGGGCATCACCATCAAGGAGTTGTTGGCTGGAAAGCCTGTTCTGCAGCATCCCCTGGCCTGGATTCTGCTGCTTAGCCTTGTGGTCTGTGTGAGTACACAGATTAATTACCTAAACCGGGCTCTGGACATTTTCAACACTTCCATTGTGACTCCAATATATTATGTGTTCTTTACAACTTCAGTTCTGACTTGTTCAGCTATTCTTTTCAAAGAATGGCAAGATATGCCTGTTGATGATGTCATTGGGACTTTGAGTGGCTTCTTCACAATCATTGTGGGGATATTTTTGTTGCATGCCTTTAAAGATGTCAGTTTTAGTTTAGCAAGCCTGCCTGTATCTTTTCGAAAAGATGAAAAAACAATGAATGGCAGTCTTTCTAATGTCTATGAAGTTCTTAATAACGAAGAAGGCTTACCCTGTGGAATTGAATATACCGGTGATAACATCTCCCGTAGAAATGGAAATCTGACATCTTTTTAAGGATATGATTGAAAACCTCTAATTGTTATAGTGATTTTTGAGTATCAGAATGTATCTGAAAAACAAAAACTGTCCTCAAATAATGTCCTCTGAAGACAATCTTTTTTAAGTTTTCACTAATTTGGATCAAGAAATTACTTTTCTTATATTTAAACAATGGTAGCTCACTAAAATGACCTCAGTACATGGCTAATTTCTATTAACATTGTATTATTGTAAAGGTATTTTACATTTTTAGTCATTCTCCAGAAATCTAAATGCACTAATGACAATTTTAAGCCTATAAGCCTATAAAAATGTTTTATTTTTTTCATTGGTGATGAACATTAAAATGTATGTTTGTGATCCCCATCCCGTCAATCCCTCACCATACCAATGTTTTTGATTATAAATATATGTGTGTGTGGTTCCAAGGAAACAATTCTCAGGCGGTGATTTGTTACCCAGACATCTGGTTTCCCATTAGAATTTGATGGCCTCCTTTGGAAAGCACCACTGTGCTATAAGTTAGTGCTTCCTGTGTCCATAGTGACTAGAGGTCTGTGTCATCATATGTGAGCTCTTGGACCTTTTGGTATGTATGTGTTCATGATGGACTGTGTTGTCGTTCGGCCCTTTTAACAACTCTGGGATGTCAAAGAAGACTCATGCAGTTTCTTTCTTCTTTTGGTTTTTCGAGACAGGGTTTCTGTGTGTACTCTGTAGGCCACGGTAGCCTGTCTCAGAGACCTGCCTGCCTCTGCCTCACAAGTGCTGGGATTAAAGGTGAGCACCGCCGCCGCCCGGCTCATGCAGCTTCCTAAATTCAGAAACTCATGCTTGGATAAAATGGCAAGTGGTAACAAGGTCCTTATTCTGATTCCAAATGCTTAGATTTAAGATGTTTGTAAAATATGGTCTTTTATTTTGCTTAAGAGTTTAAACCTTACACATTTTGGTTTTTTAGAAACTGTGAAGAATGTTCATAGAAAGATGAGAACAAGCAGGCCAATGTAAGGAGCACTTTGAGCTTCAGACCTGCCCGTTTCTTAGTCGTGTACTGGCCAAACAAGCAAACACCTTCCCTCCAGACTACCCCACTGACAGGAAGAACTGAACCTAGGGCCTGTGCTTGTTTTCTGTTCTAACCACGACTGCGTAGTGGCATAGTCCTAACCACGACTGCGTAGTGGCATAGTCCCAGTTTTGTGAAATCTTCATTTCGGGGGATGCGGGTGTGTGGGGCAGCCTTGTTTTACTGTTGCCACTCTGAGGAGCTCTTGCTTTTTTTTTTTCTTTCCTTCTTTTCCTCAGCTGCCACCTTTTGTGTAACTCCCTATTGGCCATCTGGGTGTCAATCAAAGGACCTAGTACATTATACGCAAATGTTCTTAAATTGAGCTACATTTCCACCTTTCCTATGTAACTTCAATACCAGAGATAATAGTTTCCCCTCCCCCAGACTTACTGTAAGTCTGTTTATGTACTGTTTTATTTTGCACATGTAAAAAAGCCAATGTTCATTCCCTTGGGGATGAAAAGTTTCCTCATTGAGAATGAATGTGTTGTACGTAGAACACTTTATACGTACGTAATCTTGTACACAAGCATTTATTTGGGCTATCATTTGGTAATATAGTCATTAACTCTTAAAATCTATACTTCATAGAGTGAGTACAGATGCCATTACGACTTCATATCAACAAAGATATTTTAGGTAACTTTTTGATAATAGGCTTGTTAGAGATGTAACTCAGGTTTACAGTACAGCGGAATAGTACCTGTGTTTTATTTTCTGTGTAAAATAAAGCTCAAAGCTTTTGGACTTTGGTGTTTCCCAGCCCAGTGATGTTTCTCTTTGTATCGTTTTTCTTCAGATGGGGATCTTGCTATGTTCCTTAAGCTGTCCTTGAACTCTGGGCTCCAGTGATCCTCATTCCTCAGCTTCCCAAGGGGCAGCTAGGAGGACATCACTGTACCCAGTCTCAGTTTCTGTCTGCGTTCACGCTTCCAACAGGAGAGCCAAACTGGGTTCTTGTTTTTCCCTTGGCCCTAGCCATTGAGAAGGCCGTGGAAGGCAGGGCTGTAATTCTCCGTAGTCCCCCGCCGTTTCCCCCCCCAAACTGTTGGCCTTGAAAACTCTAAGCACGTACATTAGAAGAAGTCCTGGTGCTCCTCTTTCTTGTCCTTCATGTCTTACATCTCTGGCTTTCATGGCCTCCCTGCCTAACCCTGAATGCAAAGCTAATAAGCATTGTACCGTGTCAATGAACAAACACAAGCAGATTGCATCAATTTTTATTTCTTTAGTCTTTAAATCATATCTCACAAATCAGACTGCCACTATTGATTTTGTGGAAGCGGAGGAAACAATTTCACTATTTTGGCATAAAAGGGAACAATGACTTAGAAAAGATTTCCTAAAAGACCATCATAAAAATCCCTAAATAAATCTAGTCATTAACGTTTAACCAAAATTGGTGGGGAATTTTGAAAATATAATTAGTTGATATTGAGTGAATTCAGTATTATAGCTAGCTAATGGAACATTCAACATAAAATATACCATAATATGGCAACAGCCGGCAACCATGTTCTCATACTTCCCAATTCCAAACACATATACAATTTTAGTCTAGAAAAATAAGTAAGTTTTATAAAGTTAAGCTTTTGGATCAAAAAAGCACCCCCTTAAGTAGGTTCAGACAAAATAGCCCCTAAAAATTTGAATATAGTTTACATAAAGACAAGCATGCCATCCGTTACTGGATGCTGTGAGCTTAGCCCTCAGCTGCTGGCTAAGGACTGGTGGATGGGTGGCTGGAAGCATCGCACGTGCTCCACAGGAGTGCTCTCCCCGTCGCCAGATTTCAAGTACTTGTCCAGGACAGTGATGATCTCATCATTGAGAATCTGGAACTTGCGGATCCTCTCCACCATCTTCTTCAGTGGCTACAATCAGATCAGATTGTTAGATTTATTGTGCTTCAAAATGCAAGGACTCAGCCGGGCAGTGGTGGCGCACACCTTTAATCCCAGCACTCGGGAGGCAGGGGCAGGCGGATCGCTGTGAGTTCGAGACCAGCTAGTTCCAGGCAGGACAGTCTTCAGAGCCACAGAGGAAAAGAAAAAAAAAAAAAAAAAAAAAAGCAAGGCCTCTACTTCAGAAAAATAGAAAATTATATTGACCCTTATCATCTAACTATCACCGTTGGACTAATGAATACATTTCCAATTTAAGTTTGATTCTTTGTAATTTTGATACTGTTAAGTATAGACCTATTCATTCATTTATCTTGTCTATTGGTCAGGAGTGGTGACTATGTCACTAGGATGAAGGATTATTGTGAGTTCAAGGCCAGCCTGGGGTACATGGTGAGTTCTAGGTCATGCTGGGTGACCCTTTTCTCCAAAGCCCAAAAGCAAACAAAGAAAAGAACATCAACACGAATACAGTATGTTTAGTAGACAAAGGCCTGTGAACTAATAAAGTATAAGTCGTGTATTTCCAGCTTAACAGTACTATGGAAAAGATACTTTGCCGAATCTCCTCTAAGTCTGGATAAAGGTCCCAGACACTCAGACCCTGAAAGCATTCCTCTGCCCACACGTAAGAAGGAATGACTGGAATGAAAAGATAGCCTGGTCTATACCTGGAGCCTTCATGAGAAACTCATAACACAGCGGGGTAACAATTGGCAGTGAACAGCAGCCAATCTTCGAAGCAGACATTTAAATCCGGTTAAACGGAACAGAAGCTTGCAAATAGGTATGTTACACAAGGGTATGATAGTCTCACACGGCCTTCGGAGACTCCCAAGGCCTTCAAATATCAGAATATAAAATAACAGGAGGGGAACATTCCAGTTTATATATTCCTGCCAAGATTTTAAACAAAATGGAGAAAAATGTTTGAAAGTAAAAGTCCCAGCCAGCTCCACCTGAAATGAGTTAGTTACCTCAGAGACACAGAAAATATTCTAGCTATATTCCAGAGAGGCAAGAATATGGAGGTACGAGAATTACCTTTAGAAATGCCCGCACTGAGAATTCCCTTGCATCTGTGGATATTCTCTGACTAAAAGCCCTTTTCAGGTGCGACTGACAAGAACTTCAAAAGAGCCCCTGGATTTGTGCAGGCAGAGCCAACCCAACCATCTGAGCCAGAAGGTAGGCACCGGAGACAGGAAAGGCGTGGCGAAAGTGGCCGACCCTTGTGGCTTGAAGGTGCCATGCGGAAAACACGTGAGGCAAAGAGCTGCCAGCAGGGAATGGACCTCACTTCTGCAGTTCCAGGACACTGAATTCAGCCAGTGGCCTAGGGAGACTGGGAGCACACTCATCCTTCCGGGCCCTCGGGGGAAACACATTCCCTTTAGCCCCCAGAGGCCAAGCGGAGCAATCTGCCGAACCATGCAGACATGTAAGAGCGAGGTAATCAATGGCGGTATCTCTTGCCTTAAGCCTACTGTGATTAGTTCTGGCAGCAACCAGAATCAAAGTCCGTCCCATGGAAAGCAGAAAAGTCTCACAATAATCTTCAAAAGGAGAGATGAAAGTATGAGAACATAAAGGCTGATTTATCTTCTCTATTTCACTTGTGGGGAACTCCATAAGATGAGGAAAAGATAATAAAAGCAGTTTCAAAAACAGATTATGATTTAGAAGCCAGGCGACTAGACAGTATACCAACAATCTGAAATAGAGTCTCTACAGTAAGATGAAAATAGATCTAATTACCTTAAAAATGAAAAGGAAACGGAACCGATTTAAAAATAAGGATTTTCTGGATTTCTTTTTGTTTAAACTTAAATTTTATGTTAGGATAAGAAAATTCCTCCCTAAGAAAAATGTGTGGAAGATTTTTGTCTACGTACCACATTTTTGATAATCTCATCTTTGCCGTCATGTTTCTGAACCTTGAGAAGATGGTAGCAGAAATCCAGCACAGCAAAGCGCCGCTGCTGTCCAAGGAGGACAATGATCATACAGCCAGCCCAGTGCAGCCCATCGCCAAAACACTGCCTGTGAGCACCAAGCGACAAACAGGATGAACAAACTGTTAAACAGGCAGACTCAGGAGTCCGTCTCCAGAGTGATCTTCAGGCTACATTAATTTCTCTACACGGACTCTCAGTCAGAAGAATGATGAGCAAAAGCAATTTCCCAGTTAGGTCACGGACCTATGAAGAATAACTTTATGAACTTACTACCCAGAAACAGGAATGCCCAAATTTTGCCTTGAGTCGCTTTAATTCAGATAACTCCAGTATCCTTATCCTAAGTCCTTTCTTTGGCATCAAGGAAGGAATCCCATTTTATTAACATTTAACCAGTGCAATTTCTGTGCACTTTTTTAAAAGTTTTTTTTAAAGATTTATTTATTATGTATACCATGTTCTGTCTGCATCTTTGCCTGCACACCACAAGAGGGCACCATTATAGATGGCTGTGAGCCACCATGTGGGTGCTGGGAATTGAACTCAGGACCTCTGGAAGAGCAGTCAGTGCTCTAAACCTCTGAGCCATCTCTCCAGCCCTTCTGTGCCCTTTCTAAACGAGCTTTGTCACCAGTGCTGACTTCACTCACATTTGCTCTTTCATCAACCACCTCCCCCCTTGCCTGGAACCGTCCTCTTGCAGAGAGTCACAGAACACGCACTTACTCCACTGTAAACTCGTGTGTCCCTACAGGAATGCAGTACACAAACTGCATGGCACTCCACAGCCTGTGAAACTCCACACACTCATCCACATGCATGACCCCATTGCTGGGCAGGGGCCCCCGCCAGATGGGATCGTCCAGAAAGGTCCGGATCCGTGTCAGGATGACCTCAAACATGGAGAGCCCACAGCAAAGCCGCTCCTTGGTCAGCAAGTCCCCTTCTCTTGCAATTGCAATTTGCTGCAAAAAGTACATGGGATATTACAAGCCATGGTGGAGTATTGGAGGGCTAAAGCCAAACTGTCCCCAGGTCTGTTTATGATGTACTAGACATCAGTAAGGTAGATCAGCAATTAAGTATGTTATAAAGACCAAATTAGGTGAGTTAAGAAGAATGAAGTACATCCATCCTTCACTGCAACAACACTGACTCCAGGTCATGTGGCCATTTCCAAAGATATTTATGGTAATCACACACACAAAAATTCAAATTGGCAGCGGTGCCAACAATTAAGTATGGCAGATCTAGAGTAAACTTTATCCTGATACCTTGCCTTTTGTTACAATTTTTTCTAAGAAAAAAAAAAAACACAAAACTTTGTTCAACGGGGCAGTGGTGGCGCATGCCATTAATCCCAGCACTCAGAGAGAGATCCACCTGACTCTTCTTCCTCCTGAGTTTAAGGCTAACCTGGTCTATATCCTAGACAGACAGGGCTGCACAGAGAAACCCTGTCTTAAAAAACCGAAAGAGAAAAAAAGAAAAGCTTTGTTCATGAGTGCCATATGACAACAGGTTACATCTTTTGAGTACACATATGTTCTTGAGATAGATGTTTAAGCCCTTTCTACATAACCATTTCTAATCCTCCAAACCTGCTGCACTAACTAGGACATCCCTAGCGATCTGAGCAGTCTTTTGGACCTCACAATAACATCTAGCTGCTCCAACCTCTCCACTGGTCTGACCCCTCCCTCCACTGGCCTAGCCTGGCTTTCCACCCAGTTTGTGATCCCTGGCAAGCACAGCACCCCTTACCTGTGGGGTCCCCAGCCTTTCAATCAGTGGGACCAGATGCAGCGGGGCATACTTGGATTCTAGTCTCTTCATTTTGGCGTCAACTCTCTCCCCCTCTGCATTGGGAAACAACTTATTATGCTCTGTCCTTACACAAGATTAAGTAATTGCAAAAATTTAATGTTTTAAAAGGAACCGAAAGATTTAGTTAAATTCCATGGATGAAGATTTATTGTATTACATTAAGATACACAGTGTATTAACATTACAACTTTAATTCAAGCTGATAGATTTACTTGTGCAAGTATTCATTTGGATCTGCTTCCAACTTGGACTGGTATAATTTTTCTCGTGTTAATTGTCAGCCAACACAATGGGGGAACATGAACGAGTTCATATTTAATGTGCAGTTTTCAAAACTCACTGAAAATTCTAAAAGCAAAACAGTGCCATGAACTGTAACATCCACCACGACAACTGTCAACTTAGTGGTCATTCTGTTTTTATTATTTCCACTTCCGGTTTCTGTGCTATTTTGAAACAAATCGCAGACATCATTATAGTCATAAATACTTCAGTTAATGAATACTAACCAGGTCAGACACTCCCCACAGGGACTCCCTTGACTTTAACCGAACAGGTACCAGCATAACTTTGAACACTGGCCTTTTGCTCCGGCTGCACAGTGTAATGTGAACTCTGGTTCATGATACAGACTTACCTTTCACGTGGACTCGAGGCAGTATATTCTGGAAAGGGGCTGCATGCAACAGGTCACAGACTTCTTCTAAAGACTGAAGCACGGGAGAGCAAGTTAGCCCAGGAAGGGGATCCCATTTAGTATAAAATAAGCCTTACATTGTCTGTCCACTGAAATCCCTAGATAGTGGTAATGTCCCATTGAGCTACTTCTCTGGCGCACAGGAAAAACACCTTTTTTTTTTGAGACAGGGTTTCTCTTTGTAATACTGGAACTCACTCTGTAGACTAGGCTGGCCTTATACTGAGAGATCCATCCACCTGCTTCTGAGTGCCGGGATTAAAGGCATGTGGCACATTGCCCGGCTTTGAAAAACTCTTGAAACAAAGAAACACATTCTACTGTTGTTTCCCAAATGTAAGGAATCAATCAATAAACAGCCATGAAAAAGTGGTATGTTTGGCTGAAGAGATGGCTCAGAGGTTAAGAGCACTTGCTGCTTTTCCAGAGTTCCTGAATTCAATTCCTAGCAACCACATGGTGACTCACAACCATCTATAATGACTTCTGGTTCCCTCTTCTGGGAGAACACAGTATGCATAATAAATATTTTTTTAAAAAGTGGTATGTCCAGGTGGTGGCAGCACACACCTTTGATCCCAGCACTTGGGAGGCAGGGGCAGGTGGATCTGTGTGACTTCAAGGCCAGTCTTGTCTACAAAGCAAGTTCCAGGACAGCCAAGGCTATACAGAGAAACCCTGTCTCAGAAAAACTGAAAAGAAAAAAAAAAAACATACTTCGCAATATTGCCCATTGAATATCCCTACTAAAGAACTCGCAAAGTAAAACAGCCTTTGTCATCAGTGGCCTGAACTGAGAACTCACCAGGCTCTGCTCGATGAGCAGGCAGAAGAGGACAGCATTGCCCACCTCCCGAAGGTTCTGGAAGCACACGGTTTTCAGCTCTGCATACTCCACAATGTCCTTCAGCTGGTGGTGGAAGAACTCTAGGATGCCTGCGGCAGCAGGAGGGAGTGTGGGGTTTCAGGGACAGCACCAGCACCTGCCATCCTGACACTGCCTGGCTAGGGGATCGCCCCATCCTTCCGGGGACAATGGTTCCTATCACTGGGCACATCCTGGAAACCAGGACCTAGCCTCTGACACCCTTCTCAGACAACTCCACGTGTTCAGGGAAGGCTATGGCGAGAGACTGCCACCACACAAGAAGAAGAAAGGATAGCTCAGAGCATCATCTGTAGTGGATTCAGAGAAGGCATCCGATGAGCTCCATGTATCTACACAGGCCTGGAAGGCAGTGTGTCTAACTTGACAAAGAATGTCTAGAAACCCCGCAGCCAACTTCATAATGGTGGGGGAACTTGGCATACTTTTCCTCTGAATTCCCACAGCATTTCAGTCATGTTTGCCAATGGCTGAATAATGTAACATGGCACAAGAAGCCGGTCACTGGTGGCGCTCGCCTTTAATCCCAGCCAGGAGGCAGGAGGCAGGAGGATCTCTGTGAGTTTGAGGCCAGCCTGGCCTACAAAGTCAGTTATAGGACAGGCTCTAACGCTACAGAGAAACCATGTTTCGAAAAACCAAACCAAACCAAACAAAAACAAAACAAACACGACCAAAACCATGGCACAAGAATACACAAGCCAATATGGCTACCTTGAGCCACACATCCAATGTCAACCTGGTGAAAAATGGAGAGACTGCTAAGACATCCTAGTAAGAGCCAAAACTACCCTAAGGACAAAGTTGGATTTAACACACTTCAAACCATGTCAGCCCCCGACGTCTTCTCAAGAATCCACTGTCCTGCCCACCTCAGAGAGGGTCCACGCCTCGTGTCCCTGTCACCTCCCATTTGTCAGTACTATTTATCTACCCTTTCACGAGCAAAATACAATGTAAACTACTGATCTTTGTTCTACCGAGACTCGTCTGACCTAATGGCTCTCCCTTCAACATTTAAACTTCCATCTGTAGTTCCGGGGCCTTCTCTCAATGAACTGAAATATAGGACTCTTCTAAGCCGGGGCCACTCTGACGGTTATTTTCTTTTACGATGGCAGAGTAGTTCCCTCAAATGCCAACTGTATCGGGGAGCTCGGCCAAGCCGGCAGGCTGCTCATCAGGATGGCGTCACGTGTCGGCTCAACTCCATTAACAAGACTAGAGAAGCACACCGCTATTGGTGTCTGGGGCTTTCTGATGACTAGATTATCGTGATCTACTGACCAGATTCATCTCTCGAGCTTGGCATTACTAGGAGGTGAGTTAAGAAGGGGCCTAGTTGGAAGAATCGGGTCTTTGGGGGCTACTTTTCGCCCTGGACTCTTCTGTGTTCCCTTTCCATGCTTCATTTGCCCAAAGGGCAACAGCCTCTTCTCCACTATGATCCTGCATTGTGGTGTTCTACCTCAAAACATGGGGCCAAGTGTTCATGAACAGGACCCTCTGAAACCTGGGCTAACACAACTTCCCCAATTACTTTTCAGAGGTATTTGGTCACAGTGATACCAGAGTAACTAGCTTATGCCATCTGGAGCGACTCCTATCGGGTAGGAGTTTAGAAAAGGCATTCGAGTGATAATTTCCTAGAGTCCAGCTTAATCCTAAAGCAACACTGAGGTCATTAAGGCTATTTATTTGAACGGTCTCATGCCAGCCTGTAGGACGTCGTGTAGGTTGACCTTGGAGTACACATCCAAGGACTCTGGGTGAAATTCTTGTAGCCTGTGAGCCAGATAGGGCAGAATGTTTTCCAGGCCAAGAAAACTATTAAATGGGTAAGGGGCCAGGGGAGGGAACAGGGAGCAGGGCCCTGGGGTTTCTTTGAATGTTTTCCCCATTAAGGCTAAGAGGGAAACAGTACCTGGTAGTTAAGCCTTTCTTGGTGGGCAATTATTTTCAGGATCTGGGATAACAGTATGCTCAATACCACAATATCAAAATCCTTGTAACTTCCTTAATTGCAAAGAATAATTCCAAAGTAACTTCCTGCACAGTTGCCTAAAGTGCATTTGTTTATTCGATTCTCTACAGGCAAATCCTGGTTTGGGCCTCTTTACCCTACCCTGTCTGCTAGGAAGGAAAATGTGATTCTTCCCAATAGCTTCCCACTTGATTCCCTCCTCTGGAGGGATGTGCCCATTGGGTTCCACAGACACCCCTTGCTCACCAGGAGAGCCGTACTCATGTCGGGGAAGGCGGCAGATCTTGGGCATGACTTCCATCAGGGTTTTCACATACTGCAGGATTGTGCCTTGCAGCTACAAAACACAAAGGCTGCGTTAGCCACCAGCATGCATTCTCACGGAAGGCCGTGGCCAGCGTGTGCTCTCAAAGTTAGCTCATTACTAAGATACACAGTTGTGATAAAAACCATACAATCACTCTGCCTAGGGCATGAAATCCCACCAGTGGAAGGATAGAACTCTCTACCAGATATCTACAAAGACGACTACATTCATACTCTTAAATACAACTTCCCTTCTGTGAAGCAAGTTTCCAGGAAAGATAGCAAGAGTTCACATTCCCAAGTAGCTCCCATCCTGATCCACTTCAACACCAAGCATGTCAGCAGCTCCAGGAGCAATAGCCCTCACGGGATGGTTTCTATGTCCTCTGACAGACAGGATGGCGTCAAGGCTAGACATGTCACCTTTCTGTTTGGCCATAGGAAGTCAGTATTCCTAATTTCCCCCCACAATTTTCAAGTATTTTGGGGGGGCAGATCAGACCGTAAGATGTGAGTGGTCCCTCGCTCTGCATTCAGTTAAGTGTGGCAGTTTGGATGAGAATGGTCCCTATAGAGAGTTGGATTGTCTGAGAAAGATTAGAGGACTAGGAGGTTTGGCCTTGTTGGAGGAAATGTGTTGCTGGGTAGGCTTTGAGTTTCAAAAGTCCACCCCGGGCTGGAGAGATGGCTCAGAGGTTAAGAGCACTAACTGCTCTGTCAGAAGTCCTGAGTTCAATTCCCAGCAACCACATGGTGGCTGACAACCATCTATAATTCAATCTGGTGTATATGTAATAAATAAATCTTAAAAAAAAAAAAGCCCACCCCAAGTCCAGCGTTGCTCCCTCTACCTGCTGCCTGCAGATGAGGACGGAAAGTTCTCAGCCTGTTCTCCCGTGCCATACCCGCCCCGTGCTGTTTCACAGTCAGCCATGATAACAGACTAACCCTCTGAAAGCGCAAGCAAGCCTCCCATTAGGTACTTCTCTTTGTGACAGTTGCCTTGGTAATGGCATCTCTGCACGGCAACAGAACAGTAACTAGGACATTAATCTTTAATATAACCTATATGCTACAGGTCCACAACTTCTCAGAGGTTTGTTAGCCTTTGCTACATGTTAAGTTCAAGACAATGCCATGTCTTTGATGGATTAAGGCTGTACTCAGGTGGCCCCAAGGTCAGATGCAAACTGTGTTTTCACTAGTAGGCTGTACAGAATAGTCTGATGTCAACAAGAACTAGAGTCATTTAGGAAGAGGGACTCCATTGAGATAATGCTTCCCAGACTGGCCTGCAGGCAAGTCTATAGGGCATTTTCTTGATGATTGATATGGGAGGGCCTAGCTCACTCTGGACAGTGCCCTGGCCAGATGATCCAAGGTATTGTAAGAAAGCAGGCTGGGCAAGCCACGGGGAGCAAGCACGGGCAGCACTTCTCCAGATGTCTGCATCATTCCTGACATGAGTTCTTGCCCTGACTTACTTCAGTGATGGACTGTGACTGGGACATCCAAGGTAAAACAAACCCTTTCTCCCCCAAGTTGCTGTTAGTCATAGTGTTTTATCGCAGCAACAGAAAACCTATTGAAAACAAAGAATCCTGAAGAAATACATAGTCCCCCAAAGATAACTTAAATATGGGAGAATAGTTACAGAGTACCTGTGAAAGACTCTTGTTTATTAAATATGGGAGAATAGTTACAGAGTACCTGTGAAAGACTCTTGTTTATTTGTTTTGTTTTTTGAGACAGGGTTTCTCTTGTGTAGCCCTGGCTGTCTTGGAACTCACTCTGTAGACCAGGCTAGCCTTGAACTCAAGAGATTGACTGCCTCTGCCTCCCAAGTGCTGGAGTTAAAGGCATGCATCACCACTGCTCAACTTTGTGAGAGACTGTTAAGTTCAACTCCCAGTACTACAAACAAACAAAAGAAGATTTTCAAACATTCTCTTTCAGCGAATAATAGAAATAAATTATGAGGGATGAAATAACTCAGTCCATAAAGTATTTGTCATGCAAGAATGAGGAGTTAAGTTCAAGATACAAAACCCACGCTTAAATAAATAAATAAATAAATAAATAAATAAATAAATAAATAAATAAAAGCAACAAAAAACCAAGGCATGGTGTGGCACATTTGTAATTTCAGCACTGGTGGGACAGACAGGTGGACTGCTGCGGTCTATTATCCACCCACCCGGGCCAGCCTTCTTGATTAGGTCCACTCCACTGCGACATGCTGCCGCAGAAAACAAGGCGGGAGCCAGGAAGATGGCTTGTGCCTAAGAGCTCTGGAAGCATGAAGACTCGAGATCATATGGCCATTACCCGGACACCGCACGCATGCACGCACGCACGCACACACACACAGACACACGGGTGAGGGAGGGAAGAGAGGGACTGATTATGAAAAACCAGAAATCTATTGTGAGCTGCAAATGACATCATTTTCCCTTTTCAAAGACCTGAACTATAGGACATTGTGCAGGTTACTTTTATGTCAACTTGCCATGAGTTAGTCACCGGAGAGGAGGGAATTTCAGTTGAGAAAATGCCTCTATAAAACTGGTCTACAGCTTGTAGGGCATTTTCTTAATCAGGGACTGATGTGGGTGGTGCCATCCCTGGGAAGGTGGTCCTGGATTCTATGGTAAAGCAGCTTCACCAACCATGGGGAGCAAGCCAGTAAGCAGCACCCTCCATACCCTCCTGCATCAGCTCCTGCCTCCAGGTTCCTGCCCCATTTGAGTTCTGTCCTGACATTTTTTTTGATGACAACCAGCGATATGGAAGTGTACGCCAAATAAACCCTTTCTTCCCCATCTTGCTTTTAATCACGGTAACCCTGAGATAGGATTCTATGCAGGCCTTTGAGACAGGACTCTGAGGTTACGCATGCACATCTAATAGGCCCTTTATCCACAGTAGTCATCAGAACAAAAGCACAGGCCTCTTGCCTCACTAATTAACTATGTGCTTTGATCCGTCAGGAGCCCTCTCACTGTAGTACTTGCGCAGAATGGCCTCGCAGCTGAAGCAGCCCTATAGTGTCTGTCCCTGCCCACCATGGGTGCCTGTAAACTAAAGCTCCTGTGGTCAGTGTGTCCCATTCTATTTACCTAACACGAGTGCTTCCTGGGGATCTGTGCTCTATGAAAACTCAAACGTCACAAATAAAACAAGAACTTTTGCAGAACTGGGGGCTCGGGAGATGGCCCGGTGATTAAGAATACTTGCTGCTCTCCAAGAGGACCCCCTCATTTGGCTCCTGGGATCTACAGTCAGTCACCAACAGAAACAAACCGGGGAAATCAGACTGGCAAGCATGTTTTGTTTTGTTTTTCACCCCCCCCCCCAAAGTCTGGGGGAATGGTGGCCTTTGGTAAGACAGGAATCACTTCTGCATCTAAGCAGCGATGTTCTCTTATAGTATTCTGGTTATTAAACATTCCAGAAAGCCTGGTGTGATGGAGCAAAACTATATGTAATACCAGCAATCTAGATGCCAAAGCAGAATGACTGCCATGACCGATGCCAGCTTATGCTAAATGGAAGTGAGACTATCTCAAAAAGGCAGAAAAGACAGAAAAGTGTAAGCCAGACAAATGGCTTCAATCATTCCTTTTGGGGGCACTGGGGCATTATTTTTAAGAAAAAGGTTCTCATTAGTTTCGAAACTCCTGAGTTCAAGCTAAATTCCTGCCTCGGTCTCCTGAGAAGCTGGCAGTACAGTGACATAGCTCTATACTCTGAAGATCCACTCTCTTTAGTTAGTGAAGCACTTGTCTGTTAGACAGGAAGACCCCGCCCCGCCCCCGCGGAATCCGTGCTACAGGGACAGCTCATTCCAGAGAAACTCACCAGGCTCTTGACAACCTTCAGCAGCTCTTCCATGACCACTGCAATGCCCTGGTAGCCAAGCAGCCGGCAGATGACCTGGAAGTGTGGAGGCCCCACAAAGTTCCGGTAGCTGCCGTAAATGCTGGAGTAGGCCAGGTTCAAAGCCTGGTGGAGAGAGGACAGGGTTTCCAACACAGCTCCCACGCATCCACGGGGATGGCATCCGGAGACGTGTTCAACACACACCACATCTTAGACGAAGAGAGCCAGCTGCTATCCTTACCCACGTGGAGGGCTTCACTGCTTCTGCGAGCAGACTGTAAGCAGAGACCCTAACGGGACAGCGGAGGCTGGCCTCTTAGGGAGGCTGAAGGTATTTTGCAGCAGATGAGCAGTCCCCCAGAGATAGACAACGAAAGATTTTCACGCAGGAGGAGCCTCTTAACCATGAAACAGGAGCAGGTATGGAGAGCAGGGAGATGCCGAATGAAAACATTTCATTTCCTTCTGTGCGTCCTCTAAGTGTCTCTTAAAACTTTCTTTTTTCACACCAGGGTAACAGCTCCTCTATCCCCATGTTCTTAAATGGGTGCTGGGGATTTAAACTTGGACCCTTGTGTTTGCACAAGTACTCTTCCCTACTGCGTCTGTGTAACAGCACTGGCTGTCCTGGAACTCTCCCTGTAGACCAGACCGGCCTCTGCTTCCTGAGTGCCGGGATTAGAGGCGTGCACCACCACCTCCCAGCCCTGTCTTAATGTTTTAAAATTTATCGTCTGCATTTGCCGTGTTGTGTGTACGATTTCGATGCCAGATTTAAATTTCGTGTGAGTCTATTTTTGTGGCTCAGGCAGGAGATGATCTAGCCTGGTAATTTTCATGGCCACTTGAAAAGTGTATCCTACTGCTATGTAGTGCCGAGGTCCAGTTCTTCACTGCTGCTGATTTTGTTTCCAAGAGATCTACCTACTAGTTACTGAGAGCAGAGTTGAAATTCTAGTGTAAAACCTGTGGAGTGTCTCATTCCTTAACAACCAGTTTTTGTTTCTGTATAGAAGCTCTCACTGGCATACGAACACGGCAGGGTTGGTATATCTTAAGTCTTTTTCTTATACTCTCTGCTTGCACACGTGTGTGTGTGTGTGTGTGTGTGTGTGTGTCCTAAGAATACATGTGACATGGAAACAGAAGGGTGAGCAAAGGCATCAGAGAGAAGTAGGGGGCACCAGAGAGCAACAATTTAGAACACAGTATAATGACACATATGTATGAAAACAGACTTATTTGTATGCTAAGTTAAAACAATTAACTTAAAAAAAATAATTCTTATCGGTGGGTGTTGGTGGTACACGCCTTTAATCCCAGCAGCACTCGGGAGGCAGGCGGATCACTGGGAGTTTGAGGCCAGCCCGGTCTACAGAGCAATTTCCAGGACAGCCTCCAAAACAATACAGAGAAACCCTGTCTCGAAAACCAAAAACCAAAAAACAAACAAAAAATCTTTTCTTGGCTAGATATTAAATTTAAGTTAGTGATACTCATTTTTGTCTTTCTGCTTTTTCTACTTTTAACAAGGAAATAAAAGGAAAAGGTCTGACTGGAGAGACGGCTCAGAAGTTAAGAGCACTGGCTGCTCTTGCAGAGGTCCTGAGTTCAATTCTCAGCACCAACACTGTGGCTCACAACCATCTGTAACGAGATCTGGTGCCCTCTTCTGGCCTGCAGGCATACGCGCAGAGAGAACACTACATATATACATCTTTTAAAAAAAAAGGAAAGGTCACTTCTGGAAATCTAAAGCTATAAGGCTACTGTTTCCTCTGGAAGTCCAGCCAGCCAGTTAAAATATAATCCAAGTTTACTCAGGGCAATCAAGAGTACAATGGAATACCTTCCTGTCTCAGTTAATTTCTGGTCAACTTGACACAAGCTAGAGTTAGCTGGGAAGAGGAAGTTAAACTAGGAAGCGCTTGAGTTTGTGGGGCATTTTCATGATTACAGATTGATGTGGGAGGGCCCAGCCCACAGGGGACAGTACCACCCCCGGGGAAGTGGTCCTGGGCGTTGTAAGAAAACAGGCTGAGCAAGCCAGGAAGCGGTGTTTCTCCACAGCCTCCCCATCAGTCAGTCAGTCCTGCCTCCAGGTTCCCATTCTGCCTTTTCCTCATGACGGACTACAGCTGTAGGCTGAAACACACCCCTTCCTGTATGATTTCAGTCAGGTTCTTACCACAGCAGCAGAAACCCAGGGTAATACAAACGGAAAATAACCTACCTTGGATCCATGCAAATACTGGGGCTGTGCATTAGGCTGTTTGTCTCTCTGAAATTCCTGAGAAAATGGTAATACTGTCCGAACAAACCTAAACCAGAAAGATCACAGGGGAAAATAAAAAAATTTAATAGTAATTCTTTAGCTTCCAAAGCTCCTTATTATATATCCTAAACCAGAAAGATCACAGGGGAAAATAAAAAAAATTAATAGTAATTCTTTAGCTTCCATAGCTCCTTATTATATATCCTAAACCAGAAAGATCACAGGGGAAAATAAAAAAATTTAATAGTAATTCTTTAGCTTCCAAAGCTCCTTATTATGTATCTTAAATCTTTTCCCCCAGTTAGATGGTAACATCAAATAGGAAAATCCTAGTAAAAAGTCAAACCTACAGAATGAAGTATAAATACTGTAACATTCCATAGATAAATAATAGTAAATCCAAGCTCAAGAGCCAGGGCAGGGACATCTCCTGTCCTCCTCCTTGTAAACAGTCTTCTGGTTCACAAAGAGTCTCGCCTACTAGCATCAAATCCATCCTGAATCTAATGCAATCCTTGATAACTGGGGATGAACACATACTTGGCTCACAGACAGCAGTCTACAAACAACACGAGCTGTGACATCCCAGGTACTTAGAGAGCACTAGGTTCTGGGCTAAGAAGTCAACTAAGACATTTTTTCCCCCACACAACTCAGTCAAGAGTCTGCATCTTGATAATGTATCTCGTCCACTTAAAACTAGATTAAATTTCAAGCAGAAACTGTCAAAGTTGAAATGCAGGGCTCAGCAGTTAAGAGCACTGGCTCCTTTTGCAGAAGGCTGGGTTCAGTTCCCAGCACCCATATGGCGACTCACAATTGTCTGTAATTTCAGTTTCAAGGGACCCAATGCCTTCTTCTGATTTTACATGATGAGCTAGGCACACATGTGGCCCCAACACATATACAAGTAAATACTCATACATACACACAAAAAACAAAAAGGTTTGCTAATTAAGCCTACGAACTTGGTGACCTCACATTATACTACAGTAAATTAGTATTACATAAAATTACTATTATATAAAAAGGAAGAACCTTCCCACAGTCAGCACATAAGCATGTGCACCTGAGAGGCCAGGAACCTGCTGCGTGTCACAGACAGAATGCAGCTGTGGACCAGACTCTCACCTGAGTCACTGGGGGCTGCAAGATCGTTTTGATTAGTATTAGAAGAAAAATACTCTTTATTTACTTTTATGTTTCCATTTTTCAAAGTAGGGTTTCTCTATGTAGCCCTGGCTGTCCTGGAACTCACTCTGTAGACCAGGCCAGCCTCGATCTAACAGAGATCTGCTTGCCTCTGCCTCCTGGGGCCACAGAAACCTAAAACAGTGGGCATACAAGTGCTCCCTACTGTTATCACCGAAAGGGTCTAGAAAAGTGACACCCTCATATCAGTGAGCACACCTAATACACAGACACCCCATCATGTGGTACAGAAGGTAGAGGGGTAATTATCCAACAGCGGAAATACAAAAGCACACAGACACCATTTTAAAGGGTGCTCACCGCCCAAAGCTGACTATAAAAGTCAACTGAAGACGGTAATGCTAAGACGGAATCCCTGGTCATACTTACAATCACCAATAGAGGAAAGAGTGTTAACACACAGAATGCCAATTAATATTCGCAGAGGGAATGAAGGGATTGGAAACATACTGGTTGTCAACCACCCAGGAACAACTGGGATCAAGCATTTGTCACAGACACTGAGACTCGTAGGTCACATCCAACAAGGCCTGGTTTATTGACGTAGTCTCGGGTGATCTCCCTTATGAGTTACTTACAACATGAAGACGGAAAAGTGGTAGCTGGGCAGTGGAGACACTTGGGAGCAACCACCATAATCAGTCACAGCCAACTGGACCAATGGCGGGACTCATCATCCTGAGGGCATACCCCGCTGCTAGTAATCTTCCGGCAAAGAGACCACACTGGTCCTACGGAAATTCCATTCTTGCTGACCAGTGTGGACAGTATGACACTACCCACTCTGCCTCCAGACTGGTTATTCATTCTCCTTAACACAACACACACAGAGCGGGAGGGGCAGAATCTGACCCAGCCACACTCTCCCAGCTCACATTGCATCAATAGAAACTCGAGAAGCAGAATTGCGGCCACATTCTGACATCAGGGAGACTTAGACAGTGCAGCTCCCGCAGCCATTTCCAATGCGCACACCGTGAGACTGTGCCTGCAGTCACAACTATGTGTGCCGGTAGAACCTTGCCTGGCTCTCCTGCCTCGGACTTCAGCCTCTGACCAGCCATCTGTTTCTGTATTCAAAACCATGACTATCTGGCCAAGGGCTGGTCCAAAGCGGTAAACAGAATCAACAAGGGGGGGAGGGACGGGGGACGGGGACCTGAGAGTACAGAACACGAGAAATCACAGGGGAAAGAGGAGGAGGGAGAGAGTGGAAGGGGACGTCTGCGGAAGTCCCTGCCTAACATCGGTCACATCCGGGCAGGGCTGTGCAGACAAGTCTGTGAGGCTACATGGCAGGCTTACCGGTTGGTGGAGCCATTGTAACAGTAGTTGGGCAAGAAGTCATAGTTTAGCTCCCAGAAGACATGGAGGGTAATTCTCCCGTAAGGCGCAGACACATTGTGGTTGGCTTCCCGGAACATGGCGTCGAAGCTGTCTAGCGTGAGGTACTTGCTCATCAGCTTGTGCGTCATACGATTGATTTCCAAGAGGCCATCTAGCTCCTACAAGACCACAGGAATGGGTCACACGGGAGGGAAGACACTTACCCTGCTGTCTGCAGTCCCCACCTGGGAGGTCTCAACAGACGGGGAGATACAGACAGCGAAAGGTTGCACCGAGGTGCCTACCAACATGGGAGCCCAAACCACACGAAATAGAATTTGTTCATCAACTTGAGCCCCTTCCCTGCCCTCTACAGTCAGACCAACTGTGCCCCGGTCTTTTCTCCCCTATTGTCAATTCAACATATTCACTACAGCCTTCAAGCCACCACCTACCTTGGACAAAGGCGATTTGGACAAATCACTACCTATCACTACTGTCAACGTACCATCTAGGGCCCGAAGCCATCTCCACCACCTGGACACAATCCAGCTGGCATCGGCCACTCTGGGTCAGTCTTCCCAAGTAATATATTCTATAAAGATACTCCTTGACTTACGATAGAGATACTTCCTGATCAAGCAATTGTAAGCATAAATGTCAGTAGGCGGCGAGTGAATTTACAATTCTGAACCTTTTGAGTAAATTTACAGATAGTTAACCTTTTGAATATTATCATTGCGTACGCCAGTGTACCTCCAAAATGCCCAAACACTTACATTAGCCTACAGTTGGACAAAATCATCTAATACAATGTTTTATAATGAAATATATACAATCACTTTCTTTTAATCTATTGAGGAGTCTATAGATTCCTATCCTGGTCCTCAGTAGGTGTGATTTATTCAAGATCAGGATTATTTTTTCTTTTAAGTGAATATGATTTACAAGTACTAAGAGTAGGTAATAAAACAACACTTGACATAGTCAAAAGTCAATTAGTTCCCATCTTTTGTTGTCTATACAGGAACTGACCTACTATTAGCTCAATTTCTCAACAGAGAGGAAAACAAATTAGTTCTAGTACTTACGACTACTGATGTCAAATCTTCACTTTCGAATCGCCCAATGGCCAGCTCTAGAGACTTGTACATGGCTGCTGAGACACGCTGTGTAATCAGGCGATTGAGGTCAATGGATCTCCCAAGCAGCTGGAGGAAGAGAGGCCGAGGGATGTCAAGATAAAAAAAAAAAAAAAGACTAAGCACAGCCTGGAGGGATGGATCAGTAGGTAAAGGCGCCTATGCCCACGCCTGGCATCTTGTTCAATCCCTGGGACTCAAATAGTAGAAGAGACTCATGCACACTGTCACACACACACACACACACACACACACACACACACACACACACACACACACACACACACACACACACACCACGAAGCCCAGGACAGCCAAGGCTATACAGAGAAACCAGGTCTCTAAAAACAACAAGCAGCAACATAAAACACCCAAAATAAAATACCAAAAAAAGTGCGTGTGTGTGTGTGTGTGTGTGTGTGTGTGTGTGTGTGTGTGTGTGTGTGTGTACTCACAGTGTGTAAGCCCATGAGCATACACACAAGCAACGCTGAAGATGGGACCCAACCACAGATGCTGGGTAAAGATTCGACCATGGAACTAGATCCTCAAGCCAAGTGATAGCAGGGCTGCTGTTGTATGTGACGTCTGCAACGGAACAGACATTATTTAGCGCACTACCATTTATCACTTAAAAAAAAAACACAACAAAATAAGCCGGGCGTGGTGGTGTGAGTGAGCCTTTAATCCCAGCATTCAGGAAGCAGAGGCAGGCAGGTCTCTGTGAGTTTGAGGCCAGCCTGGTCTACAAGTGAGTTCCAGGACAGACACTGCTGTTACACAAAGAAACCCTGTCTCTAAAAACCACACACACACACACACACACACACACACACACACGCGCACGCACGCACGCACGCACGCACGCACGCACGCACGCACGCCTATCTTTTTGTTTTTGTTATCCAAGACAGGGTTTCTTTATGTAGCTTTGGTTGTCCTGGAACTCACAGAGACCTGTCTGCCTCTGCCCCCAGGGCTGGGATTAAAGGTGTAGGGCATTAGCCATCACTGCCTGGCAAGCACAGTCTATTACCTTAATGTCCTTTGCTTAGGAAAAAATAAAAAATTCATCTCAGGTTTTTGTGATGGCAAGTCTTCTTATTCTATGTGCTTATATTACAGTCTTAATTTATTTTTAATTACCATTCTGTATCACAAAACAAATTCTCAAATGCGTGTGCATTACGTGTACTTTATTCGCAGTAGTCACCCACCCCCATATTCTGCTCTTATCCCCCTCCACGGAGGCCCCCGTCTTCCTGTCATCCATGTACACGTGCACGAAACAGAGACTGTGTATGGGAGAAAACATGCCGTGTTCTTCTTTCTGAGACTGCCTTACTTAGCTTCCACGATTTCCACCTCTATCCATTTCCCTGTAATGGCAGGGTTTCATTCTTAGACTCAGCTCAATGTATTTTTATTGTATACGAACACCATTTCTTAAAAAAAAAATCCATCCCTCAACTGGCAGGCCGATTCTATACCCTGGCTATTTGGACACTGCCGCAACGCATACAGATGTACAAGTATCTCTGTGGTGTCCTGGCTTAGATTCCCAGATTTATTCATTTAAAGGTCTGCATTTGGGGCTCTTGATGAAGGAACAACTCTTCCAGACTGGGCCTATTCCTGGAAGCCAGTCAGGGTTCAGAGAGCTGCAATTTCACCCTTATGGTAAAAGATGTTCAATATAAAATGTAACCCTTTTATACAAGGCATAAGGATAAACCGAACTTCTCATGCTAAGATGGGAAGGTTGTTTAAGCTGATTGTGTAATACTAACCTCGGCGCATAAAAGGCCCTACCTGAGCTACTAGTTAGGATTGTCTGAGCAACCACCAAATCATCATAAGCGAATAACTCTTATCTGTCCCCCCCAGGTAGAAAGTAAATCCCTATTGCTGAAGACACCATGCACTTCAGAAACAAGGTCCAGAAGACCTGAGATGAATCTGATCTGAAATCTTCCTCTCAAAGAACTTTCATGCTACCAGAAGATTCCATGCAAGTTTGCAAAGGAGGGAAGCATCCAACAGTCTTACTTGGCTTTAATACCTATGAACCACAACAACCAAAAGCATGGCACGATGACCCTAAGGGTGTAATAATGGCACACATACCTGGTGGCGACCAATAGTTGTTTAATTGGACTTAAAGATTCACTTAACAAGAGGTAAATCACACCTCTAGGTACTAGTAACCGAGCCAACTCCCCAGGGCCAGGGAAGTCACAGATCGTGGAGACCCTATAACTGCTAATTTACTAAATCAGCAAATTCCCTAACTAAATTCTTCATATTTATCCCCATGCCCACAGCTAAGTGTAGCCCCCACTCCTCATCAAGAAAACTTCTCTTTGCAACAGTCAGAGACCACTATAGGAAAACAGAACCCGATCAGAGCAGAGCTGTGGAGCCTACTCCCAACTAATATACCTGTAACAATTCCTGTACCCAAGGCCCAGGAATCCCTGTGGGAGAGGAGCCATAATGATTGTAGGAGCCAGAAGAATCAGGATTTTGCTGTGAGGCTCTGTCTCCTACAAATGCCAGAGAAGCTATGCCCACGAAGTCTCACCAACTCGGCTGCCTAAACGTGACGGAACAAAGATGGCACCAACAGACAAGCTAACATGGATGAGGGGAATGCTCACGAGGCTTGAACCCTAGACAACTAAGAAATGCTGAGAAGGGAAGAAACAGCTGTCCCACCCAAGAGTACCACAGCTGGTTATCCAATATCAAATAGTCAGCTCTGAAAATATACATATGAGGGACATATGGAAACTGAGGCATTTGTATGTATGTTTTTAGAAGTGTGTGTGTGAGAGAGAGAGAGAGAGAGAGAGAGAGAGAGAGAGAGAGAGAGAAAGGGAGGGAGGGAGGGAGGGAGGGAGGGAGGGAGGGAGGGAGAATAATTAGAGAAAAAGAGGAAATGAATTTGAAAGACAGAAAGGAGCGAGTATTTGAGAGGTTTTGGGAAGAGGAAAGGGAAGGGAAAGCTGATTCAATTATATTATAATCTGTGGTAGTTTGGAAGATAATGGTCCCTGTGGGTTCATATGCTTAAATGCTTGGTCCCCAGTTTGAAGAACTGTTTGGAAGGATTAGGGGTTTGTTTATATTAGAAGTGGGTCACTGGGGGAGGGCTCAAGAGTCTGTCTGTCTCCCTCCCTGTTTTTCTCCTTCTCTCTTTCCCTTCCTCTCTGTTTTTCTCTCTCCCCCCCTCCCTCCCTGTCAACCCCCCCCTCATGGTTGTCTCCAGCTGTGGACTCTCAGCTATTACTTCAGAATCATGCCTGCTGCTGTGTAATCTCTCTGACGATCATAAACCCTAACTTTCTGAAACAATAAGCCCTACATAAATGCTTTCTACTCTGTGTTACCTTGGTATCTTCTCATAGCAATAGAAAAACAAGACATAACCTCAACAACAACAAAAAGACTAGCCTGGCCAACACAGTTAGACCCTGGGGGTGGGGAGCAGGTAAGGAAGGATTAACAAAACACCTTAATACTTTATTAGGGCATTTATATGCCAGGCTACCTATAAAAGTCTAGTTAGCTCTAAAAAAAAAAAGCCCATCATTTCCAAGACACAGTTCGGTAGTAACTTAGCTCACCTGCACGTGCCTCTGCTTCAACAACGTCTCATAGCGGTTCGATGGGGGCAGGTGGATCGTGGCTCCCTGATTCTTGCATTCTGATCGTAACCGTTTGTCAAGGAGCAAGCTGGTGCAGGAGACAGGACATGTGTCACACACTGAGTTTTAACACAATCGTCAGATCAAGTGACCCAAGATTCTACGTGAGAGTTATAAACCACACACTTACCTTCCTGCCATAACCTTGTAATATGCAAATATCTGGTCTGCCAGCTTGTAAACAAATTGGTCAAAACACAGATTCACCTGGAAAAAAAAAAAGCAAACTATGTTATTTCTCAACTCCTGAAACCAAGATCAAGGGGCAACTCAACAACACACGTTGCTGCTTTTCCTTGCTTATTTTGTTGCTGTTTTGAGCAAAGGTCGATTCATTATGTAGCTCAAGCTAACCCTGGGCCCAAGAGCCTCAAGTCTCAGCTTCCTGGGTCCTGGGATGGTGAGCATCATGTGCCGCTACACCTCGCTCCTAACCCTTGCTTCAACACAGCTGGGGCTCTCATGAGAAAGGAAAAAGTAGTGAAGACCCTGCTGTCCACCATGGCATAAAGAGTGTGCCGGGGTGACCACCATGCCGGCATAGATAGAACACTAGTGAGAGAAGAAAACACAGACACGGTATCATTCTGTCACAGCACCTACAAAGCTGAAGGAAGCGTTCTAAGAAGTTCAAGGCTGAGGTGAATATGTCCAAAGCACAAGATATACTTGAGAAACTGAGCACAACATGCAGTGAATATACAAAATGAATTACAGAAGGAGGAGGAGAGGTAGAAGAAACAACAGCCAGGAAGTGGTGGCCCATGCCTTTCATCCCGGCACTTGGGAAGCAGAAGCAGGCGGATGTCTTTGAGTTCGAGGCCAGCCTGGTCTACAGAGTTCCAGGAAGAATGAAAAACTTCACTGCTAGCCTAGGTTACATAGGGCTCTGGAGAGCAGTCTAAGTTATGGAAGACCCTGACTCCAAATAATAAACAGCCCAAATGAGAATCTTACAGAGAGAGCATAGCACTCCGTTCCTCTCAGAGTCAAAGGGACAAGACAACGCCCCTGGACCATCTGCTCAATCGAGGTAAGGTGCATCACGCCTAGGTCACTTGTGTTTTTTAGGAGCTGCTGTCTCAGAGGACATCCCATGTTCTCCCTGAAGCACAAATAGGTGCTCTTGGCACAAGACGGTCAAAGAAACACCCTGGAGCCTATAAGTCTCACTTAAAGCTGGGGTTAGCATCGTTCTCCAGAACCATAAAGAGAATGTGTGTGCTCGGAGAAGCAGAGCGGAACCTGCAGACAGAACCAGGAGGGTAAGTCTGTGCTCTGGGCATCCGGCATTGCCTGGGCATCATGAGATCATACCCGGGCAAACACTGTCAGTTGTTGTCTGGGAGGAGGAGGAGGAGCCGCCCAGATACAGGAAGTGATCTCTTGAGGTTAAATTCCCTTAAACCTTATGCTAAAGAAGAAAGAGACAGTCCCCCCCCAAAAAAAAGAAAGAAAGAGACAGTCCCACTACCTCTTTGTTGAGTGTGTGTGCTAACCTGACGATTTTACCCCGGAGCACGTGTCCTTAAGAAATAACTCAGTCAGCTACGATGGCTTACTCATGTAAATCCCAGTCCCCAGGAAGCTAAGGCAGGAAGATTGTCACGATTCTGTGGATAGCCTGGGCTACATAGAGGGAGTGCGTGTGGGAGGGTGTGGGCACCAGCCCGGTATGAATCAAAAAGTGTGTGTGCCAGAAAGCTCCACAAAGTTCTGTTTTATTCCCTCTAAACTGTAAAACCCTAATGAAATTTAAAACTGGGAGAGGGTTGATTCCATGAATTGAGCACCCTCCTAATAGACAGACAGGGATGTAGAAGTTGCTTACCGTTTGGCGGAAAAGCACATCCTGCAATTTCCTGATAACACAGAACACTCAGGATAAAAAGAACAATTTAAAAGCTGAGGCTGCCGGCCCCTTACCTCTGCCTCGATTTCGTCGTAGAGGAACTGCTTGTTGAACCTGGTCAGCGCATAGTGAGCGCTGTCGTTGTAGAGATCGAGGGAGTAGAGGACATACCTGTAGAGGATGGACACCAGTCACTCCCCAGCCTCCTATGCCAATGACCTGCGACCCTCACAGACGCCTGCTCTTGAGGAAACCTCACTGTCACATGAAGAAACCAACTCCTTACTTTCCATGGCAAATGGTGTTCTTGTGCAAAGCTGAATCTTATGGGATTACTCCATATCGCCAGCCCAGAGGAAGCCAGGCACCTTTTCCCATAGGAAGGATACACAAAGACTGCCCAGACAAAGGCCTCTGTGACTTTATCTTCTTCGTGGTTTATAGTGTTTTATTGATACCAGTATTCGGTATTTTTCTTTCCATTTTAGTCCTGAATTAGCGTGTGAAGTCACATACCCGTAAGGGCAAAGGCCTCAGAGGTAGACTCCGGGTACTCACTCCATCATCGATGCCTCCTTGGTCTCCAGGATGTGGTCAGTCAGAATCCAGGGCATAGACATCTCGATGGGGAACTGGATCCTCCTGCCCATGGTCAGCTCCAGGAAGAACTCTCGGAACCACAGCTGCGAGAGGTCACAGCACTGCTGCAGGGTTTCTTGAAGGGGTTCAAGCGACATCAAGTTATCTTTCATGAGCAGAGAGTGATTTAGTACAGAGGAAACAAGAGGCATTTCCCACAGGACGCTGACTCCTCTGTGCTTAGCTCCCAGCCATGCAGCATGGATGCAAGCAGGAAGGGGTCACCAGACACGTTAAATGAGAGACGAGACTAACTCGGCTGCGGTGTAAGTACAGTGAGGCCCCCTACACCTATGGAGCGGCCGGAATTGCCACCAGGGACCTCAGGGACCCTTCTTGGCAGGGTCAGGGGACGGTGTCCTTTTGGAAAGGGAGAGGTGAAAACAGGACCACAGGTTTAACATCCCTCATCTGAAAACCAGAAATCCCGAATGCTCCAAAATCTCAGAATTCTCAGGCACAATGTGATGTCCTAAGTGAAACGTTCCGCAACCCGTCTTATGCGTTGGGATGAAATCCGAATGCATGACACACAAAGATTATGATACAGTATTGCTGTGTCTAGTGGCAGGGTCACACTATGAGACAGTGTGACAATCAGATGTGCGCTCAGATGCTGACAAATTAAAATGGCTATAACATCAACAGGCAACATCTGCCATTGACTGTAATGCGGTTACGCAACATATGACTGTTTAATCTTCAGACTGTGTGCATAAGGTGTATACAAATCAGAGACTGCATTTATTTACACTTGGATCCCGCTCCCCCAAATCTGCCATTATACATTATCTAACTATCGCCCCCCCCCAAAGACTCATAGTCTGAAGCATTTCTGGTCCCAAACCATTTCAGATGAAGGATACTCAACCTGTATTACCCTTTATGGAGGACAGACAGTCTAGGATGCAAGATTACATGCACATCCGGGAGGGGTTTAACCAACACAAAACTAGAAACAGATTTAAAACAATTAAGATTTGCTTTTCGTTCTCAGAGCTAACAGTCACAGCATTAGTATTCACTTCAGTGCCTGCAGCACCCAGGCAAGGCAGAGACCTTCTGCTCTAAGCAGAAGACACGGACAGCTTGACGAGGCCACAGGCAGACACAGAGGGCAGAAAGCACCCACCAGTGCCAGGTCAGAGTGGCGTGGTGTCACCAAAATGGTGACTCGTCTGTCTCAGGGCCTTTTTGCTACCTGGGCAGTGGGGGGGACCAGAGGGGCCGTCTCTTCTACTCATCAAGGCCTGGCTCTTGATCCAGGGACGAGGTTACATTTCCCTGTTTTGTGATCCTGATTTTGTATTCACATGGCAGGGCCACCCAAAGCCCCACGGTCCTTGTCCTGTGAAGGGCCATGTCCTTCAGAGGCTAGGGAATGGCAAGGGACCTGGGGGATCTCCAGGATGTCTGGCCACCACCAAAAAGGTTAGGACGTGGCACCATGTGGGTGCAGGAAGAGATGGGAAGGACGGTCAGGTAGGCAGAAGCTTCCCAGGGTGGTGTTAGCAGTGTTAGAGCATGCCAGGCCGGATTCTGGTCAGCACTGTCTCTTACCACTGAAATTTATCAAGTGAGTGTAGAAGAAAGACTCTCGATGAAATTTTTCTATGTCCAATATGGTGGGCCCCTCAAGGCTACTTCTCAAGGTTTTCTTGGAGCCACTTTTGTCTGCAATGAGGGACTCTAACATAGTCCTCACCATGTAAAGCTGTATTATCCAAAGAGACATTTGTAGGGGGGAGGAAAAAAATAATAAATGGTACATTAGTCACATCAGGCGGGAAAGTCTGTAGGAGAACTGCTCCACCACACCTCGACTGAGCCCCGTGCCCCGCAATCAGCCTGTCACAGACAGGCTGTCCAGAGGGCCTGGGTGTCCACAGAACAAGATGCTGCTTCCCGGGACGCACCGCGCGTAGAGGAGCAGCTCACCTCCGCGCCATAAGCATCAACAAGAGAAACAAACGGATGTCTTACCACCAAAGGTTAAAAGAGGTGGATAGGTGTACGACTCCCTCAGAAACGCGTTTACCACATGCAAGAGCCTTTCCATGCCCAGAGACTTGAGCTGCCTCAGCAGCTCGGCAGAGCTCAAGGACTCAGCCATAGTGCGCACCAGGAAGAGCTAGACACGGACAGACAGGGAAGGAGAAGCGGGAGAGAGCCGTTAGTCACATGATGCACGGGTCCGGGTGGGTGGGGGGCACAGGGACAGGCGAATGGAACGGAAGAGCGTTGGGCAGCCACACGCCTCACGCAGACCCCAGGAATGGCCAGGAGCCGATCCTCAAGAGGTTACATACAGACCCAGCCGTGAGCTCTGCTGGTACCTTTCTACAGGAGGGATAGAGATTAGCCTCTAAGAGACACGTGTAAGGAGGACTGGTTCCCAAGCAGAGGAGCGCACAAAACCAAGTGTGAGTCAGGGAGAAGCCCCTCCAGGGAGGCCCTACATACATCGGAAAGAGAAGGCAGCAACGGCAGCTTCAGACCACGACATAGGGAAGCAACGTTTCATTTTTAGGAACACTCAATTTACAGGGTCAACATGGAAGTTACAGTCATACATGTAAAACACTGACAGAGAAACACAGGTGTGCGGGCACATGTATGCAGCTCTAAGAGGCTGAAACAGGAAGTTTGCTATGTTTGAAGCCAACCCTGAGTAAGTACCAGGCCAGCCAAGGCTATTAAGTCCCCCTTTTCAGGAGGTGGAGGCAGGATGATCAGAAGTTCGAGGCCAGCCTAGCTTACATGAGACTCTCTCTTCCAAAAAAATAAAAAAGGAAACAGTGGAATGCAGGCATATATTTCAGAGACAGAGGTAGAAACGGCATCAAATGACTTCTGCAGTTAGGCAAACAAACCAGGTACTCACAGGAATGTCTCAGTTAAGGTTTAAAGATTCACTTGGGCAAGGTATAGAAAAGAAGAAAAGCCCCAAGGCAGAACAGGATTGGCCTGAGCAGACAATGGTACCCCCATTTAATTCCTGCCTTATTTGCGCTCCCGCCGCCACCCCCAACCCTCTTTAGCCCAGTTCCAGGACAAAGGTGATGAGAACCTGTGTGCTGGAGGGTCCCACAGCACGGCGTGGCACCTTGATGTCAAAACCACTCTTGGGGTCCTTCTCGCCTCGCAGAGCTGGGTCGTTGAAGGGTTCGTGCCCCGTCTCCCAGTCACACACAGTCTTCCTGATGGCCTGCAGAACACTAAACACACCCCACCACGTCATCAGATGGGGATCTCCGCAGTCACAGCATTGCTGCACCCAACGACCAGCCAATGCACAAACAAAGCTCCGGCCGAAGGAACGCGGTAGGAGTCTATTCGTAATGAAACTTACAAAAAAGCAGCGCATTCGTTAGTTAAAGTGCTACCGGTCCCAAAAGACGACAGTTTGCACCAATAAGTCAGAAAACAAGGTTTAACTTCACAAGCACAAGCCAGGTAGCCAAGTCAGGGCAGGGAGAAGACGACTCTCAAATGCCTACCCGGACAGCAGAGCTCTACCTGGCTGTGGCCAACAGGCATGTGAACTCACGACACAACTCAGGAGACTGGACAGGTGTCTTGGCTCGCTGGAAATGTAACCCCACAGCTAGCAGGCTGTACCGATGGAGCCCCACCCACGGGTGGGGTACAAGGACAAAGACACCTTATGTTGACTCTGCGGGTAACCTCATGTGAAAAGCTGTGGATGAAGTTCAAAGTACAGCCAAGCGGTGGTGGCGCTCGCCTTTAATCCCAGCACTTGGGAGGCAGATGCAGGCGGATCTCTGAGTTCGAAGTCAGCCTGGTCTGCATAGTTAGTTTCAGGACAGCCAGGGCTACACAGGGGAACCCTGTCTTTAAAAAAGAAAAACCAAAAGTATGGCATGCATTCTATAATTCTACAGATTCTCTGGCTGGTGGACAGGTCTGTTTTTGTCAAGGGTAAGAATTATATCTTTTTTTTTTTTTTTTTGGTTTTTCGAGACAGGGTTTCTCTGTAGCTTTGGAGGCTGTCCTGGAACTCACTTTGTAGACCAGGCTGGCCTCGAACTCACAGGGATCCGCCTGCCTCTGCCTCCCGAGTGCTGGGATTAAAGGCGTGCGCCACAAACGCCCGGCTAAGAACTCCTATATCTAATGTGCCTCCAACAAAACTGTTACCTGAAAAGATGGGAAAAGGAGAGTTTCGGGTTTCACACTTGTTTAGGGTTGGGAATATTTGAATATTAGCAAATTTTCTTGGGGGATAAGATACAAGTCTAAATAGGATGCTAATTTGTTACACAAATTACACACACAGCCAGGTGACAGTTTTATATACTATTTTAAATAATTTGGCATATAAAATTATGTAATTCAGGATGTAATTTTCTACTGTGGCATCGTCAGTGATAAGAGTATGTTTAGTATATGCAGGGACCCGTGATGTTTCCCTAACACCATATACATGTGCGTGTATGTACTTGTGTGCAAGTGTGTTGGCTCTCTCTCAGACTTCTAGGGTATCTTAGATTTCAGACTTTTATAATCAGAATATACACACAAAACAGAATTTTGTTAATGCTAAAAACCACATTGTCTGAGGTGACTGTAAAGCAAACAACACTATACACTCCTGAACTCTGGTAGGCTTCTTCTACACATCTTTTGGAAAGTCAACTTATATACAAAGCTTACATTTGAAAACTCTCAAGATATCTCAAGATTTACCATATCTAGATCATTTTTTTTTTTGCCAGACTTATAGGATAGTCTAAAAGAAAATTGCTAAAAAAGACATATTTGGGGGAGGGAGACTAGGGTGTGGGGCCTCATATCCCTGAATACCTGGTGACCGGAATATTGTCTTGACTCCGGGTCTCTGAACTCCTTAAAACTCGGTAATAAACTAATTGCTGGTGTTTAGGTTATCAACTGGACCCACCACGTTTTGTGTAGATTCGATTCATCAAAACTATGACTAGGGCCGGGCATTGGTGGCGCACGCCTTTAATCCCAGCACTTGGGAGGCAGAGGCAGGCGGATCTCTGTGAGTTCGAAGCCAGCCTGGTCTACAGAGCTAGTTCTAGGACAGCTCCAAAGCACACAGAGAAACCCTGTCTCGAAAACAAACAAACAAACAAAAAAAAAACTATGACCAGGAGTTGGAGATAAACGTGCTGAGCTACTTATGAAAGCAGACACTCGTCTGTCTGAACCTGAGCTCCATCCATTGCTTCGGGGCTGTGAGGCCTGAGTGTGGGAGGCTGACCTCTGGATGACGTTCTTTTTCTTCTTGATGGCCTGCCGCAGTGGTTCCCTGAGGGTCACCTGGGAGAAGTCCTGCAGTGCAGCATAAACCGTGTGCCTGATGGCATGATTGAACACACTCTCCATCCTGCCCATCAGCACCTGCAGGCCTTTGATCATCGCGATCACCTGGAAGGACACAGCGTTCGTTCGGTGGCCGAAAGGGGCAGGGGACAGCCCTTCAGTGCCCGGGAAGTCTCCTTCTCACTCATGAATCTTCCCTGGCTCCCTTCCTTTCCAGTACCGGGCTGCCCTGCCCATCGCGGTCTTCCCCACAGCAGGAGACTCCGTAGGCTCCGTGCCTACCTGGGACCGAGCCCATCTCATCCCGCCTTGAGTACCAAGGGCAGCAGCGTAATTCAAGGACACCGTACTTCCAATGCAGAAGTGCACGTTCAAAAGGCAAATAGGAACGTAACGTAACCAAGTGTTTGCACACTAAATCCCGCTTGTTGAACAACAATGGGACATTGACTTAGTAGGAAAGGGCCCAAATGAAGCCAACTGCTTGAATTCTGACGCTGTGACAGCTCCATAGGTGCTACACATTTCCCTGAAGTTGCACGCAGGGTTTCCCTGTGTTCATGCTGGAGAACTATTTGTGTTTTTCTCATTGAAACAGAAGGAAGGAAAAAAAACCTTTTAGTTTACAAAAGTGCACAGGCCAGGAGCTGGAGACGGCTCAGAAGTTAAGAGCCCTGACTTCTTTTCCAGAGGGCCTGGGTTCAATTCCCAGCGCTCACAAAGTGTGACTCCCAACCATCTGTAACTCCGGTTCCAACTCAGAAGCCCTCTTCTTGCCTCCACGCGCCAGAGGTCCACAAGTAGTCCACCCACAAGCGCGCATGCGGGCAGGACACCCACACACGTCAAGTAAACTAAAAAGCACGTGTGAGTGACAGCTCAGTAAGAATGAAAGCAAAGGAAGGCTGGGAGTTCAGGCCAAGCTTTGAGTATGTGCATTAGAAATGCAAAGACTGCCAGGCGGTGGTGGCCCACGCCTTTAATCCCAGCACTCGGGAGGCAGAGGCAGGCGGATCTCTGTGAGTTCGAGACCGGGCTGGACCAACAGCCTCCAAAACAATACAGAGAAACCCTGTCTCATAAAAAACCAAAAAGAAATGCAAAGACTGAAAGTAACAGCCATGGAATGGTTATCACAAGTTAGAGAACAGCAAAGGGTGCCACTTAAAAAAAAGAATATATATACATATATATGTGTATGTATGTATACTCTCAAAACAGCAAAGAAATTAATAAAACAGCAAAGAAGTCCAATTAGTGTTCACCCAAGACAAAAGCTGCTTAGTAAACAAATCATAAAAAACCAACAAGTAGCCAGCATGATTGGCAGAGGAAAAAGAAGTAAGATGCACACGATCAGATAGAGAATTGAAAAAAAAAATACACATTACCATAGGCAGTACCAGGAAACTGGAGCAAGCACAGAAACCAAGACAGTGAAAGGGAGCAAGAGGCAGAGGGAGGAGCCCTGGAGAGAGGAACAGCAGGTAAAACGAAGGAGGAAATGGGAAAAATGGGTGGGGCGGAGGAGTAGAAGATGCTTTCACTTGGGAGGTGAAAGGAGAGCATTACAGGGGTGCAGGTGAAAAGCGGGGGGTACGCAACATTGTCATGTCATTTTATATTTGCATGAAATGTAATAGAAAACGGTATGGTGTATGCGCATTTAATCACACACACACACACACACACACACACACACACACACACACACTCACGAGTTTAAACGAAACGAAGTAACATAACTTGGGGTGATAAATGCTCCCTGCAAGAGTCACACACAAGAAACCTCCTTCTGAGTTGTTGGTCAAGGGATTTCAAGACTCGCCCCCCCCCACCCCCAAGAAAAACCCAAAATGGACTATTGCCGCTGCTCGTGCCTGCCTCCCTCGTGTGAAGGCGTGTCCCTATTGTCGAAGACTCTGGACACAGGACTTGGGAGAATCAAGATGAATCTGAGTTGACGCCTGCTCCCTAAGGACCAGAAGAAAACCACAGGCCACACCTGCCAGATAACCAGGCAGGCTGCCTGCAGACCCTGCTCCTCTCTGTTCCCCCAGTCTGTCCCAAGTGCCACAAAGAAAGAACCCAAGCTGCAGTCTTCCTCTCTGTCTAAACTTCTCCCCCCCGTTGCTTTGTCCCAGACCTCAGCTACAACAGACATCCCCAGCTCACTTCCTGGGCAGCCTTTCCCAAAGACAACAGGTAGACTGAAGGCAGGCCCACACCTCTCCTACGGCTCCCAAAGACAACAGGTAGACTGAAGGCAGGCCCACACCTCTCTTACGGCTCCCGAAATCCAACCCCTCCCGGTCTCATACCCAGCTCTGTACAGCTGGAGAGCTGCTGTGCTCCCTTTCCTCTCTGACCCCATCCCCAATGGCTCGTAAAGGACTTCTCCTCTAACCTTCCTTCCCCCAACTCATCCCAGCCTCCAACCCCAGGAGGCAATCCCTGTGAGCACACCGGCTCAACAGGCCGGCAAAATAGGCAACACACAACCACCAGATGCTTCAAGACACCAGAGAGGAAACAGAAACCAAGGAATAAGCCACCCACCCAACAAAGACGAATCCAGTAAACAGCACCAAACCTTTAATCACCCCAAGCCTAGATGCAGAGACACCAGCATAAAAACACAGTCCACAACATACCTAGGCAACAAACAGCCTTCCCCGCCCCCTCGACTGCCTCTGTCTCGTAAGCGGTAGCATCACAAATGGCAGTCCCGTTGTCTGTCCATGTCTCCCCGCTGCCTTTCAGAGACAGCCATGCCAGCTGCACGGAGAACAGGAAGCGGACGCTCTTACCTCCACCAGGGCAAACTTCTCCTCGGTGGTGTAGTTGTAGCGCGTGGCCCGCTCGTACTCCTCGGCATTGTCGGGGCAGTCCTTATTGGAGTACTTGTCAGTGGGATGCACAAGCTTCCAGGAATACTGGTGCAGTCAAAAAGAGGAAAGACATTCCACACTGAAAGCAAAATACTTGATTTTGGACCGACAAGACCATGGCTGAGGCCACCAAAGGTGTGAGCCTCTAGACATTCTGCTTTCTGAAAGCCTCTCTCTGTCTCTGTCTCCCTCCCTCCCTCTCCCTCCCTCCCTCTCTCTCTCTCTCTCTCTCTCTCTCTCTCTCTCGCTCTCACACACACACACACACACAAACACACACTCTCCAAAAAAACAGCAAACAGTCACATAAGCCAGGTTTAAAAACCAACCCAAGTGCCTGGCGCACGCCTTTAATCCCAGCACTCGGGAGGCAGAGGCAGGTGGATCTCTGTGAGTTCCAGGCTGGGCTGGTCCGACAGCCTCAAAAACAATACAGAGAAACGGTTGCTGTCTCATAAAAAAAACAAACAAACAAACAAAAAAGAACCAACCCAAGCAAAATGTTCCTATTGTTGTATGCTGACTAAATGAAACGTCAGGCAACTTGATTAGATAATTTTTAACTGACTAAAATAAACTTGCAAAAGGAAAAAGAAAAAAAAAAAAACAGATGCAGTTTACGTTGGTTTAAATCTTTGCTGCCAGAAACATTTTTGCTAAACCTTGAAGACGCTGGTGGCTACAACTCCACAGAGCAAAATGTTGGTCAAAACGTTAGATGGAGAAGTGGAGAGATGGTAAGGACACACTTGCTATCGAGCCTGGTGACCCGAATGTGAGCACTGGTAAAGCAGTGCAGCCATTGCGAGCGGGACTCTAAGCGCCACCTCCGCGTCTTGGAACGGTCCTCGTCCCCGGCCTCAGATATAGAAACAGCCGTAGGAAAACAGGCTTGATGATGACCATAGAGGCAAACTGTCAAGAGTTCTATCCGAAAAGATGAGACCCTCTGTGGCACGGACGGGTCCCGGAGGAAGAAGCGCTTCCAGCCAACCGGGAGCGGCTGCGCATTCGAAACCCCCAAGCGCAGCACGGAGAAGGCTGCACCTACCACTTCCATCACATGCGCACTCCACTGCGACAGAAGCTGCAGGCCCTGCAGAGCCAGGTCGAAGAGCTTCCGGTACTCCGCATCTGTCTTCTGGGCCTCCTGCCGGCCAGACCCCGTGACCACCTAGAGCACGCGGGCAAAGGCGATTAGAAGCGAACCCGCCAAGCTTCCCTTCCACCTTACTTACTACTGTGGGAACGCATCTCTCTGGGTGCGGACATCACCCTGGCCCTCCTGAACTCTAGAACTCTCGCAGCGCTCCTGAGGGCTGTGTGAAGAGGCCACCAGAAGCCCTGCTTCCTCCCCTCAAGACGTGTAAGCACTGAAAGATTGTTGGGTTCCGCGGCATGTAGCTAACCACAGACCACCCCACGCTTCTGCAAGTCACCCCAGTTAGACCCATCAGCGCATGAGCTAGACTTGGATAGAATGGTTTCTTTGGTTTATCATTAGTGCACTATCTGAGGTGAAGAGACATTGGTTCGTCTCCCCTGGAAGAGCTAACACAGCATCCGGAAAACCTACTCTGGGAGTCTATTTCAAAGTTACACGTGCAGCACAAAAACAAACAAATAAAAAAACAAAAAAACCAAGCGTCTGCTACATAGCTCAGTCTGGCTTGAACTCACTGTCCGCTTCCCCGGCGCTGGGGTTATAAGCCTGCACCATTTTCAATTCTTGCTGTGTTTGGGGTTGCCTGTTGTGATTTTTTTTTTATTGCAGTGTTGGAGACGAGCCTCACACACGCTGGACAAGCACTCTAGTGCGGAGCCATAGGCTCAGGCCCCTGAGCAGGTATTTGTGCAAAAGCCATGTACAATTGCCCCATCAATACACGAGGAGATGCGCAACAACATTCGTCAGGGGACAACTTAGATCCAAACAAACCCTCATGAACTCCATTCTACAAGCAGCATCTGACTCTACCTTGAGTGCACACGTACTAACAGGTTGACGCAGACACCTGGCCGGCATCGATGTCTGTACAGCCCTGCCTAAAGGAACACGCAGATAAATACCGCTTCCTGAAAGTAAAAAGGGTGTCATCCCTTAAACTTACCAAAGTAAACGGGAAACCATTTTAATACCCGGACAGATCAAAATCCTACAGGGAAAAGCAGGTCTGGGAACTTATCTGAGCACACAGCAGACCAAGGATAGTTTAACTCCATCACCTAGATCCCACACAGACACTGAACTACGGCACAGGAACAGCCCACCTAGACCGTCAACTGACTACGTGTGTCAAGAGATGGACACAAAGCCCAGCTGTCTCGGGGGCTTCCGCTCAGCTTGGTCCCCCTGGCTGACACCCATCCATTCATTTCGCCACCCGGAACTGCAATCCTCCTCGGTCCTGAACCTTGCTTCTCCAGCCTGACTCCAACCCTGAGGCTCAGTGAAAACCTGTGACCCAGCAGCATTAAGTGCCGGCGGCAGACGTCACACAGGGCTCATCCTCTGACCCCACACAGGGACCTTTGCATCCCTGTCAGCCTCAGGCTCGCCTCCAACTAGGTTTCCTTTCTTGGGATTACCTGAACTCTTCTACAGCCTCTTTGACCCCTTGCAGCCATTCTGGAAGCTACACACACACATACGCAGAGATACAGTGACTATGTGATTTGTAATGTGTGATCTGGGAGTTAATACAAGCAAATCTGGATCAGAATAAAAAGAAATCTCCCTCTGCCTCAGCTATCAAGACACTGGGACCTCACAGCAAAATGCTTTCCGTAAAACCAACAATTGGTGAGTGTGTCCTTAGTGGACAAATCACTGGGACCTCACAGCAAAATGCTTTCCGTAAAACCAACAATTTGTGAATGCATCCTTAGTGGACAAATCCTAACGTTGAAGGAAGACACAGATATGTTCATCCATCCTCCTGACAGCCAGAAATCACTTGAGAGTCACAACACTCAGGATCACAAATAAAAAGATGGGTGTGGTGTTACATGCAGTAATCCCAACACTCAAAAGGCTGAAAGGTTCAGGGTTATCCTTGGCTAAGTGTGAGACCCAAAAACCTTCAAATTAATGCCCCACACTGACATTATCCAGAGGTGATGAACATGCAGAGAAATCAGAACCCTCTTACACTGCTGACAGGAATGTAAAATGGCACTTTGGAAACGATCCTCGGTGTTGGTCTTTGGAGTGCTGTTGTGACTGACAATTTCATTCCTAAGTCTCTTCTCTGGGAGGAATGAAAACTTTTTTTTTTACACAAAAACTCATACATACACTTTTCTAGAGTATTCTTATAACCCCAACATCAACAATGTTTGAGATTTCCCTTGATGTATGTGTGTGTGTGTGCGCGCGCGCGCGTGTGTGTGTGTGTCCATCTTTTGTAAGTGGTTTTCACTGGCTGATTATGTTTGAGACTTCCCTTGATATGTGTGTGAATGCATGTGTGAGTGTGTGTGTCCATCTTTTGTAAGAGGTTTTCACTGGCTGATTATGTTTGGGACTTCCCCTGATGCTACCTATCTGCACTTGATTTTTCCTTGCTTTTAATTCTTTAACTGGCAGAGAAAAATGAACCCAACCCAGACCTGTAGAGGATTCCCTGTACCGACCTAGGGGCTCCAGTTACCTTAGGTTTTGGGGCTGACTTCCCTTTTAAGCATGACAAGGCCTGCAGATTAAAAAAACAAAAACAAAAAAACCCTCTCCTTTCCCCAGATAAACTCCCTCTTCATCCAGTTTCTCCCGCTTCATCCTCTCCTCAGTTTTTCTGCTGGGATCCCTACCATCATTTCTTTTTCCTTGTCTTTCCCGATGTCTTCTGCCCCTACTCCTTTCCCCCCTCCCTTCCTCTCACCCCATCCTACTTTTCACTGGGGCTGACATGCAACAGTCATATATGTTCTAGGCGAGGGTTCGACCAGTCCCAGCCCTCCCAGTGCGTTCCTAATGAAAAGATATACACGTATGTATATATACATGTACGTGTACCTGTGCGTGTGTATGTAAATAATGTTAGTTTTGGTTTGGTTTTTTGAAACAGAGATTCTCTGTATCAGCCCTGACTATCCTAGAACTCGCTCTGTAGACCAGCCCGGCCTCGAACTCACAGTGATCCGCCTGCCTCTGCCCCTGAGTGCCAGGATTAGAGGCGTGTGCCACCACCGCCCAGCTGCAAAGCTGTACTTTATACAGCCTAGCAGATACAGATAAGGCTAAACTGCTCTGATCCATCAATGGTGAGGGTTTTGTCTGTTTTTCAAGCATTTCAGTTTGGGTTTGGGGGATCCTCCCCTGTTTAGGTTTGGCCAACCTGCAGAAACAAATTTTTTTTTTTTTGGTTTTTACAAGACAGGGTCAGAAACAAATTTTTCAAATGTGTGACCTTTGTGGAAACAATTCTCGTTAGCACTTGAGCGCAAAAGGGTGAGGGTGGCGCTCGAGAGCGTGCGTGGCTCTGGGCGCAGTGGGCGCGTACCTCGCTATTGCTGTAGCGAGCCAGCTCCGAGATGAAACGCATGTGGTCTTCGCGGATCTGGATCATCTGCTCACAGATGTTGTACTGGGGGCTGCTGCTTGAGGACGTGCAGGTCCACCTGGGCATGGAGAGAAAGCAAGCCCTGTGTGACCCGAGGCTCCAACAGTGTCCGGGCACAGCATCAACTGCAGCGGGGATGACAGTTTGTGGTGCTAGGAGCGTTTGATGCGGGTTTTTTTTTGTTGTTGTTTTTATTTTTTTATTTTTTTGGTTTTACGAGACAGGGTTTCTCTGTATTGTTTTGGAGGCTATCGGTCCAGCCCAGCCTCAAACTCACAGAGATCCGGCCTCTGCCTTCCGAGTGCTGGGATTAAAGGCGTGGGCCACCACCGCCCGGCTTCGATGCGTTTTTTTTTTTTTTTTTTTTTTTTTTTTGGTTTTTCGAGACAGGGTTTCTCTGTGTCTTTTGAGGCTGTCCTGGAACTCGCTTGGTAGTCCAGGCTGGCCTCGAACTCACAGAGATCCGCCTGCCTCTGCCTCCCAAGTGCTGGGATTAAAGGCGTGTGCCACCAACGCCCGGCTCGATGCGTTTTTTTAAAAGGAGTAATGTATTTATTTATTTAAAAAAAAAAAGGAATGTTTTGACAGAAACCACCCGGGGCGTATAAAACCCGAAGGACTCACTACATAGCTTTCCCTAGGAGAGGTCTGCTGACCCCTGAGGGAGAAATGCAATGTCTAAATCACAGCTGAGTGGTTTGTGCAGGTTGGCTCTGGGTATGAGCGCTCAGCAGATCAATGGCTTTGTGGAAGGAATGTACGATAAGTAAGATCACATGCCTACACTAAGGTGTACTGGTAAGCGACAGAACCTCGACAGCTGAGATTCCTCTCTGCACAGAGACGGAGTTCTTCAGGGCCCGTGGGCCACAGTGTCTCTGCCACAGTTGTTACAGACATCATTTAAAACAAAATGTTTCCATTAGAAAGCATTTAAGACCGGACTCAGCTCTAGGGACCTTACAAAAATAGGCTTGGATCGGTTTAGTCCTCAGGTGACAATTTTGCAAACTCTGTTAATACACACGCATATCCCTGCTCCTCTCCAGGGTTGGCTGACAGGCATGTTTCACCACACCACTGGGTGTAGAAAACTATTTCCGTGTTTCTATAGTCTCAACCAGCACTGTGTGGTAGAAATCTCTAGAATAATGAAGGTATTTTAAGGCTGTGCTGTCCGATACGCTAGTCATTGGTCACTGAACATTCAAAAAGCGGTTTGCTTTACTAAGGAAAATACAATGGCTAGTGCTTTTACCAATGGATTTAAACACAAACAGCCACATTTGGCAAGAGCTACCATGTAGGGCGTTGGTTTCCACGCCCGTGGGAATGTCAAGGTACTACTTTAGACAAAGAAACGTGTGCTATGGAGGTGCCCAGGGGGCCCTGCAAGAAGCTCTAGCGGGCAGCAGATTGTCTTCCTATAGGGACTTATTCAACAGATTGTCTTCCTATAGGGACTTATTCAACAGATTGTCTTCCTATAGGGGCTTATTCAACAGATTGTCTTCCTATAGGGACTTATTCAACAGATTGTCTTCCTATAGGGACTTATTCAACAGATTGTCTTCCTATAGGGACTTATTCAACAGATTGTCTTCCTACCGGGACTTATTCTCCTCGTAGTGAGCGCTGGTCTTGATGTATCTGGCCAGTTCTATTTGCATATCTCCAAAAAGTGGGACCACCTGCAGCTGCTGAATTCACATAAGGAAAAGACAGAGTATCACAAAGTGTATCCAGCCATCAGACAGACAACCACAGGAAAACAACTAACGGTAACTATCAGCTTGGGTTAAATGCAGCTGTAAATCATTCGGTACATAAATATCTTCCCTGGAGAGGAGAGGAAATATATTTAAAGACATAATCTACCTTGTTGCTACAGCTGCATTTCTATATATTAATAACACTTAGAAGATGAAAATTTACAATAAGACATTTTAGAGTAGACCCAGACACTCGTGAACAAAAGATGTGTTAAGACCTCAAAGCAAAACTTCTACCCTTAAAATTCTAGGGAAAACCCTCTATGGATAAAGAACAACATACCATGCTCACGTATTGTTTTTGTGTGACTGGTATGACTGTTCCACGGTATAGTTAAGGGGGAGGGTTTTTATTGTTGATATAGAGAGAGTGAAGACGGCCGGAGGCATCTGCAAGGATTCAGAGCACGGAGAGAAAGAAGCAGACTGAACATGGCCCAGAATGGAGCTAGCTGGGGCTAAGAGAGGGGGAGAGAGGTAGAGAGGTAGAGAGGGAGAGGTAGAGAGGGAGAGAGGGAGAGGGAGAGAGAGAGAGAGAGAGAAGCAGGAGAGAGAGGGGGAGGAGGGAGGAGGGAGGGAGGGAGGGAGGGAGGGAGGGGGAGGGAGGGAGGGAGGGAGGGAGGGTTGGTTAGGGTTAGGAGGTTTCATCGGGATTACAGTCCCAGGGAGAGGTTCGTGACAGCCGGAGAGGCACTGCAGTGGATAGGTGAGAGCCAGGTACAGAGAGAACACATCTTCGTTGAGATGAAGGGAGTAGAGACACTGGGCTACAAGTGGGCTGAGAACATCAACTCTTACCCCAGGGACTTCTTCCAGCAACCATCTCCCTGAACAACACCATCAGCTGGGGATCAAGTGTTCAAATACCTTAGGTTGGGACGGACACACACACACCTCATTCAAACCACCACAGCGCCGTTCTGCATACTCCTGGTGAAGTGGCATGTGGGCTTCTAGGTGATTCTATCTCCGCTTTCCCGCCTTGTCATAGGAGTGGCGGGATTATAGATGCACATCACCGTCTGGCCTTTATGTGGGTTGTGGGCACCAAACCCAGGTCATAGAGCTTATATAGAAGATGCTTTTTAACTTGCTAAGCCATCTCCCCAGCCCTGGATCTCGGATCTTGTTTGAGCCCTCGGCATCAGTATCCTCCTGGACCAGGGGTGGGTACCACTGCAGTTACTAAGCATCTCAGTCCCAGCTTCGCTCTCCACGCAGGCATATGGAGTTTCAAGCTTGGGTCTTTAACCAGTTCGGCTTGGATTATAAGGGCCAAACTGCCTCCTGGAAGCTTACCATCAATACTGATTGCCTGGATTAGAAAGATCAGACAGTCTTGTGGAAAATCCAGGTTTATGAAGCCCCGTAGGGCCTTTTTATGGATATTTGTTAACCGCTAATGCACAATTTAAAAGAAAATCTATGCATTTCTAATATACATTGAACATTTGCAGTTTATTGGTGCTAGACTTCAAAACCATGACCTCCTGTGACTGTGTACAACCTTGAACTCCATCTCTGCAGGATTTCTTCTATAATTAAACTGGCTATAATTATATGGAAAACTCAGAACAACTGATTACTGAGCTGCGCTGAAATTTCCTAATAAAATGCCTCTAGACAAGAACGAGAGGAGAAGCAGAGGGACACTGCTTTTAGTTATCATGACGCCTGGCAGAGAGGAGGTCACACGCACAGAAGCACTTGGAAACTGAACTAGGTCACCGTTCTTCCTGTTCACAGGGGCTACCGAACAACAGAAACCTTCTCAGTCCTGGATCTGGCAGATATATTTCAGTCTGTTGAAATGGTTCTAACACAAAACAAGACAAAAATAAGCAAACCTTGTCCCCACAGGATCCCAGAGGGAGGCAGGCGGACCTCTGTGAGTTCGAGGCCGGGCTGGTCTACTGAGCGAGTTCCAGCACAGGGAGGGAGGGAGGAGGGAGGGAGGGAGGGAGGGAGGGAGAGAGGGAGAGAGGGAGAGAGAGAGGGAGAGAGAGAGAGAGAGAGAGAGAGAGAGAGAGAGAGAGAGGATCTACACAATCCAGCCCAGGCAAAACCAAGGTGAGGAGTAGGAAGGAGAAAGCGGCCACCTTTTCAGAGGGGAGAATAAGTTTCAAGACTTTCCCTGCTCTTCCTACATCCTGACAAGCATCACAGTCACTCCCAGTCTCAGTTGGCAAAAAGTCACTGCGTAAATCAATACATTTATTATCAATGCTCAGAGATAAGCAAAAATATCAAAAAACTCATATGTATAAACTTACATGTGTATATAAATGTTTTCATATGTAAACACACACGCGCGCGCACACACAGAACTCACCTTGAAGTACTTGTCTATTTTGGATAAATTGATTCTTTTCTTGGCATCGAGTTTGTAGATGTTACTGACGCTCCCATCCATCAGGTACAGACCAAATCCCATGACCTGAAAAGCCACACAACGGCGAAACATAACACTTGGGACCTATGAAATGTACGCAGATGCACACCGCCAAGCTGGCGAACTTTGAAATCACAAAAGCCCTCTTTCTTTTAGCGGCGCTACGAAATGAAAGAGCTGTCCTTTAGAAGGAAACCTCTTCCTTGTATATGTCACCTCCTGTGGCCACTCCCCCTCTCTCCCTAGACGCTCAGGCACCGGTGCCTGCTGGGTGGAGCATTAAACGTGAGCAGCGGCGGCACAGGAGAGCGAGGAGACTGCAGCACAGGAGAGCGAGGAGACAGCGGCTCAGTAATGCCAACCGCTGCATTCCTGCAGGACAACTCCACGCCTACTAAAGCCAGGGGCTTGAGACAGTACTGCCCCGCCCGAGGGTATCATGAGGTATCTGGGGGATGTGAATGTGTGCAATCAAGGATATTTACCTGGAATGACTCAAAGCCCCATTCAGTTAGTTACGCAGCTCACAACAAGCATGACAGTGTGTGTTAATATATATAATTTTTTTTTTTTTTAGGTTTTTGAGACAGGGCTTCTCTGTGGCTTTGGAGCCTGTCCTGGAACTAGCTCTTGTAGACCAGGCTGGTCTCGAACTCACAGAGATCTGCCTGCCTCTGCCTCCCGAGTTACTGGGATTAAAGGTGTGCGCCACCAACGCCCGGCATCTGTATATATTTTTAAGACTTTATTGTGATTTGATACCTGCTATTCCCAGTCTGGTGCATTGAATGCCTTTTTTTTTTTCTTTTCTACAAAGGATAATCAGATTCCCAGGCTAGTTGCTGAAAGACAGAGCAGCACTGACAAGCCTAGCCCGAATAACAAGGCTTTTGTAGAACTTCACCGTCCAATACACAGCCACGTACAACCACTAAACTTAACTCTGACCATGCAAAACTAACAAATCCAATCCGGCAACAGCCATGTGTACATCTCCAGTGCACCTTGGGAACACGACCAGGGCTCTTGCGACAGCCAGCACAGTCACAGCTGTCCCCATCACCCTGTGGTACTCTCCTGACAGGGATGTGTCACAAGCTGGGACAGTGGGCATACTTGGCAGACAGTGCCTCAGACTATAACCGTGTGCAAAGGGAAAAGGCTTTTTACAGTCAACAGACGCGATCCACATACATGACAGCTTGAGCCCAGGAAAAGGCTGGCAAAGGATTCTAGACCAAGCACAGCGTTTTGTATAGCTGTGCTTTATCCCTGAGAAAGGCTGTCACCCCACCACACACTACACACACACACACACACACACACACACACACACACACACACACACACACACACACCACATACTTTGAGTAGCATGTGTTTTTCACTGGGCGTCAAGTACATTCTGTTCTCATAGTAATCCACACACAGATTCACGATGTCTGCCAGGAGTTCTTCGTAGCCAGAGATGACCTCAAGCTGCTGCTGCAGAGACTGAAACACAGGGCAAGACGTAAGGTACCTCACCGGCATCACAGGCCGTCAATGGCGTGCGGAGAGTGCTGGCCTTACCTGTGTGATCTTGTTGTGGTTGGCCAAGAACATGGACAGATTCTGTGACTCCTGGATGGACTGTGGATCTGCCATTTTACGTAAAAACTGAGCAGCCCTAGAAAGAAAAGTCAATTCTAGAGCATATCTACAAATCGATTTAAAGGTGGGGGGCGGGTCGTGGGGGGGGGGAATCAGGGTTCCTCTCCTCTCCGTGAAGTTATTTACAGAAATGTGTATTGCAGAGACTGGTTATGGTTTCAGCCTTCTGGAGCAGTGGTTCTCAACCTGTGGCTATGACCCCTTTGGGCACTGAACAACCCTTACACAGGGGTTGCATATCAGATATCCTGTGTATCATATATTTACATTATGATTCATAACAGTAGCAAAATTCCAGTTATGAGGTAGCAACAAAAATAATTTTATGGTTGGGGGGGTGGTCACCACAGCATGCAGAACTCCATTAAAGAGTTACAGCATGCAGAACTCTACTGAAGAGTCACAGCATTAGGAAGGTTGAGAACCACTGCTCTAGGGAAACCTTTTGACAACTAACATGTGTCTTCTATAGCTCCAGAGAGCTTTTGTGTTCTACTGTCTATGGCCAACAGACTTCATCAACAAGTGTCCATACCCCAAGCTGCTCAAGAGGTGTAAAACTACCAGAGACCCTTAAGCTGCCAGCAACCCCTGCACCTTATTCTTGGAAGCACGTGCTCACCACAGCCCCCAAAACTGGTAAGCATTTGCTGTTGACAGGAGTGATGGTTTTAGCACACGGGAGATAAGCACCTGCTACTTGCAAGGCGGAGACTGGACCTGTCCGGGTGGGCGTACCACCCATTCTGCGGGTCTGAGCTCACCTCTTATAGGCCGAGTGGTCATTCTTCACACTGCACTTCATGTTCTTGAGCTCATCCAGCACGGCGAACATGTTGATAAACTTGCCCAGTGTGATCAAGTAGGCCTCAGACACAAAATCCTTTCTCCTCTCGGCGTGACACAAGCGTCTCACTTCCCCACAGAAACGCTCGATGGCATTTCTCTGGGCACAGAAAGGGGGAGGCAGAAAAGTCCTCGTCGGCAGCTTACCAGACCCGCCGCGCTCAAGCTCCCGGGACGGCTACCCACTGAGGAGCACCTTCTGCCTCACAGAGGGACCCTTGTCCGAGCAACTCCCCGTGCTTTTGCTCTGTAAAAACCATTGTTTTGCAGGTCTGGCAGCTACGACTCTATTACTAAAGTAAAAAAGAATTTGGCTGATTCGTTTCTGCAAAACTACTGTGGTCAACTTGACAGAATCTATAGAATCGCCTGGCAGGTGGGGTGATTCTTCAAGAGGGATTCCCTTGACTGTACTAACTGAGGTAGGAAAGTCCCACACTCCTGTGGGCGACGCCATTCCCTGGTTGGGATCCCAGGCCATAGAAGTAGGGAGGGAAGCTGGAACACAGTGTACATTCTCATCTCTGAGTCATAATTACGGAAGTGGCAGGACCAGGTGGTTACAAAGCCCCTGCTGTCCCGAGTTCCCTGCTATGGTGGACTGAACCCTTGTACTGGGGGCTAAAGTAAACCCTTTCTCTGTTAAGTTTCTCCACTAGGGTACCTTTGTTTAACAACGGAAAAGAACTACAGTCCCCGGAGCAAAAGGCTCCAATAAGGCACCTATGATACTCATGCTGACCGCCAGGTGAAACACAGAGGGGATTTTTCTTTTTGGTTAAGTGATGAGAGATGCCATTCTGTAAATCTGTCTCTTATTGGTTGATAAATAAAGCACTGTTGGCCAATAGGGAAGCAAGATAGTTGGGACTAGCAGTCGAGCAGGATTCTGGGAAGGAGAAACACCCTGTAGCCGCCATAGGGGTAAGAAGTTCAGACCTTTTCTTCGGTAAGAGAAATACTTAGATTAACAATTATGGAGTAAATACTTAAGTCAGAGCTAGCCAGTAAGAAACAAGCAAGACCAACAGCTTCATAATTAATACAGAGTCTTGTGTGTTATTTGGGGACTACAACGCGGCAGAGTCCAGGTGACTGGTGGGGAAAAACCAAAGCGGTTGGCAAGGAAAAGGCTTCACTCAACAGGTAAGTTTTAAACCAACGCTCAAGGAAAGCCACAGTTTTAAAAAAAAATTGTTTAGGGAGCTAGAGAGATGGCTGAGTGGTTGGGAGCATCGTTGCTCTTCCAGAGGGCCTGGGTTCAATTCCCAGCACCCACATGGAGGCTCACAACTGTCTGTAAACTCCAGTTCCACGGCATCCAACATCCTTATAGACATATATGCAGGCAAAACATATTTAAAAACGTGCATAAAATAAGAATAAACACACGACAAAGTTGTTTAGACATTTCCAACTGACCACTTTAAAGAGCCAGCAAGTCTCCTCTGTATGGCCGCCCTCCCCTTTTTTTTGCATAATTGAAGGGTCAAAGGAGGTTAAGTTCAGGGTAGGAAGTACCAGGAAGGCAAGGAAATTGCTGGAAAAGTAGACACACACTGCACTCGGGACTGATGAAAGCAAGCTCTTGTGCAGGGTAAAGAATTCTTGCTAAAAGTGGCGTGAAACACAAAAGACGGGGTTTACTCGGAAGAGCCCTGAAGCCTGGGTCCCTCCTCTGTCTAATTCGGTTGTTCAGCTTCGGGCTACACTGCCCCGTCTCTCTAGGCACCAAGAAGCCCCTCTAGTTTATTTTAACGTTTTACCTGAAAGTACATAAAATTCATCAGTTTTGTGACCTCCGGTTCAAGGACTTCCACAGTCTTCTCATAAATTTCAACTCTGTTAGGCTGCTCGTTGCACTTCACCTGGGCCACAAAGACACAAAGGCAAAAGTAAGGTTCTCGTGAGCGCCCCCCAGAGGCAGGCATTCTCATAACTGCGCGAGGGGCGCAAGAGGGTGTGGCCCGGCAGGACCGGGGACAGGGATGGCGGGGAATGGCGAGGCACCTGAGGGATGGCCCGGGAGCAGCTCCTCCAGGTGTACAGCATGACAGCGTACTCCTGGCCTTCCTCCAGCATCTCGTTCTGCAAAAAACGCACAGGACAAGCCACGTGTAGGCGAAGGAGACACAAATTGCTAACGGTTCCACAAAGTACCCCCACCCACCCCTTCGGGAGACCGTAACCTGCGACAAGAGACACACCGTGCACTTCGGACGGCCACAGCAACATCCCCAAACATCCCTGCAGCTTAAGGAGGCTGGAAAGGACCTTGGATGGCCCCACAAGTCATTCCTCAGGACAGCCACTGCTGAAGAGGTGTGTTTCGACCCCCCCACTCAACCCTCAGTAACTACCTGAAGCGCAGACCTAAAGCTAGGGGCATGAAGCCTGGGCGAGATGCGTGATAGCATCCTCCTAGTTTCTTTTCCAGGTCCCACCACGCTTCCTGGTTTAGACAGGATTGCTAGCCCAGGATATATAGGAGGAAAAGGCAGGATACTTCACGCGGCACTAAGAAATTCAGAGGTGGTACCCACAGGAAGAGGGCTACCATCATTTAAAAAAAAAATGTTTTGGTGTTTTGTTCCATGACTTCCTTATCATTTGCTTTGGTTAAAAACCATAAAAATGGCCGGGCGTTGGTGGCGCACGCCTTTAATCCCAGCACTCGGGAGGCAGAGGCCAGGCTGGACCGACAGCCTCCAAAACAGAGAAACCCTGTCTCGTTTTTAACCAAAAAAAAAAATTTTTTTTAAAACCCATAGGTGCTCCTTACAATGTGACTGGAAATCTGGCAATGTTTTAAGATGCCTTTCCCAGCCTGCCCCACAAAGCAAAGTTCCAAGGGCAGCCTGAGTAAATGCACAAAACCAGTTAGCTGTGGGCATTTACAAAATGAGCTTTACAAACATTCAAGGCATTTTCTGGCATACTTCGTGATACGGAAATGTTCACAAAATCATTAACATACACAATCACAGTTACAGGTTTCATTTAGAAAACCCGAGCCCCATATGAGTGTATATGTAAGAGTACATATGCGTGGAGACAGAAAGAATGCCAACCAAAGGGACCCTTACAATGTGGGCAAAGACCTTCTCTGGGCCGGAGAGATTAAACTTCTTAAGAGCGTGCACTGTTTTGTTTTTTTAATACTAAAAGCAAAGACTTTCTTAAAACTGTAAGGCATTTTCATCTTTTCCTCTTCCTAGTCTATGTAGCTAGGCAGAGAACATGCAGTCTGTTTGCTGTTCAAATGGGACACCTGCTAGACATGAACAGAGGGACGCAGGCAACCTTACCATGCTGGAGTGGACGGTTGCTTGTTCAATGTATCTTGCAATGCCAGTGACAAACGCATTTCTGTCTTCGAAGTTGGTGTTGAAGTTTGGCTGGAGGGAAGGGAGACAGAAGAACAAACAAACAAACCATCACGCTGAGGTCAGAGCAGGCAGGCGGCTGTGTCACATCTGGCCAAGGACCCACCTGGTAGAGCAGCGAGGATGGCGGAGGCTCGATGCAGGGCTGCTGGTCGGGCAGCGGCAGCTCCTCCAGGAGGTCCACGTTGGACAGTGCATCCTCCAGCGTCACTTGGGCAGCCATCCTGCAACGCGACGGGTACGCAGACGCCTGTGAGGGAGGGAAGACGCGGTCTGCAACCCACAGCAGCAGGCCTTCTGATGTGGACCCCACGGCTTCTCGCCCCCTTCCCCTGCTTACGAGGGGCACCGGAGACACGATCAGAGCACGAGGGAGGGCATGGGGACAGCAAGTGTCCGAGAGGCCTTTCCTTCCATCAAGCCTGGTCGGGAAGGCTCTCCTGACCTCCCGAGCATCCTGGTGCAGGAAACGCGGGTTACCACACTTGCCTTCACTTCCTGGAGCCTTTTCTATACGTCGGCGCTCCGATCCTAGCCCCACAGTGGAAACGCTAACCCTTCGCATGGCTGGGAAAGGGCAGCGTCTCCTGCACGGTTATTCCAAACATGGAAGGGTCAGGTTGTCACAAACATGTAAGGACAAGAGGAGTACTGCCCTCGGCCACCAGCCATGTAGCTACGCGGACAGGCTGGAATCACAAGGACTGCCACTAGAGGAGGGTGTGTAAGGTGAGCTAGGGAGCGACTGTCAGAGAGAGCACTGACCCCAAAACCAGTACAGAGAGGCAGAGGCAGAGGCAGCACACGTACCCCTGCCTCCCACTCAGTGTGTTCTGACCCTAGCAGGACAGGCGCTGGGGTACAAAGACAGCCCACTCTCCTGGGGGGGAGATATGAAGACAGGTTGTGCTCTAAGAAGGAAGTAACAGCAAATGAGGCCAAGGCAGTGCTAACCAGAAGCCTCTGAACAAAATGGCAGTGCGGAAGTGAAAAGACCCGCAAACCTCAGCGTGCTGCCCTTGTGTCCTCCCTCTCACGGGTCAGGGTTGCATCCCAAGGAGAGAAACTGAAATAGGAAGTTCCAGAGACCCAGTAAGTCCCAAGCCACTGTGGTGAGGAGCAGGGAGTCCACAAGGCTGCTCTTGAAATCCCAGGCTAACCTCCGGCAGCTCACACACTGACCTGTGCATGAGTCTGCACTCTTAGGAGACCTAAGTAAGGTCTTACGTAGTCATGCGCAACGAATGCTCAGAGGAGGCCCAGTCAGGACACAGCGCACGCTGACACGTGGGACCGGTACAGAGCCAGAACCCAGAAAAGACAGGCGAGTGCCTAATAAAGTAGACAGCAGCAGCATCCTCCCGTGGTCTAAATAAGATCCAAAGTCTCATACACAACACCCCAAGTGCCCAGTTTCCATTCAACTTATTCAGGACAAAAGAACTCCCAGCCAGCTCCCTGGGGCTACCGGCGTCATGGATTTTAGAAGAAAACCTACCACCACCATTTTGCTAGCTCAGCATAATCCCTAACTACACTCCAAATCTTATCCTTACACCCAAAGATAAATAGGTATCACCTCTCATCAATCAAAGCAGCCTCTCTTTACAACAAATGGAGACCAGTACAGGAAACCACAGTTGGACACAATGCAGAGACCAACAGATCACGGGAGCCCAGCCCCAGCAGATACATCTACACCACAGCTACCTGCATCTATGACTCAGGAAAGACTGAGAATCAATCCTAAGAGCCAGAACACCAGGGTATCTGCTGCGAAACTGTCTCTTGTAGATATGGTTGCATAAACAAGACTTGAACAACGGCAATATCAATAAACACACTTGTGGTTATATATGATTTACGATTTATTAAAGCTTGCCTGAAGGTACAGAAAGCAAAGCTAGCCACAAGCCACGGAGCCAGGCAGTGGTGATACACACCTTTAATCCCAGCAGCCGTACTAGCAAGCCATAGAGCCAGGCAGCGGCGGCACACACATCTCAGGACTCAGGAGACAGGCAGAGACAGATTTCTTTTAGTTCAAGGCCATACTGGGGTAGTCCAGTCCTAAAGAGAAACAGCTCACACAAAGGCGATCTCAGCACTGGGATCACACACGTCTAATCCCAGGATTTGAGAGGTATAAAAAGAAGCGAAGTCAGTCTTAGAGAATTAGTCTCCAACCACAGTGAGGAGAGCAGTGCAGTCTGGACCGCTCTCTGATGATGCATAGAATCACCTACGTCTGAGGTAGAGGTAAGAGCTAGTGGCTGGCTGCTTTGCTTATCTGACCATCAGCTTGCGCCTCAATATCTGCCTCTGGGTTTTTATTAATTCATGTTACACATGTTGGGGCAAAAGGGAGTAACATCTCAAGGATTCCTGATGGGGTTCCCACAAATACTATGGCAGGCAGAGGAATGATACAGGAGAGCTAAGGAAATCAACAGGCTGGTTCAGACTTCTAGACTCTGACTGCCCAGTGGTTTATTTTTGACATACTTAAGCACAACTCTGGAAAAAAGTTTCCTTGTCCCAACGACAAGGGCTACAATGAAACTCCTTTGCAAAGTGCATGTATTTGGCAGGTTCTATTGACTGAGAAAAGATGCTCAGGATAACAGTGTTGGTAGGTAGGGTTTGTAACATGCATAATAGTAAACTCTTGCAAAGTACATGGGACCTCTTTCATAAGGATGGGCTCTATTGGCTGAGAAACAATGATCTGGGAGATTCAGGTGCGGCCTGGCTCTACGGAACAGCAAAAATCGCCAGGCTATTAACATCACCCACTCCCAGCCTTCTGGGTGGAGAACAGGCGTAGATTCCTTCCATTGAGGAGAAAAGCCTGCGTGCATAACACTCCTGGTTTAGCCAGTGCTGTCTGCGAGCACGTGGACCTCCTGCCCTTTTACAGGCCCCACCCCTAGACAAGGAACAGCCAAGAGGGGGAGGATTAGCCTCTCCTAGGGGCAAGCCTTGTAACTTATTATCTAGCACCAAGCGGTCAGCCCCGAAACCAGACACACAGACAAGAGAAACAGACTCAGCAGGCTGTATTTATATCTTCATGCATGCATACACATATATCTATATGGAACAGTGATAATCAGGAAAAAGAGGTTATCAATTTGAGAGTAACGGGGGACATGGAAAGAGTCAGAGAGGGTATCTGAGGGGGCTAGAGGGAGGAAAGGGGAAGCTGACATAATTTATTTTCATTAGATATATATTTTATGATTCTATCAATTTTCCCATGTGTGTATGTATGTACAACAAGCCACAACTCCCATCTGGCTTCAAAGTACGAAACATGAAAAGATGCAACAATTGTAACCCTCTCAAACCAAACGAAAAAGTTCTAGGTGAACAACAACCAACCAAACAAACCAAAGTAAAAGAACACATGATGGAAATCTTAGAACTAAAAGATAAAATGTTGAACAGGTGAAAATTCCCCACATGAACTTAAAGCCCCTGGGCAGCCACGGAGAACAGAAAGACAGGGTTTTGTTTTTTTTTCCTCCTCCTCTTTGCTGCTGGATGTCAAACCCTGGGACTCACGCATGTGAAGGAGATGACGCTCTGCTCGCTCTACACTGTATCCTTCAGCCCAGCAGCACGGCTTTTATAAGTTCAAAAGATAAACAGTATCCATCAGAATCCTCTACTAGCAACAGAACGATCACCCTGTCCATGGAGGGGGGGGGGGAGACCAAAGGATACAAGATGTGACGGGAAGTTCTCCGTCTGAAGAGAAAGGATACAGATGATAAGCCGGGACATGAAGGATGAAGCAGATACAAAAGAATGGGTGACCAGGAGTGTTATTTTCTCTACAGCTCTTTTAAACACGTTGAGCGGGGTGGCTCCACAGTTAGCGCACTGGCTTCCACGCTCAGAAAACGCATGGCAACTCATAACCATTTATAACTCCAGTTCCAGGGGATCCAGTGCTCCCTTCTGGCCTCCACAGGCACCAGGCATAGAAGGGGTATCTAGACATACATGTAAGCAAACACTCATGCATTAAAAAAAAATCTTTAAAATAAAAATTAAAGCCAGGCGGTGGTGGCACATGTCTTTAATCGCATCACTTGGAGGAACGGAGGGAGGCAGAGGCAGGTGGCTCTCCCTCTGAGTTTGAGGCCAGCCTGGTCTACAGAGTGAGATCCAGGACATCCAGGGCTACACAGAGAAACCCTGCCTTGAAAAACCAAAATAGGTGATAGACAGACAGACAGACAAATAGACAGACAGATGAATCATTAAACAAAAATTAATTGTTTGGTGGCTGAAAGACAAAATTACAAAATTATCTGGCATTTTAGAGGGAAGGCTAAAAAATGAAGCTGGTCTTCTATTAGAGTATTCTCATAAGCAAAGCCCAGAAATCCCAAATTGTTAGCCTCAGACTGCTATAGCCCAACCCCACAGAGTTTCCACCCATACTCTGTGACCTTGGCTTTAGATCATGGACTGAACCTGGATCAAGCAGGACCACTCTTATTCGAACAGCCCCAATTGGCATACCAGAGACTGCATAACTGGAAACTGTATTCACAGTGGCCAATCTCTTCTGTTACAACAGGGACTGATACCCACCCATTCTACTACAATATTGGGTCTATATACACAGCAGTTACATAAATTCATAGTATTTACTTATTCATATTGGTCCTAGAAAGTCAAACCCAGGATCTGCATATGCTAAGGTCACACTCTATCAAATATGCAATAAATGTAACTGTAAATAATATCTATATGCAAGTATATAAACTATATAAAATAACTAACATAACGAAGTATTAGATAGTTAAATACACAGGCTTGACACAACTAAAGATGAACCCTCATAATCAGCTTTGGACCCCAACTCTTGATTCATTTGTCAATAATGGCGTAATTAAGCTTTTAGGTATTCAATAACCATACTTGGAAACCAAACTCAGTGAGGATCTATGGGCTAAAAAGGATAGTCAAATACGTTGGTCAGCATCCTGTGAATGAGAATTCCTGGAAGAAGCTGTGTCTCCAAAGGCGGAGTGACTGACTGAATCCTCAATGACGTGGAGAGATGGAGCTGTCGCAGCCCTAGTGCTCGATTCCAGTTTATTTGAGGTCATCTTAGCCTGCTAAATAGCGTTTCCTTGCTCCATTACTGTGTCAGACCCTTCCCTGAGAGTTACTCCAACTGCTGGGCATGGAGGCAGAGGCACACAGATCTCTGAGTTCAAAGTCAGTGTC